ATTTAACCTTCCTAAGAGAAGAAGGTGTGAAAATCCATCACGGTGTTGATGCCACGGACTTGGTTCTGTCTCTCAAATTAGGCACAAAGAAAACACAACCCAAATTATTCGAACCACGCCAGAAACTCGACTACATTATGTTCAACTTTCCTCATACCGGTAGAGGTATGAAAGACGTTGATAGAAACATCCGTGACCATCAAAAATTGGTTTTAGGCTACTTCAAGAGTTGTAAGGAATTATTAGAGTTGGTGAATAACGACATCTCAAATGATTTTGGAGGCTACACAGAATCTGAAAAGAATTCAGGACTGAAGATTATCTTATCTCTTTTTGAAGGAGAGCCATACATTTCTTGGGGAGTAAAATCACTTGCCAGAAGTGTAGGATATTGTGTTGAACGTTCTGGTGCTTTCTTGTGGACTGCTTTTGAAGGGTATCACCACAAGAGGACCAATGGATTGAGAGATACCACAAAACCAGCCGCGGAAAGGGATGCCCGCATCTACCTTATCAACAAATTCGAGAATAGGAATGTGAAGGAAGAGAAAAAACGTCCCGAATCAGACGCTGACGATGATTAAGTGGTATAGAATTAAGCTGGGAAGACACGAACACAATCGTCGATGAAGAAAGTTTCTTGGGAAAGGGGATCTTTAACTTTTCCGTTTCGTATGAGCATTTCATTGTGGTCCGCCGGATTTAATAGTTTATCAAATGGATAAATATTGCCGTTTGGTAATTTGAATGGGTTTTCAAATATACTGGTTACCAGCTGCGTGTATGGAAGATTCTGGCTTAGGCGGAATAGTTCTGGTGAGCACACAGGACACTCGTTTGTCTTTTGCAAGAGTTTATAATACTGATTGGGTCCCCTCAAAGCCAAATTTCTTGACAAATTGGAGTCAAGGTGCATAATGAACAGATCTTCATTTTCCTTGTTCTTGAATATAGTATTATCGTCGTTACAATAACAAGACTTAGTCTTAAGACTTGAAAGGCCCGCGGACAAATGCACAAACAATGGATACGTTTGGGGAATATTATAGATCTTGGTGAAATCAGTAATGAAACATCTTGATAGTTCGTTCCATCTTTGGGATTCCATCAGCCGGCTATAGGATCCAAACGAAACGAAGTTGCTCTCAGGAAAAGACGAGTCTAGCAAACTGAACCACGATTGGCTCTTTCCGTCATTGAGGGCCGCTTTTGTATCGTTAGAGGTAGCTATGGCAAAGAATAGGAGCGGGGAACCCACTTCAGTGAGGCGCCTCACGTTACTCTCATAATTCGCCATATCAGCGTCATCATAACGACTGCGGTCACAGTAGGTAGTCAAGTTACACTTGCAATATTCAATTGCTTCGTACACGGAACATTTCTCTATCATAGATAGAAATTTGCATAAGTGGATTTCAAAGGGAAGGTTGGAATGGATTCGTTTCAAGGAGGTTTGGTTCTCGTTAAACCAAGCAGTAATTGGCTCCAAATCGTGGTCTTCATTAATAGAGATGAAAACTTTGTTAAACATTTCGTAGACTTCGACATCTATCAATGAGGAAAGAGGAGTTCCAGCAGCATCTAACTGCTTCATAAGCTCGGTACCCACATTGTGGTCTTTGCAGGTATTGGATTTTAGTAGGTAATCCACAATTAGAACATTAATCTCTTCACGATACCACGAAATCAAACCATCGTTATGCAAATCCAATACCCCTTCATCGTCATCCTTGTCTCTTGTAGTAAACTCCTGTATGCGCTGAATATGATCTGCCCTTTTCACTAGCCGTGAACGAAAAGCTTTGTCTTTCTCCTCGGCTTGAGATAGTTTCTTCTGGAATGCTACGACCTGGCGAGAGATTTTCTGAACCATGGCAAGTTTCACACTGGGTTCCACGTTAGGATCATTCTTGATGGTAGCGATTGCCTCCGCAGCTTGTTTCTTGAGTTTCTCAATCAGTTTCTGTACCTGCTTGAAATTTTTTTTAATTAGCTCTGCTGGAACAGAAAACCTAACATTTTGAGTCTGTAACGTAAAATTGACAGTTGGTTCACTCATTCTTTAGGAAGTTAAGAGGGAGAGACAAAAGTACTACTGATAGTGCGCTCTATTGAAATGCGTATGTGCAGACTGAATTATGGGGTACTGTTGGTGTGAGAGGTCTAGGTGTCATGAGAACTACCTATTGTGATTTCGTCGTCCGGTGACCGAGATTTGGAGCTGGAAGGAGGAAACTCCTCCAATTCTAATGCGGGATCGTCCCCAACGGCAAATGTGTCATTGTTCACTGGCAGGTATGCGCCTTTTCGAGAGAAGAGACCCTTCACCTTTTGCACAAATGCGCTTCTTCTTTCTCTACCCAACATCAAGAGCACAGCAATGAAGAATAAAACGATGAAAACAACCTCTCCGTAAACCGGTGTGGCTTGATGTACCATTTCAGTTCTTTTCCTTGCTTGTAGGAGTTCTCATAATCGTAGTAGATATACTTTGCATCTGGTGAAGCAGGAACATACTGAGGGCGAGGAGGAACATCTTTGAACTCCGCTCCAAAATAATAAGACCCCACAGCCGCGGTGTAGTAATACCCTGGCCTCTTCAAACTACTGTCAGAATCAGACCCAACAGAAGACGAATAATTGTTGAATGCTTGTACATATTCATCATTGGCATAAAGAAGGGCGCGGCCCAAAGTCCAAGAGAACGACCGGCTGCCCATTTTGTCCACCAACTGGAGCAGCTTGAATTTCTCGTCCTTATTTGGAATGTCATCAATGCCAAAACGTGGAAATCCAAGACCAACATGAAGAAAATTAAGGATCCATGATGACTTGAAGCAAAGCTCTACCAAATCATCTTGCTGTAAATGGGCTTTTCCCTTGTTGAACTCATTCATAGTTAAAAGATCTTGTAGAGGCTGCTGACAAAGTTGCTTACTCTTGGAGTAGATAAGCGTATAATCGTATTTGTCTGTTTTATTTGCCTTGTGGCTTATGCTCTCTGTCGTAAGAATCTGGTTAATGGCATCCCAATATCCACTGACGCCAACGAAGTGGTTAATATCAAAGTCAAATGCTGGTATCAAGTCGCTAAGAAGACATGAGCTAACGCTGGTTGTGGCGTCAAGCAGCTGACAATCTCCATTGAAAGTATCAGTCCCAGTTCCTGCGCCATGGGTAGCATTAGCTAGTACTGGAAAGATTGATTGAAGGCACTTATCAAAATTGCTTTCCCCAACAAAGTCTAAATTGTGATCATCGATGATGTCACTTGTGGTGTATCCCTTAGGTAAGCAAGGATCTGGAATCGGAGTACGAAACAGATAAACCTCACCCGGTAAGTCATTCTCATGTCTAAATTGTTCCAACAAGAGCTTTCTATATCTGTGATGGGCTTGGAACATACCGAAACCCAAGAAACTATCAGAGTAAACGTCAAAGTTGAGAGTTTGTGGCTTCAGATAGTTACCCATCTGGGTTACGGTTGTGTTCTTTGGAAGGAGTTTAGGAATTTCCAGGAGTAAAACGTGATATAAGTTGTTGGAATGCTCTTCTGACTCTGTAGTGTTAGGCTGGAAAACTACCTGAGTTGAAGCTCCACCCATATCCAAAAGTCCATATGTCGTGTGGTTTTTTCCATGATCGTGGTCCTCAGGGTGGTCCAAAGAATTCATCAAATAATTGATAGAAAGCCAACCATATAAACCTTCTGTATCGCCGTCTATAATATTCACATGCGATTGACAATGAGGAAGGTAAAAATCAGAGTTCGATTGCAAATATTGACAGACGTTTTCCATAATCGGTTCTTGTTCGTTAGGAGGCAAAAGTCTCATTCCGGCCGTAGCATGCAAAAATATGGGGGTACGGTAGTGTTCCGATTTGGGAACTACAGAGCTTGCCAACGAAAGAAGATAACTAAGATGATGGTTTCCCACTTTCCCTGGGCTTTCATTAAAGCTCGCAAGACCAGGAGACATTTTTCTGTGCCAGCGTTTCTTCGTATTCACAAAAGGAAGACGAACTGTACGTTTCGGATCCGGTTTAGTAGAATCGAGAGAATTAGGGTCCAGCTCAAGGGCCGAGTCCGTATCGGATTCTTCGAGATCAGAGTTATCATCCTCGGGTCTTTCTTTTCCAAAGGACATTCTCCGATGTAGTTTGATCTTAGGTTTCATGGAAATATCAATTCCAGCTTCAAAAGCATGCTGTGGATTCAACCAGTTATATACATAAACTCGGGAACCTTTAGAGCCCGAATCGATGACAACGATATAATCTAGCGGAATTCCATCTTTTGTTGTGACAGGTCCTGGTTTTATCACCTTCTTCTTCTTTCTAGGAAAAATCTGGGGCATGCTGATGAATAGAAACTGAAGCTGGCTAAAGAGAGTAACGAATCGCACATCCGCGCGACTTTCCCCATTCGCAGATGGAACGAGACCACTTCATAAGTCAAAATCGGATATTCCATTGTATTATTTCAAGTCAAAATCACTCCCTTAAAGCTATTCTAAGTCTTATTTAAGGTTTTTGAATTAGACTGTTGTACATGAAGGAGTTCATGGCCGTAGAAACACCATACATAACGCCTGAAAGAAGGTAAACTTCGTGCCTTGATCCAAAACGTAACCAGCAAATAATGAGTATAAATCATAGGGATGATTATCATTCTACTTGATAACTATAATCTACTGGCTCTTTAAGTATAGAAACACTCCTAAAGATTCACAAAGAGTGATTTTATGATTTGTAATGATGACAGTTCATCATTCCTTGGTTCATATCGCGGCTTGGTAGGCATCGAGACTGTACTAAGATAATCAGTTGAAACAAGCGTGCTTTGCAATGACTATCTTCGAATGACTTCATCTTGCTTATTAGGATATTATGATATCAAACGAAATCAAACACATACTGAGTGGCTACTTCAATAGCAATACCCGCAACCTTGATATGTTGAATGTACATTAAAAAGCATAAATCTATCGTTAAATCAAACTATGAACTACCAAAATCCAAAATATCCTTCACCACAGTCACATAACAATACACTTTTCTTCTTTTTCCACAACTGGGTTCTGTATCCGCTCGATCTCATCGACCAAGGTTTCAAACGATTTGTTCACGTTGAGGTTGTCTCGCACAGAAGTCTCAAAGAACTTACACTTGTATTTCTTTGCTAAAGCTTCTCCGTCTGCTTTCTCAACTTGTCTCTGGAAGCTGAGATCGCTCTTATTACCAATAAGTACCATCGGAATCAGGTCAGACCCGATCGAGTTCAATATCTTGTCTCGTATCACGTCCACCAACTCAAATGATTGGCGCGACGTCACCAGGTACACAAGTAAGTACCCATGAATTCCAATCAAATGTTTTTCATTCATTATGGAGAACTCATCCTGGCCAGCGGTATCCAAAATTTCTATGGCATATTCCTGATTGTTGTAACTGATGGTCTTTGAAAACTGGTTTTCTATTGTTGGGTAGTAGGACTCAACAAAATGGTCTTCAACGAAACGCACTGTCATAGACAGCTTTCCCACGGATCGAAATCCCACTACCGCTATTTTTCTAGCCTTAACCATCTGGATATGTTGGAGTCCGTTGTTACCGGATTAAGAAGTGACTATAAGGAGCTGAAGATCTGACGAATTTGTGCAGGTGGAACAGTGCGGGGCGCATAACCAAATCTTATAATCAGGCTGGAACAAATAACGAACTAAGTTAGAACCTTCCCATAACTTTAAAGGATGTAAGCGTATGAAACGGTGCAACAGTTTACGGGTAGTGTTTGAATATTATCAATCTTGTTACTGTCCTTTAGGTTGGTTGGCGCACAAGATCTTCCCTCAGGAACAAAACTACGAAAAATGTGCCTTCTTAAATCTATCTTTGAAACGTACTGCAATTTACAAGTTTACTGGAAACTATAACGTATAGAGTATGCATTTCGTATCGGGCATATTCTGGATGAAGACACTAGCGCTTCGTTTATGTAGCCCATTTCAAAACTTCCAAACTGGTTACAACGATAAAGATCGTTGTGGGTAATGTCAAAATCACATAACCCCAAAAAAGAACGCCTGCCATTTCTTTTTGGTAAATACCATTGAGTTGAGTGATCTGTGAGAGTTGAATTGCAGGCGGGGAAACAGTAAGCACAAACGCCACAATTAAAAAGATGGGATCATCCAAAATGGAAATGTTCACATACTTAACACAAATCGCAATTAAAGGCAAAAGGACAAACGACGGAAGAATCATTCTGGACACCAAAGATGCAAAAACAATCTTCTTGTAGTTTCTGGAGGGAGCAGGAATATCTGCTGAAGGGTACAAATTCGACCCCAATACGATCAAGATCAAAGGAATGGAAACAGAACCAAGCTGGTCAATTGATTTAGTAAGGGTGTTTTGGATAAATGAGTCATTGTAGAAAAATTCCTTTTGGAAAGCTGGAACAGAGGCCACGACAATCGATATTAACATAGCATACAATGGCGGATTCATGAAAGACAAAAATCCTTGAACTGGTTTGCTGTACCATATTTGGGATAACACGGATTGCTCAGCTGTAATCGTTTCCACGATAGGTTGCTTACGGTTCGTTAAAAGCGAATCATTTTCTTCCTCTGAGTCATTTGCTTGACGAGAAGACGAAGAGGCACGAGACAGTTCGACGTCATCTGAGCCAACGGAGATTTCGGCTTCCGTTTCCAACTGGTACCCTGAAAGCTCTTCGGGGGATCTTTTACGCAATAGCTTGTTGTAGCCCCACGACCACCGTAATATCTGGCCGAGTTGCTGAAAGATCAACAAGTACAAAATACCACGGGAAGCAACTTTGTCAGAGTCGTCGTCTTCAATTTGATCCCACAATAAATCTGGTAATGTGTAAGCCAAAGACATAGTTAACGACACAGGTAAGGAGTTTGAGTTACCAAAAACAGCCATGGCCGTGACATAGTCGGACTCAGCATTATTCAACAGCATGAAATTGGACATGACGCGCGAGCAGACAAGGGAGGCCAAAGTAGTAACGGCATAAAAAATCGGGATAATGATGATGTCCACCATTTTGTTCAACGAAAGCGATGGCGCAAGCTTAGTGAAGACCAAACATGGGGTGAATAAGTCAACGTTGAGTTGAGAAATGACTTTTTGGCCAGCGGTAGAGAGAAGCTTCGTCTTTGCTGCCATAAAACCAGCGAAGCAAATAATCACCACCTCTAAAACCGCCTCCAAAGTAAGAAAGGAAATGGCCAAGAATGATAGATCGGGATTGAGCGGAGGCTGGGCCTCATTCCGAGATAGTAGTGCCCACATAAAAAGATGGGGGATGAAAGAAGAAAAAAAACTGGTGTTATAAATTCTAGTTGCAGAAAAGTGTGGAATCATACAGTAAATGATAGATAAGGCGTGTGTGCAGTACAGTATATCATCTGCATATTTTCCTGCTTCGCCTCAGCAAATTAGGCGCTGGGAGCAAAGATCGCTAGCAAGAAAAAAAAGCCTGGGCAAAAAACAACAGAAAAGGGGAAGTAGATCTGGAAGTCTGTGAGAAAACATATAGAAAAAGCAAAAGTCGATGCGTCTACCAGGAAACGTGATGAAAAGAGAAACAATAGAATACCTATTCAAGCGCTGACAAGAAGTCACCATATAAAAGAACTTTTTCCGCCCTACTGAAATATTCATGTCATCATAGGGAAAAACGCCACATGACTAGCGCTAAGTAAAACGTGGGCTAGGTGTGTGCAGGTAACAACGCCCGTTCATGTCAAGAGAGGGGCACAAAGGCAATGACACTTGCCCTACCAGAAAAGAAACGGTTCATGCCGGACCAAGAAAGTGGAGTAAGGGGTGTTCATTCACAAGTGTGACATTGTTGGCGTTTTCTTGGCTCTTCGCTGATAGCTAGATTGGCGCGAACTGCGAAATTAAAGGCGCCAAAACAAGTCGTTTGTGTTGGAATGAGCTAGCTACTGTTGTCTATCCACTTAAGTTATCGGCATTCTGTCTTTCAGTTTACTTTGTTTTTTTCTGTTTCACTTTGTTATTTTTTTGTTTTCTTCTTTAGGGTCTGGCTACTCTGTTGCATATATCCACGCTCAGTTATCGGCGCACAATTTTCCGCCCGTACATGTTACATTTGGACTATCTTTTATTGTTCCGCTCACGTATTGTATGCCCTGCACATAGTCAGGGTCCCTTGTGTCCATCACGCGCACATTTACCCATCACATCAACAGTTTGGTGGTGCACGGGTGTGAGAATGTAAACACCATCCTGATCTAGTCTTCTTTCCCAAGCTATGGCCAACTCCGAAATCGGCCCCAAGTTGCCTCCGCCACTGCTGTCGCCGAGTCGCACCATACCCAAATCTCCTCCTTGGTACAAAAAACCCCTACGCTCGGACCCGGATGAACCGGATGATAACTTTGACTTTATGCCTGGCGCTTCAACTCCTCTTAAAGTCAACCATGCTAAACTGATTATGTTTTTATCTCCAATGCGCAAACTAGATGAGCTTCACCTTGATGCTGCGTCCTCTTCTCTAATAGACTCGGAGCACATAGAAAACCGAAATCCCGACGACAGCTTCATAGAAAATGAAATTGAGGCAGATGACAATGAGGATGACGAATGTTATGGTCCTGGTGACAAAACTATCATTACGGAATATGGGTCCTCTGATGAAGAATCGTCCTTAATTAAAGGCGAACCTCCACGCTTCGTACGCAAAAGGCTGCGCTCAGAAACTCCGCTGGCTATGGAAATTACGCCTAATGCAAACTTTACTATTCCGCATGCATCTTCTGGTAAGAATCTGTCGGCATTTTTAGCAAATGTAACGAGTGATTCGTTTCACAAGGCAAGTTTTTCCGCCTCGGACTCCACTCCGTGCCCGACGCAACCTCGGAAAAAGTTGAAGTTTAAAAATATGGATGAGGACACGCCGTCCCAGCCCTCCAAATCCCTGAAACATGTGCTTGATTTCTCCGGTTCGCGGAAAGTTACTTCTTCTGCGGCAGCACTAATGAGCAAACTCAGCGATGCCCACGATGACATTTTAGAAGATGAAGATGGTACTACTCTGAGCTACAACTCTGGTCGCACGAGCACAAACCAGAATTCTACCCCTATTAGTCAATCTACACCTGCAAATTCACGAGCTCCTTCCCCTGGGTTGTCTTTTGAGGAGTCACAGCAAGAGGTCAATGGATTCAAGTTTGTGCGGCCCACTCATGCATTCAAATATCAAACCCCCCTCTCAAGACCCACCTCAGCATTCCCTCTTCATACAGCGCAGAGGCTCCGAATGGCGTATCACTCCACCCCACCAAATGGCAAGTATGAGATTGTTGGTGAATTCCCCGTTTCTGCGGCAGGGCTCATGGACGAGGCAGACGAGAGCTTACACATTGCTGATCGCAGAATAAATGATCCATACGCGGCACCAGAACCGCTTGGAAATGATGATAGGAGTAACATGATGCATTTGCGCGAGGTTTACCTCGACTCCTCAAATAAACTTCCATTACTACAGCATTTTGAGCGTGACCTTAACGTATCTGAAATGCTCCTTTACATTACTGATGGTGTTTCTGTGTCCGAATTTTATGAAGCTATTGTATATGACCAAGATGTGGGCGAAGGCGTCCTATCGTTTCTAAAGAAGGAAAGGCTTCGGTGGCATCCGGATAAGTGGGTTGGAAAATTGGAGACATCTATATTTACCAAGGAGGTGATTGACAGTCTCAGTCAGGTGATTAACGGGTTAATTGATGATCTCTAGTTCCGGCATGAATTACGAATCTAATGAAGTAAGAACTGTATTATGTGCGGTTCAATAGCATCTAATGTGAATCCGTAGGAGTGGCAGCACCGCTGCCTAATTTTGATCCGCTTTCCTTTTCATTTGAAATTTTTTCCGTCTCTTCATCGACTTCAATATCATCATCCTCTTCATCCTCTTCTTCTTCTATATCGACGTCTCCGTCTTCTTCTTCGTCTTCTTCCTCTGCTTCTTCCTCCTCATCGACTTCGTCATTATCTTCATCTTCTTCCTCGTCTTCCTCATCTTCTTCTTCCTCCTCATCAACGGGTTGTTCTGGAGGATACTCGTCTGTATTGGACTCCTCGTTGTCCCAAACAATATTGAACCGCGTCACTCGGGGCTTTTCGGCCAAGATATTACGCACAACATGCTCAACTTGGACCTTTGCAGGTGGATTTTCCCTCAACTCTTCTGAGTCGTATTCATTATTGACGTAGTAGCCCACACGAACAAATTCTCGACCGGCGTATGAACAACTTAATAAAATAACTGTCACACTCACCAATTCACTGGCCGGGATCAATTCTGGAGATGGAGGATCAGCCTGAAATAAGAACTTATTGATTCCAACAGGTACTGGTCCGACTAAGATAGAATCCAACTCTTGGTCATGATCTAGAGATCTCGAACTACCCACGTAGGTCAATTTCCATTCCAAGTCTTCTTTCAAAGGTTCCAAGCACTCAAAGGTGATCTCAAATTCATATGGATCTGAAAACCGCGCTGGATTATTCAACACTTCAATCCCCAATAAAGATACAATCGACATGTAGTATGGGTAGTGATGTACTTGATGTAAAGATATGTGGAATTTGAGACGCGTTCATGTGAATGCAGGATGGATGTACTTCAAGAAACACTCAAGTAACGGCATATTCCTACTTAGGGAAGTAACAAACAGAAAAGGAGAAATAAGCATGAAATCAAATGTGTTGTTCGCCTTGAGTATTACATAGAGAGTAATAGTCTTCATTAATCGATGTACTGTTTATTATAAACCTCGGAAACATGCCGGAATGAGGTCATAATAAAATACTTTGATGTTTATAATTTGAATGATCAAATATTTCTTCAGTACCTCTCCCTAATATGTCTATCAAAGTCCGTGTTTCAATAGGTGACGTCCATTATTGACGAACCAAGAACAAAGTTTCAACACACCCGTACATCTAGTGTGTCAACCACCTTATCGAATTCTCAAGATACTCACTTACAACTATACATACACCTGTCATGGATACACCTACTACACATGAACTAGGGACGACTGCTTTGCAGTCAACAAATGAGGACTTTGAAGATCAAGACTACAGCAAAATTTATGAACAGCTTCAGGAGAAGTTCAACAATGAGTTCGCAATGTCACAAAAGCTTTTCATCACTGAAAAGACTCAAAGACAAGCCTTGTACTATTACAAGAGACGAAACGATGCTATATTAGATCTCCTTGCGGATCTAGAAGATGATGATCCTGTTAATGTTCCATCTCCAGTTGATAAAGATCGAGTAGCGCATTTGATGTCGCTTTCTCCCGCTCTCGCCAATACTTTAACTCCGTTGCATCAAATATTATCATCAGAAGATCCCACGCTGATAACAGTCAAAGAGCTGTTACATACAGACTTGCCTGTTTATGAGATGATACCTGACTTGGCAAACGATGAACTAGATACCGTCGAGGTTAATCCTGAAGAAACTGACATGTGGATCAGACGAAATTATGCACATTTAGTTATTTCGAAGTTTAAACCTTTGGAAGTAAGAGGCAAAGATGTGCGTGAATATATAGATGCGTCAAGTTTGGGTGCTAAGAAGAAGAAGAAGACTGCTTAGACGGTTGGCGGCAGCTTTACGCGTTCATATCCATACCTATTTACTTGCTTTGTTGGAAGACGCCTTGCGATCGCGTTTCAGCAACCCTTCTAAAATCCTTGAAGTGTTGAATAATCCAAAGAGAATAGCTCGGGTTCGGAACTTAAACTTACCCTTGTCCACGAGTCGGATTACCTTAAGAAAGAGATTTATGTCGCTGAACACCTGTGGGTTCTCTCTCTTGATACGATTCAACTCTTTGGTTGCCTTCCTTTCCACTCTCCCTAACACAGAACTGAGATGATTTATCAAACTCAAGATTCTATCGTCCAACTCTGCATATGTATCGAAACTGATCTCATCAGTTAGGGAAAATCGCAGATAATTTCCTATTGCTTCGTGCCCACCGAATAGTGTATAGTAGCTGGCATCTTGATACGGATTCAATGTTTCAACACCAAAAATATCCTCGTTTTCCATCGTATTTGGGTAGGCTAATGACACTTGCTTGCCCTTGTTCAGTAGATCTAATGATACCCATTGTAAATCATCAAGAATTTCAGCGCCCTCCGAAGTAGATCCGATTTTCCCCAATTGATAGAAAGCCAAACCTCGAAGCTGCCAGACAGATGAGTTTAGGAAAAGTAAGTGAATCGTTTCAACCACATGTTCGTTTTGTGGGTTTAGAGCATGCATAGGATCAAGAATTTGTATACCATAGTTGGCTGATGCAATTTCGCCAAAAATCCACAAATACTGCTTCAACCGCCGTAACAAATATTCTTCCTCTTCCTGGTCTTCTAATTCTAATATGTCCAAAAGATCAGATTCCCTCGTCTGATAGTTGACCTGAGAATCGGTACCTTGAAAAGGATAGGATAAGTGGTCCAACTCTTCTTCTTGCAGCGTTAATGATGGACTATCTTCAATTGCATTCTCTGGCATCATTGTGTCAATAGTGTCGTTAGACAATGCTTCTTGCTCAACATTAAGTAAATTCAATTTTCGGCAAATAAATTTCATTTTGTGAATAGAATCATCAATATGGTGTCTTCGTGAGTTGAAAAAATTGTAACCATCTTCTGTCGCCAATAAATACTTGAAAAAATGATGAAGATCATACTCATAAACAGAGTGCGATTGCGGACGAAGTTCGTAAAAGGGAAAGAAATGGCTTCTCAAAGATGATTCAATTAGGCAAAGATACTCAAGTGTCTGTAATTTTTCAACACTTTCATTGAAGCATGTCTCAATGAACCCATTTTTATACAAGAAACGGAAACCATTCGATGTGTTGCAAAAATTGAATAATAAGAGTCTACCTTCGAAAGAATTTGAAAGTATTTCAATTGGAGGGCTGAACCCAATGAATACGTCAATTCTATCAAGATTGTCTCGAACAAGGTAATACTCATGCAACATTTTGACAGACATTTTAGAAACAGTTTCTGTTTCATCGTATATCAAAGTGCACAAATTGCTAATCACCATTTCCTCACATTCAGGATTTAAAAATAGCTTCTTTAGAACATTTTCAAGCGCAAACAATTTAACAGCAGGATTTGCTACTGTAAATACTTTTGAAAGAAGCAAACGCAATGGACTCTTCTTAGCAAAGTCTAAACTGGATAGCAAAGAGAATATTAAATAGTTGCTTTCTTCACTCTCACTGCTTCCTTCAATGATGTTGTTCAATAGTTGAAGCATTTGCCAGTGTTCAATTATACGAAGCCCATATGTGTTACTCGAAAAGACTCCAATGAATTTGATATATCCAACACTCAATGAGTCTTCTAACCGACGCTTCGAAAGAATGGCTTCTTTAGCGCTTATTCCACTGTAAGGGTCCACTTGAGCAAGAATCTCTGCAATTTGGGGAAGAAGCTTGTTATGCAATAAAAATCTGAATCCTTCTTCGAAGGTTAATAGTGATTCCAACATCTGACAACCAACTGTTATCAATTTCTTCGGAAATTTTAGCTTAGGGAATTTGTGAGACGCATGGGCAGGCAAATTGCTGAAACGGAATTTGAATGGTCTATAAAATAATGTGAGTGCTTTCATGAACTTGGGGAACTTTTCTTGTAGCTCAGAGAAGCGTTTTGGGTTACGAAGAGGGCCTTGGAAAAGTTGTGAAATCACTGTCCAGTTCCATTCTTCGAATTCTTTCGCAACGAGAACTTTTGTTTTTGATATCATTGACTTGAATGTGATGTCATCGATGATATAGCGTGATTGAATGTTAATAGTTTTCATAAGGTCTTTCACGTCGCTTGCTTTCTTGTCATCTTTGCCTTGATGTTGCAACCTCGTGGCAACCTCGATTTGTGCCATTGTCGAAATAGACATGGGTTTGGAAAATGCCTTGAGTACATTCTCATTATAGAACGACTTCGGTAGAAGATTGATGGAAAGTTGAAGGACATTGGTGAGAAGGTAGCATGCTTTGTTGGATATTTCTTCATTTCGGTTCTCGTCAATAATGTCTATTAGTAAAGGAATCAAATCGCAGTTGAGTAGAACCTTGCAAAGAAGGCCCTGGTAATGAGAAACAATTGAAGATTCAAATTTTCCAGGCGGTAGCTCTCTGTAACCTTTATTACTGGAATTCAGATCTATGTTAGCATCATTCATAAAGATGTTATAAAAGTCAGAAATGAATTCTCCAAAAACTGAATTTTCAAACCAGGGAAGAGACCTAATATGAAGTACATCCATTAGAAGGTCCATGATGATTTCTCGTAGCTTATCATTTCTCTTTTTTAGGTTCTCTAAGAGTTCTTTGAGTACTTGGAATTTATCCCTAGAGAAACAAATCATGCCTGTCCAAGTTTTCAAAACCATGGACAAAAGAAAAGATGTCTTTAAAGCGCGGTTATAATACTTTTTGGTATTGGGAATCTTGTCGCTGTCGTCATCTTCAAAAGTCGAATAAACTGAGATCAACGAGTCAAGATCGAACCCGTTGCGGAAGAAAAGACGAGAATTAGGATGGTCCAAAAGTGTTAGTATGGCCACCATGCATGATGCAGCGATATCTGAAGGCCCGTTGATGAGAAGATTTATGAGAAGGCGAAGTCCGCCGCCGTGGAATACAATATCCGGTTTGCTCACAGATATTTCACACACTGTTTCAATGCACATCCGAACAAACATAGATGATACATGAGGCTCAAGGTCTGGCTGGTCTGCCGAAGGCTGTATATCTTCGTTTTCATGTTCCACTAAAGCTACGAGAGCCTTGACCACACCAATAGAGATATAATTTGTTCCTTTAGGAATCTCAATAAATTCTCGAATCAACTTTAGTGCTTCTTGCTTTTCAAGAAAAGGTGTCGGCGTAGATAGGGTGATGATAAGAAAAATGAGAATCTTAGCCTTGACCAAATAAAGCACAGAGTCTTCGCCCGCGATGCAATGTCGGAGAACACGGTACGCGGCACATCGAAGTAGCGAATTGGTGTGGTATAACATGAAGTTTATTTTTGTCATGACATTTTGGATGATAATTTCTTCTCGGAGAGACGGGTTCTCTTTTAATAGATTCACCAACTGATTACTTTTTGTGATTAAAAGCCGGACATCCTCCTTGTCGCGTATGGAAATGCTCTGTAAGATGTCACTGAAAACCCATGTGGCTGTTTCCCAATTCCCATCTTCTTTATATTGTTCGCCAACCGGGGGCCGGCGCAGTGATCTGGATTTCTCGATGGAACTGATATTGAAGCTATCTAACGTATATGACCGAGAACGCGACGTCGGAGTAGAGGATAGAATCCCTAGGCCATCGGGAACTTCTGATGATTCTGATGAGAACCCATTCGGCGCAAATTCTGGTTGCATTGAAGATGGCCGGGTGGAGTAGTTAGTCTTGGGCTGATAAAGGTGACTGCACGCGAATATTCCTGTTTGGTGCATACGCAAAAACTAACATTCGCACTCGCTACAATAGTATGGAGAAGGAAAACAAACACACATAAATTAGGCAAACACAGAAGCCACACGGAAACATTGAGAGAGAAATGGATTTAAATGCACCAGTAGAACCATTTTGATCCTATAATAAGGTAGCGGCATCCTTCTATCAACACCAAAGTATCAACAAAATGTCACAATTACTGTGGTGAATGGCTAATAGTAAGAAAGTAGGCGATAGAATTTTCCTCGGCGAATAAATTACAATTCCGGTTACTCCGTTTCAAACGAAGCATAAGTTCGCGAGCTTTCGCAAATAAATTACGTCTATCAAAAGATAGGCGAGTGATCATAGATCGGGCAATTCCAATCGGGGCAGCAATCCAATTGGGATTATGCCATTTGCATGGGCTTGTCACATGTGGCAGCATTATGAGCTCAACCTTAAACTGTACCAGGAGCCAATCACATCCGTGACTGGCTTGCTATATGCCGGAGTGTAATATCCTTTGTACAAGCCATCGCATGGGGGGTAAAGGTCATGAGGCACCAAAATGTCATAAATTTACCCCTCCCTCAAGCGTGTCGAAAGTGCAAGGATCGCTCGCAATGTTATGGTCACAGAGAGACGTATAGACAGGGGAAGGAGAAGAACGACAAGAAAAATTTGGGGCCTTGCGACATTTAATTGAGACATCCGTACACCACGAACATCAAAGTTTTGATTCGGCCCGAGGCGTCTCCACCCGGTTTAATAGCACCTAAAGACAGCCGCAAGATACCTGGTAGTTGCAATGTAGGTCCAATGTCATTTTCACCTCCACGCCGAAGAATTCCCAACATTAATTTCTGTTTTCGTAAATTGGAAGTCCTTGCGGCTTTCTGGCTCCCCGCATTGGGTGCAGGTCTATCACCACAATTTCATTTTGCCGTGGTCATGTATGCCGTTTTGGATGTTATCTTTGACCGCTGATTACATAAGCTACGGTATGCCTACCCAGCAGCATCCTCATAGATTTATCTAATCTCCACCAGACCCACTTCTCTTACTTTTTGAATTGCGTTTGTTTCTGTTGTCTTTTTCTTCTTTCTGTTTCTAGCATTCATCCCTGGTTGTTGTTGCAATACAGTTCCGCTTTAAGCCAAAAAAATCCCCAGCCTTTTTTCGTCGTTCATCTGGTTCTCTAATCTGCGGATTCATCTTTTCGAATTGACTTTTCCCAGTCTTCCCTCATTTTTCTTCTGTTTGAGCTTTATTTGACCCTTCCATATTCAAGGAATCTACTGCTTTAAAGTTTGCTGTGGAAATGACCCTTTTTCATCACAATGAAAGTGGCTCCTCTGCGACCCCTAACAAGAGTGCTACCCAAAACAAAAGGCGCATGTCGTTGTTTTCCTTTGGATCTTCGGCGAAAAATTCATCTTCTCGTCCTTCAACCCTGCCTAACTCATCGACAGTTGAAGTTGACGATTCCAGACTTCCTTCTACTTCGCCCAGAAGTGGCTCGGCATCTGCGGGATTCCCGAATAAAGAAGATCAAGCAAGTTCTTTCACGGGCTCTCCAGTAGCAGAATCGTGTCCTTTGTCAGAGAGAGCAGGATCTGACATTTTTGAAAGATCAGTGCAAGATTTGTCTGGGCTGGTGAAACAAGAAGATTACATCCCCCCTGCTTTGGATGCTACGGCTGAGATTTTGGGCGACAAGGATACAGACTTGGATGAAGTGGAGATGATCTTCTCCAACAGAAGAAACTCTTCTGTTCTTGGTTTGAACATGGCTTTAGGCCGCTCTTATACGCCTCTGAGGAAAAACAGTGTTTACTCTGTGAACCAGCATGGGAACAGCAGTAAACTCAATTCAATGTCGTCGTTGTCTAACCAGCCTCAGTCGCCTGTCTCCCCACCCAAGTTGGTGAGTTCCAAATCGTCAGTATCCTTTTATTCCTACGCAGACATGATTAATAGCGATGAATTTTCTCGCAGACCATCCATCATGCATTCTTATAGCCACGGAGTAGTCCCCACTTTGGGACGCAAAATGAGTGTCGCTTCCAATCACTCGACATCCTCTGTTGGAAACCAAAATAGCCCAAATAATGGGGCCCTCAACCTTAACACTGGGTCAATAAGTGCTAGCAACAGCCCCATCTCAACCCAAAGCAACAGTCTTCCGTTTAACAAACTTTCTAGAAAATTGACTCTGAATTCAGTTGGCTCTGCGCAATCTCAGTCGCAGTCGTCTAAGCAGATTCATAGAGAGCGTGTCAATCAAGCAAACCAACAAAGGCTCGCTTCGAAGGCCAATGAAAAAGAGTATAGAAGCTTGAATAAGTTTCTCATCAGCCCTGAGTCGTCTGATTCAGAAGAGCAGGACGTTTATTATCCCGCGGAAGCCAGGTCAGAAACTTGTCGCAAAAAATCTCTCTCATCCAACAGCTCGGCTAAGGATAGTGAAAGTTTGGTTTCTTTCTCAGCAGGTGACCGTATTAGACAATGTACTACTGAGATCAGTGGACACTGAGTGGATCTCGTGTTATGCTCTGGCTGGAAGAGATAAGTAAAGGGTTTTCCATAATTCTTTTCTTCTGTGTTTCTTCTTAATCTTTATTATGGGTTGGCCCTCCGTGGTTACACCTAGTGTATTTTAGTTAGTGTTTAAGGACAGTTCGATTTGTTGGAACAAAATCTGTCGATTTTTGCGTAAAAATATTCATTACCTAATCTACTCAGCCAAATAGTTCTTTCTGTTTGCTGTTCTGACAAACCTTCTGACCTTCCACTCAACATCGGCATCCTTATTGTCAATCAAGCCCAATCTCAATTCATAGAGCTTCATTTCGAATCTTGGTCCAACTTCACTCAACTCCACGCCGTCTTTGGTTTTCACATAAACGTGGTGTCTGACACTAATGAAATCATCATTGTTGATGAATGTGATAACTCTTGAACTATCCTTTTTCGCCCCTGGTGGAAACAAATGCTTTAAAATTTTTACCACTCTCTGCCCCAATCTTGTGGTAAAGTTCTCAAAAATTAAATGCGGATAAACTTCTGAAATATTACCAATGTTGGGCAAATCATGTCTCAATTTGACGTTATGCAAAGTGAAAATGGCAGATGGACCGTGGGGAAAATGTGAGACAGTCAAAGATGTGGGAACACCTCTGTGTTCGTGAAGAACGATCAAGTCGTTGATTGCGGCTCTCGCACAAGACTTCACCAACTCAGGAATAATATAGTTACCTCTATTTAGCTTCATGGAGTTTGGGAACATCAACTTGATCTCTTTCGAGAACTGTAGCAACTTCACAGACGGGTTTCTAGATGTAGTAACAATTATTCTTGGGTCATTCACACCACTGAGTGCCAGGTATTCGTCATCAATTTCAGCTTGTTCACTTTCGTCAAAACGAAAGTTTTTGTGAAGTTCAACGTCTTCACTAAGTTCTTTAGAAAGAGGTTTTCCAGACGCGAGTGCTGCCTTCAATTTTTGTCTTTTCTCAAGCTGAGCTTGCTCTTGTAGCTCAAGAGATTTTTTGTATAGGTATTCTCTTCTCTCTCTGGCTTGTCTTCTAATCATGGTCGAATGTAGAATAAAGAGTACACTTATTTTTTTTGTTAGTTGAGTTGCAGGATCTCATCGCGATAGTCGCCTTATCTGAAGGAGAAGTATCCTATGAAAAACTACAGTCTACATGAACTACAAACCAAGAAACCTTCGAAGTGATTTGTTTCTTTGGCTCTACTTCTTCTTTTAAGCAATTCTTCTTTCCTCGTTTATTAGAACTATGCGCAACAGAAGTTCGAAAATAGAGAAGAGCGCACATGTCGAATTCATACTCCTTACGGTATACCCTACTAAAATGTATTTATCAGCTATTATATTCCGATTATGACTAATATTATTATGCTATCGACTCAGACGTGGGTAATTGTTCATTTCGTAAAAGTCTTCTGGTAACTTTGTTGGAGCAGGGAAAAGTGAGTTTTTTCGGTATGCAGCGGCTTTTCGCGTGATTGTTTTCCTCAAACCGTTGAGTCTATCAATAGTAGACGCATCGTTATTGGAGTGAGTGGATATGGAGTCAACTCTTTGAGTTCTTTGTGCGTGTGTCTCTTGCATCATGTCTCTTCTCTGCATATCAGCATCGGGAAGCATAATAGCTCTATCCAAGGAATAAGGTAATCCTCTATGTCTACCTCTAATCATCATTGCCACTATAACAAGTTTAGAAATAGTGGTGAACTCGTGTGATAATGATTGATCGATGTTAGGATACCCCAATGAAAGACCCACTGTACCGTATGCAGAAATGATTTCAAAAAGAATCGTGAACACCGTAAATCGATAATCATTTCTCTTAAGTTTGCCGCCCTCAGCAATGCAAATAATAAAGAGACCCAAGAAAATATACCACAAGTCAAAGGATAATTGATTTCTTAAGTGTGAACCGATAAAATTCTTAGGTGTCTCTTCTGTTGCATCTTCATCACGAGCAGTTGCATAGATACCCAATGATTGTTCTTCGTAGACGTTAGTTCTTCTGATCGAAATGGCCAAAGGAAGCACCGAGATGTACATCATGATCATATAACTGACTTGAATGGATGGATGCAACTGAGATAAATCAACAACGGAAAAGCCAGCGGTTCTGGTACTGAAAGCTTGGAAAAGGCCGTCCAAGACTCTCAAGCCCTTCGGAATTGGCGACAAATATTCGCTGCCAAAGTCCAAAACGATAAAAAGAATCAAGTCTGTCGCATTGAGCACCACCAAAATAAAAAGCAACCACCACGTTGGAATAGATGGGAATAAAAGAGTAAAACACCGTCTTGGATGGTCCAAAAGAAACCCCAAAGATTCCTTAAGCAATGACATGGGTCTTGCAAATTTGAACATAATCCAAATTATGAATCTCAAAATGATGGGGAAACCAGTGTTCCCGATAACGACAAAAAATGAGCATATGACCAATATATAGATGGACCTGCTGTATGTCATCATGGAATTGGGAGTGAGTGTGAGTCCCAAGTCGTTGAAAGATGATTGAGCTGTAAAAAAACCCCACCAAACAGGAGAGAACCCGAGTTCCCTCATTTTAACTGCATAGCCCTTGGCCACTTTGATAAAGCCAACAAATAAGCAGAATGCAACAATATGGAACCCTATGTAGAAGACGACCAATATTTTAATCAACAACTTGATAGCACGATACTCAACACCACCAAGTTCCTCCTTTTGTTCCTCCGTTAAATGCACAAATGTAGAGTTTCTTCCAATGGTGGGAATCCAAGATAAATAATTGGCGCTCATAACATGGCGTAAATGTTCACCTTCGCTCAAAGATGGCTCTTCGTCATCGGTATCAACATTCAGGCATTCGTCTGTCCCTTGCGTGTGATGACGCAGAAGAGTTGGTGTTCTCCATCTGCTGAGTCTCCGAGACCTCGTTTTCCTTGGCCGAGGGTGACGTTCGGGTGCTGCGGCAAACTTCAAATGGGAAGTGTCTTTAGGCCCAATACTGTCTGATTTTTGATCAACTTCATCATCATCCTCATCATCATTTGCTGAAGTCTCAGAGAAAACAGAATAATTTTCCGCGTTGTGATCCGTCTCTGCATCATTATCGGTATCCAAAACATCATCAATGAAGCCTGATCTTCGGCGGTTGTCCTCATCTTCGCTGTCAATGGATTCGTTTTCGTTTAAAGAGTTCAGAGAAAATCTTCTTCGAATTCCTGAGCTGCTATTTCGTCTGATAGTTTCCCAAGTGTGTTTTTTGCGTAAGTTCTTCACACCCCACTTTCTGCGTTTCTTAGGAGTAGAAGACTTCTTTATGTAAATGGGTGTGTTGTTATCCCTCTCAATCTCCTTGGGAGATTTTATCACCAACACATCATCCTCAGCTGCACTATCCAGTCGATTGTTTTGAAGCATAGCAATTGACTTGTACATGTCCGATGGATCAAATTCCTTTCGTCTTTTCAGGGGATGAGGAAGATCTCCGAACTTGATTTTGTCTTTGTTCTCGTCAATATGGGCAGGTATGGGCTCAGCCAACAGAGCTGGGTCACTTGGTTGACTATACATCGTCGATTGACCATTAGTCTCCTCAGGAGTCAGGGCCGAAGTCTTTTGAGGAGACGATTCAAGATGATCGACGGGAGTGGGCGTACGTTCAATATCAATTGCCTCTACCTCAGAAACATCTTCGGGTTGTGTGGTAGGAACATGCACAGGACTAGTTGTCTTTTCCCTTTGCGCCACATCTTCGTTGCGAAAACGTCCTTCTTGGTACCCCAAATTCAGATTATTGACGGTGTTTACCAAAGTCGGATCGATCGAAGTTGTTCGCGCCATAGATGTAGCACTACGCCTCATTCTGTGGTCGAGTTTCGAAGTTTCCTTTATGTTATCAAAGTGTCTTTCAAACCAATAGAGACGCAAAAACAAAAGCGACAGGTGGATGAATATGGGAGTCGTGAGTGTCGTGATTATGTAAACTAAAATCTGTTGCAGGAGCTTCAACTCATTAAGGTTGATTGTGTTCAAGCCAGCCTGAGTACACGCTCCACTCATAAGGAATAAGATGTCGATGTACTCGAAGTTTGAAATAGGATACACAATCACCGATGAAATGAACACCATGGATATAATGTAAACATAATGGGCGGTACGGAAGTTAGGAACAACTTTGCGGACGTATGGATGAAGAGCACCGGAGATCTTGCCGATGATGTTTCGTAGAGTGTGGCCGAAGGTAGTTCCTACCACCTCTTTTCTGAACTTCCTTATAGACTTTAGACCCATTTAGGTTCGTCAACAGAAAAAGGCATGGACCCGTAAGCAAGGATTCAGGTATTAAAGTAATTATTCCACAATGAGATGGGCTTGATTCTTCAGAGGAGGATAATCTTGAACAAAGTCTGTATTGACGATTATTACCTTTTCATAAATTAGGCGCTCATGCAGGCCACCCATGGTTCTAGGGTGGCTTTGCAGACTAGCGATTAAGTTCCTACAGAAGTTTGCTTTGCATTATTTTGCAAACTAATGAAGAAGTTTGGAGCTGTAATGTAAGTTAGTGTCTGGTTCTTTTTCTCTGGTTAGACGGTATTTGCATTTCTTTCAATTTTACTACTCCGAAATTATTTTTTTTTTTTTTTTTTTTTTTTTTTTGACAGCATGGTTCGCAAGAGTCTTCCCTCGCATCGTTTTTGGCAATGTTTCGTCAAAAATTCTTAATACCTTTTAGACGATACTGGATGTTTTATTGAACGATAAACCAAGGAAACAGGTTAGTTCTGACTCATTACTGTCTCATTTTGTCCTTGAATATTTCAGCACTGCCTCATGACACCCTATTCCCAACTGCGCTTCGTGAAGAATAGAGTCGTACCCCTAAAATCTTCCACACCGAAAGTAAATGAAATGTGTAATTCAAATGCTCCAATTGATATATTTATATTTATTTAAGTTCATATTATCCTTCAACTTTTTAAGTTTGTTCTATTTCTTTTTTTGATTCCATTGCTTTCCGTTAACACACCTTGAATCTATAGGTTCTTCGTCCACAATATTGCTTTAAAGGGATGGTGCCGGTCTTCTTCGAGTAATTTTGAGATGTCATGTAATGAAACTTAAAACCCATATCTAAGAAAGCTCCTTTACAGCCCTCTCAACTGTTACGTCATCAGTGAACAAGGAAAGCCATCACATCATTATCAGGCAACTTTAATCTGCTTTCTAACAAAATAGCTCAACTACACTTGTTTCAAATACATGTTCATCAATTAGGTAACTAGTTATTCTGAACATTAAAATGAGAAACTGACACTTGTTTATTGTTGAAGTACTTCAAATTTTCTCTAATTACAATATAAAACTATTCCTTTCAAGAAATGGAGAATAGAAATGCTTTAAAGATTGAAAATCAGGGACAAAAAGAATTCAGAAGTATTCTTCACTAATTTCTTCTGCGAATGCATGACATATGCTTAGGTGATTATCGCACTTTTTTTGAGTAGTGACAACGCTGTACGAAATTGAAGAATACACACTTATCGACGTTTTAACAACAATTCATGCTAGTCATCCACATCAAATCAGCAAAAGAGTACCCATAGAAGAATGATATAGTGTAGGCATGCATGCCAACGACTTTAGAATGTGCAGGCTGAACTTTCTTTCCCCGCTAGTAAATAGTTCGTTCTGCTACTTGAGAGTAGCCTTAACTGAGAATTCGTCTTCTACATTTTTGTTTACTAGTCTTCAGTACGATTCGTTAAATCTTTAAATCATGCAGAATTTTGGCTAGTTGATTGTGTATTGCGGTCATTCACCAAACGGTTGAATAAAAGGCGTCGGCAGTAACGACATTTGCTCTCAAGTATATATGCTCATTAGTAGATTGTAAGCAATGATGTTGAAACTAAACGACTCAAATCACGTCGTGGAAAAGGCGTGAACGTTTTTTTTGACACCAGAATTTGATTGGTTTTTTTTTTTGGTCTGGTTGCAACCTCTTACGTAGCCAAAGCACAAAGATAGCTTTGAAACATTCAAGTTCTACAATTTCTCTCTGTTAACTGCAGAAGTTTTTGTTGGTTGACTCTACTGTTTTAGTTTTATTTCTCTCGTCGTCTTTGAATGAATTAGCCGATCTTTCGAAGATTGAGTCTTGATAGTTGTGTAAAATTACCATATCTTACGGAAACCACAGTAATTAAAAGCCGCTCCTCGCTTAAAGTTCGTAGACACCTTGTCGGTTGGTGTGATTGAAATTTTCTATATCAGACATCAGCAGCAATATTGGGCTGTTGCCCCAGTCAAACGCAATACCGATGACATCGAAAAACCGGTCCTTTACATAAATGCGGGCGTTTGTAGGTAACGAAAGTTCATCGTGTGCCATTAATGATATGGTACTTTTAAAAGCGCATCATATTTCAGGCTTTTTTCAAATGTAGAAAATAAAATGTGGCAACCCGGACGCTTCCTTAAATGTTCTTCCACATCTGGTGCAAATGTCTTCAATTTCGTTGTCCAGGACACTATGAACGTAGCATGCAAGAGTCATTACGTAGAACCGAAATCGTGCATCTGAACATTGGGCACGTGACTATACTACCATTTGCTTCTAAATTACGAGGGCGAAGGCGACAACGGTTGCCCCGGATCTCCGCGATGAGCGACGAAAAATTTTACGCGCAAAGACTATATATACCTCTAGCCTCTGCGCCTGTGTCGAGATCCTTTATTTTCCTTCCTCTCCTTCCTTCTTCCTCCTTCTCAACAATAGGCAATCTTCCTCTTTGCTGTTCTTTGAACCACCCAATTATTCGTCTCCCGAATATTGATGTATGTTTCAAACCACGCAAGAGCCAGAGCTGTTGTTGAGAGAATGGAAGAATGGGTGAAATACCCACCGTAACTCTCTTGCAGTTGTGACTCTTGTAGCTTTTTTTTTTGGTTGTTGTTCCAGTGTGCAAAAACTTGGTATCTTTACATTGCAGTCAGGAAGGATTTTGTTCTAATGGATGTTAATCCATGGATATTAGACATCTCTGACTCCATCAGTTGGCGCACTTTTCCTTTTTTTTGCGATGCCCAGACTTGCACACTACGCATTTCTTCCATTAGTTCATCTTACTAACCACCAGCTCTCTTGTCAACTTTAAAAAAAAAGTATTGATTGCATTCCCCCCACGCTCTCAGTACTGGTTATTCTTTATCAAACCACTTAACTAATCCCGTTTACGTTTTCAAGAGAAGTTTCAAAGATGGCTAGATTGTCTGCTCCAATTTCCCCTCCAATGGAATCTACCGGTGACCGGTTGATGACTTTGGAAACCCAAGACGGCCATGCCTTGCAAGGTTACTCTTTTGGTGCCCCAGTCTCTGCTGCCGGTGAAGTTGTTTTCCAGACCGGAATGGTGGGTTACCCTGAATCCATCACCGACCCTTCCTATGAGGGTCAAATTTTGGTGATCACCTACCCACTTGTGGGTAACTATGGTGTTCCCGACCGTAACTTGAAGTGTGACATTGTTGAGGAGTTGCCAAAGTACTTCGAGTCGAACAGAATTCATATTGCTGGTTTGGTTGTTGCTCACTACACCGAGGAGTACTCTCACTACTTGGCCACTTCCTCTTTGGGTCAATGGTTGCAGAAGGAGGGTATTCCTGCCATGTATGGTGTTGATACCAGAGGTTTGACCAAAAAGTTGAGAACTGAGGGTTCTACCTTGGGTAGAATGGCCATCCAATCTGCAAACTCTAAGCATGATGAAGTTGTGGGCCAAGAAAACTGGGCCCCATTCTTTGACGTTCCCCAATGGGACGATCCAAACGTTAAAAACTTGGTGGCAAAGGTTTCGACCAAAGAACCAGTTTTGTACAAGCCAAAGACCAATGTCAAGACCGACAAGAATGGTAAGCCCATTCGTATTGTTGCTGTGGACGTTGGTATGAAGTACAACCAAATCCGTTGTTTTGTCGCCAGAGGCGTTGAATTGAAGGTTGTGCCTTTTGATTACGACTACACCAATGAAGAATACGATGGTTTGTTTGTCTCCAATGGCCCAGGTGATCCACAAGTGATGACAGATGCTGTTTCCAGATTGGAAAAAGTGATGAAAGAAGGAAAGACTCCAGTCTTCGGTATTTGTTTGGGTCACCAGTTGTTGGCTAGAGCTACTGGTGCTTCTACTTTGAAGTTGAAGTTTGGTAACCGTGGACACAACATTCCATGTACTTCTACCATCTCGGGAAGATGCTACATTACTTCGCAAAACCACGGTTTCGCAGTTGATTCCAAGACTTTGGCCGACGGCTGGAAAGAATTGTTCGTCAACGCCAACGACGGCTCCAATGAAGGTATTTACCACGAGTCGAAGCCTTTCTTCTCCGTGCAATTCCACCCTGAATCCACCCCTGGCCCAAGAGATACCGAATTTTTGTTCGACGTCTTCATTAATGCAGTTGTTGACTTCAAGAATACCGGAGTTTACAAGCCTGTGCAATTCCCAGGTGGCTTGCTTGCAGACAACAGAGCTGCTCATCCAAGAGAAAATGTCAAGAAGGTTCTTGTCTTGGGTTCGGGTGGTTTGTCTATTGGTCAAGCTGGTGAGTTCGACTACTCTGGTTCTCAAGCCATCAAGGCTTTGAAGGAGGAAGGTATCTACACTGTTTTGATTAACCCCAACATCGCTACTATCCAAACATCCAAGGGTTTGGCTGACAAGGTTTACTTTTTGCCTGTCAACCCTGAGTTTGTGAGAAAGGTGATTGAGCATGAACGTCCAGACGGTATCTACTGTACTTTTGGTGGTCAAACTGCTTTGAGTGTTGGTATCGCCTTGAAGGACGAGTTTGAATCCTTGGGTGTCAAGGTCTTGGGTACTCCAATCGACACAATCATTACCACTGAGGACAGAGAATTGTTCGCTAGTGCTATGGAGGAAATCAACGAAAAGTGTGCCAGATCTGAGGCCTGCTCTACTGTTGAAGAAGCTGTTAATGCCGCAAATGCCATTGGTTACCCATTGATCGTTAGAGCTGCTTACGCCTTGGGTGGTTTGGGCTCTGGTTTCGCTGACAATGAAGCAGAGTTGGTAGCCTTGTGTCAAAAGGCTTTTGCTACATCTCCTCAGGTTCTTGTTGAAAGATCCATGAAGGGTTGGAAGGAAGTTGAATACGAAGTCGTTCGTGATGCTTTTGATAACTGTATCACTGTTTGTAACATGGAGAACTTTGATCCTTTGGGTATCCACACTGGTGACTCTATTGTGGTCGCTCCATCTCAAACTTTGTCGGACGAGGACTACAACATGTTGAGAACTACTGCTGTTAACGTTATCAGACACTTGGGTGTGGTTGGTGAATGTAACATTCAGTATGCTTTGAACCCATTCTCCAAAGAGTACTGCATTATCGAAGTTAATGCTAGATTGTCTCGTTCTTCTGCTTTGGCCTCTAAGGCTACTGGTTACCCATTGGCTTACACTGCTGCTAAGTTGGGTTTGAACATCCCATTGAACGAGATCAAGAACTCTGTTACCAAGTCTACTTGTGCATGTTTCGAACCTTCCTTGGATTACGTTGTCGTTAAAATTCCAAGATGGGATTTGAAGAAGTTCACCAGAGTTTCTTCCTTGTTGTCTTCTTCCATGAAATCCGTCGGTGAAGTCATGTCCATTGGCAGAACTTTCGAAGAAGCCATTCAAAAGGCAATCAGATCCACCGATTACCAAAACTTGGGTTTCAACTCTACTGCCGCTTTGATGTCTATTGACATTGACACTGAATTGCAAACACCTTCCGACCAACGTTTGTTTGCTATTGCCAACGCTTTGACTGATGGTTACAGTGTTGACAAGGTTTGGCAATTGACTAACATTGACAAATGGTTCTTGAACAAATTGGACGGTTTGATCAAGTTTGGTAAGAAGATCGCCGACTTTGGCTCTAAAGAAAAATTGCCAGTCCCAGTGTTGAGACAAGCTAAGCAATTGGGATTCGAGGACAGACAAATTGCCAAGTTCTTGGACTCTAACGAAGTTGCCATCAGAAGAATGAGAAAGGAAGCTGGTGTCATCCCATTTGTGAAACAGATTGATACTGTTGCTGCTGAGTTCCCAGCCTTCACAAACTACTTGTATGTGACTTACAACGCTGACTCTTCCGATGTGGACTTCGAGGACCACGGTGTTATTGTTTTGGGTTCTGGTGTTTACAGAATCGGATCTTCCGTCGAGTTCGATTGGTGTGCTGTCAGAGCCATCAGAACTTTGAGAGAAAACAAGATTAAGACGATCATGATCAACTACAACCCAGAAACCGTTTCTACTGATTACGACGAGGCAGACAGATTGTACTTCGAAACTATCAACTTGGAAAGAGTGTTAGATATTTATGACTTGGAACAATCTTCTGGTGTTGTGATTTCTATGGGAGGTCAAACCTCTAACAACATCGCCTTGACTTTGCACCGTCAAAACGTTAAAATCTTTGGTACCTCTCCAGAAATGATCGACTCTGCTGAGAACAGATATAAATTCTCCAGAATGTTGGACAAGATTGGTGTCGACCAGCCTGCTTGGAAAGAATTGACTTCCATTGCTGATGCAGAAGAGTTTGCTGAAAAGGTTACCTACCCAGTGTTGGTCCGTCCATCGTACGTCTTGTCCGGTGCTGCCATGAACACCGTTTACTCTAAGGCTGATTTGGCTTCCTACTTGTCGCAGGCTGTGGATGTTTCTCCAGACTACCCAGTTGTTATCACCAAGTACATTGAGAACGCCAAAGAAATCGAGATGGACGCTGTCGCCAAGGACGGTCAAATGATCATGCATGTTGTTTCTGAACACGTCGAAAATGCCGGTGTTCACTCCGGTGATGCTACTCTTATCGTTCCTCCTCAAGACTTGGATCCAGAAACTGTCCGCAGAATTGTTGAAGCTACTGCTAAGATCGGAAAGGCCTTGGACATCACTGGTCCTTACAACATTCAATTCATTGCTAAGGACAATGACATTAAGGTCATCGAATGTAACGTGCGTGCATCTCGTTCTTTCCCATTCATTTCCAAGGTTGTCGGAACCGACTTGATCGAAATGGCTACGAAGGCCATCATGGACCTTCCAGTAACTCCATACCCAGGAAAGAAATTGCCTGAGGATTACTGTGCTGTCAAGGTTCCACAATTTTCTTTCTCGAGATTGGCTGGTGCTGACCCAATTTTGGGTGTCGAGATGGCTTCTACTGGTGAAGTGGCCACTTTCGGAAGAAACAAGTACGAGGCTTACTTAAAATCGTTGATTTCCACCGGATTCAAGTTGCCAAAGAAGAACATTTTGTTCTCTATTGGTTCATACAAGGAGAAACAAGAGTTGTTGCCTTCCATTAAGAAATTGCACGAGTTGGGCTACACTTTGTTTGCCACAGCTGGTACTGCTGATTTCATCAAGGAGCACGACATTCCCGTCCGCTACTTGGAAGTGTTGAAAGACAGCGATGACCAAAAATCCGAGTACTCGTTGACTCAACACTTGGCTAACAACTTGATCGACTTATACATCAACTTGCCATCTTCGAACAGATTCCGTCGTCCAGCATCTTACATGTCCAAGGGATACGAATCTCGTCGTATGGCTGTCGACTACTCTGTGCCATTGGTGACTAACGTCAAGTGTGCTAAGTTGTTGGTTGAAGCATTGGCTAGAAACATCTCTTTGGATGTCAGCAACAACGATGCTCAAACCTCACACGACACGGCCGAGTTGCCAGGTTTGGTGAACATCACATCGTTTGTTCCATCTTTGAACGACTTTGAGGCTACCACCAAGGCTTCCTTGGCTGCCGGTTTCACCTTCAACTCTTTCTTGCCTCAAACTGTGGCTGGATCAACTGTTGTGGACGTTGAATCTTTGGCTGATGCTCTTGAGTTGGCTTCCGAGTCGGCATACACTGACTATTCGTTGTCAATTTCGGGATCAGCCACCAACGCCGAGGAAGCTGCTTCAGCTGCTAACGCTGGCTCTTTGTTCTTACCTTTCAACGAGCTTGCAAACTCCAAGGTTTCTGCTGTTTCGGCTCACTTTGCTTCTTGGCCTGCTTCCAAGCCAATGATCACCGACGCAAAAGCTACGGATTTGGCTTCGGTTTTGTTGTTGGCTTCTTTGCACAACAGATCCATCCATATCACTGGTGTTTCTAGCGAAGAGGACTTGGAATTGATCAAGATGGCCAAGGCTAAGGATTTGCAAGTGACATGTGACGTTGCCGTTTATTCTTTGTTCTTGTCTAAAAACAACTACCCACAATTCAACTTCTTGGCCTTCTCAAGAGGACCAAGATGCCTTGTGGGCCGGTTTGGAACACATCGACTGCTTCTCTGTTGGTGTCTTGCCTTATTTGGTTGCCAAGGGATTGGGCCACGATATTACACCTGGTTTGGGTTTGAAGGAGACTTTGCCATTGTTGTTTTCTGCTGTCAAAGAAGGAAAACTCACTACAGAAAGACAATTATTCTCCGCTTGCATAACAAATCCAATCAAGATACTCCACCTTCCTAAAGCAAGATGCATCTGTTGAAGGTTGATATTTGATAGAGTTGTGAACCGTGGAACGAAGACAGGTTTCGACTATTTTCAAGAATATGACTTTGCAAGGTTACATTTGAGCGTGCTCTCTTACCATGGGGAAACAGTTTGGCTTAGATGGTGCTCGTTTTGACAACTGACACCAGAGGTGAGAACGGTGCAATTGCTAGAGACCGTTTTGGTTCGATCACTTCCATCCCACAATCGCCAGCCTTGGGCAAGAAAACTAGAATGTCTTTCAGCGAAGGTCGTCGTCCATCTTTCTTGAAGGAGAGAGAGCAACATCCAGCTGCTGAGTTGGAAAAATTGGGCTCGAAATTGGTCTCCCAACCACCAGCAGGTAACTTGTCAGATTCCAATGCTTTAATCAACTATATCAGACACCACAACGTTTTCTTGCGCAACTCGGTTTTGTCTGTTAAGGATTTCACAAGAGCAGACATGCACAGCTTGTTTACCGTCGCTCAAGAAATGAGATTAGCTGTCGAAAGACAGGGAGTCTTGGACTTGTTGAGGGGTCGTTTGTTGGCTACAATGTTCTACGAGCCATCGACCAGAACTTCTTCTTCTTTTGACGCTGCTATGCAGAGATTGGGAGGTAGAGTTGTTGCTGTGGCCGCTGGTTCATCTTCTGTCAAGAAGGGTGAGACCTTGCAAGACACCATTCGGACATTGGCTTGCTACTCTGACGCTATCGTGTTGAGACACCCAGAGGAAGAGTCTGCAGAAATTGCTGCTAAATATTCGCCAGTTCCAATTATCAACGGTGGTAACGGAACCAAGGAACACCCAACCCAGGCTTTGTTGGACTTGTTCACCATCAGAGAAGAGTTGGGTACTGTGAATGGTATCACTGTCACCTTCATGGGTGACTTGAAATATGGCAGACCAGTGCACTCATTGTTGTACTTGTTGCGTCAATACCACGTGAGAGTGCAATTGGTTGCTCCAAAGGAATTGGCGTTGCCTTCCAGCCTTAGAGATATGTTGGTGGAAAACAACATGTTGGCTTCGGAAACTCAAGAGTTGACACCAGAAATTATTGCTAAGTCCGACGTCTTGTACTGTACTAGAGTACAGGAAGAACGCTTCCAAGACAGAGAGCAATACTTGAGATTGAAGGACACTTACGTGGTGGACAACAAGATCTTGTCGCATGCTAAGCAACATATGTGCGTGATGCACCCATTGCCTAGAACATCGGAGATCAAGGAAGAAGTGGACTTTGATCAAAGAGCTGCATACTTCAGACAAATGAGATACGGATTATACGTGAGAATGGCCTTGTTGGCTATGGTCATCGGTGTGGACTTTTAAACAGAACAGCTCCCGTTTGGGGGAATGGGAGCCTTCTACATAGTAAAATAAAGTTCTATATTTATACGAGGTAGTCTAAACTATGATTTTTGAGGGACAAAAAATCTGTCGACTGTGTGACGCTATGGAGAAAGAAATCTTGAATCAACGTGTTTTGTTTTCAGATGCTTCTGTATTAAAGTACTTAAAGAAAGACAGGTTTACTCATCCATGATGATGAATATGAAATAGTACAAAGTGGGCACATTGCTGATCAGTTTAACCTGTTAACAATATGAACTTTGGACAATATATTTGAGATATGTGAACAGTAAATAAGACGAATAGATTGAATGGGTGTAGATTAATTTACGCGTTGTCCTTGATCACAGGGAACGGAAATCATGATTGAGCAAACCTACCACACGTTCAGAGAACAGCGAGGACAGTGTAAATGCATGCTGTCTCAGATTTCTATTGACTTGAACTAGTAATTTCGATATTGGGTAGGTGAGCTACAGAGAACTTGTACTGTGATCAAAAGTTGTGTCAGGCTTCATCTTGAGACAGCACTTACTTCTTTGTCATTAACGCCAATCAGTTTCTATTGTTTTCCTGCAACCCAGAAGCTAAACACCGGTTAAAAGCCACGACGAGATTTCAACAACGCAATTATGGTTGGGGGCACTGATCCTATCATATATTGGGTGGTCCGGATAAAGCTTTTCTGAAATACAAAATGCCACAAGGTGAAGCGACACTTGAGTTGTCCTAGGTGCAATGCCAGCCCAGTCAGATTTTGCTATTGAAGGCTGAGTCTGAAACTTGGCTCATAAGAGATTACTTCAGTCATGCAAGAAGTATGAAAGGGCCAAAAGGCTGTCCGCTTAAGATCGTATCTTGCGCAGCAAACTGCTGTTGAACTAAAGAAAACTTCAAAAAAAAAATATTGGTATTGTCCGATTACCAAGTATCTATGCACCGTAAACTGAAGCCCGTGATTCATACCAATATCTAGTCATTCTTGAAAAACATATTCGTCACGTCACCATTGGTGTCCTTCCGCCGCTCCTGCTCGTCATCATTGTGTACCAACGCTCGTGCTATCTCAATCTCGTCACCCCCAGAATTATGATCAAACACAGACACATCGGGATCTACCGGTACATGTTCACGCCCATTGCGTTCCTTGTAGTGGTAGTCACCAGAGTAGAACTGGTTCGCATGATTTCCCACTGCACCTGCTGCCACTGCTGCATATGTGGGCGGCGAACTATGATCACGTCGAGGGGGCTGTCTCTTTTGTGCAGCCTCCACAACAGCCATCAAACCGTCATCCAAACCCAAGTCGTGCGGAAGCAAGTCACCTCTACCGGTTAAGTGGAGCATATCATCATTTTGACGCACATTAGGCCGCAGAGGTTTTGCTGCAGGGGGTCTCTCTGTCCTCTTTGGCCGCTTCATGTGTACTTCTTCTTTAGCAGACTCACTGCATGTGACGCAGTTCTTAATGGCGGCAGACACTGTATCTTTTATTCGTGTCCAGTGGTATTTTTCTGTCACAGCAGCTGTGGTTTTATTAATCCCGCCGTGGTTGGCCATGTGGAGCTCCGTGCAAATTTGGAGTTGACGAACAGGGTCACTCACTACCTCACGATCGCGAAGTTTAAGCTTCCCGTCCTCGATACGGTAATGCGAAGCCGATGACCGGAGCCGCAGCTTCTCCAGACGATCTGACATAGCCGGGTACTTTCCTGTTTCCAAGTAAAAACGGATGCGATCAAAGCGATATGCGCCCATGGACGAATCTGATACGGTCACCAACTCGCGGCCATAGATGATTGCATCTACAGCAGTATCGTGGCCCTTCAAAATACCTGCCGACTTGACTCGGCCAATTCGTTTAAAGTTGAGCAGCTCCCAAATTCGCCGAGCAGGCACGTTCGTCTCAAAAACCAAGTTGAAAACACAATACGTGTAACCGAGACGCGGCGCCCATTGCAAAAAACAATCTGTCAAAGTACGCCCAATCCCCTTGCCCCTAATACCAGCATTGACCAAAAAGCCCGCTGTACATACGTGAGAAGCTCTACCAGGGTAGTTGGGCTTGATGAAGAATGTTCCAAGACAGTACTTTTCCCACTGTTTGGGGCCCTCCAACGTTGGCGCGTCACCCAAGACCATAACACCTGCAAACGCCCCGAACCAGTAGTTTTGAAAAGCATCAATATGCAACGTGTCAAAAAACGCAAACGTGTCTCCACGCTCCACTTCCATGTTGAACTCATCACAAAGAAATGCTAAAAGCCCAGGCGGAAGCTCGCTTGGACTTTGGATCGGATAGATAGTAGCGGTTGTTTCGCCATCTTTAAGAAGAACTGTATATCGTTCAACAGCTGAAACAGGCGAGTAGTCGAGCTGCGGCCGATAATGAGCAGGCAGAATCACGTCGTCAAACTCGGGCATGGATGTATATCGTGGTCCGAGTGTATATCGTGGGATAAAAAGTGCGCGCACGTGAGATGGGCACGAAGACCTGTGGATTGGTAATGAGCCAAATTCATTTTCGATTTGCTATAAGTTTCAAAAAAAATAACTGTTTTCAAATTTCCGTTTGCGAAAACCATACTCTGTTAAAATCTGCCTAGATAGATGATATAAAGAAATAAACAATGCGAGTATGGATTTGGGACATCTGCGGGCTTTTGTACATTCGCAACCACCAAGCCTAACAGCTTAAGTTGACTTTGGTTTTTTTTGTCAACTTGAATTATGGTCCTATTTTTTAGTATAGGTGTCAGTCTATCTAACTAAAGATTACGTGTAATGTATCTGTATATTAACTTATCAGGGGAGAATTGGGAGGAGACATCCAGTCTTAGACAATCTACAGTTATTGTGAATATTTTGTTGTGTCAAGCTAAACGTCCTCATCTAGATAGAGATCATTCAACGTTTCCTCATGTTCACCTCTTCTTAGAGTAGAGCCTCGCTAAGTCCCCCACAAGCTTCTATGACTTGTCCATTTGCAGGGTGTCAAAGAATCTACCTTGCCCATTAATCATCAAATTTTTGACCAACAGTTACAGTGTGCGCATTGAAAGAAGTTTTAAGAGATAATTTAGTTTATATTACTATTTCTAATTCGACCTAGCTCTCCTTCTTTAAAAGTGGAACTCTTGGCATTTATAAGTCCGACGGTCTAAGCAGTTATCAGCATTATTAGACTAAGTCTTTACCATACATGTATGCGCCGACCAACTTCAGTTCCCCTTTCAAAGCAGCGACGTTTTTCACATATCCAATTCTGTCAAAGCCCAAGGAATCCCAAATCCTACAGCTGGCTGGATTTGTCTCGAAAACAAGATTGAAGACAGAATAAACGTAACCTAATTTAGGAGCAAGTTCCAAATACTTTTTGCCCATTTCAAGTCCCAATCCTTTTCCCCTAATGGTATGTTTTACAACGAAGCCAGCATTACACACGTGTGAACAGCGTCCAATATAATTGGGCTTGATATAAAAATAACCCAAAAACTTCTCGTCCCAAAACTCTTTAGGTTCATTTCTCCAATCTTCATTGTACTCACCCTTGATCCAGATGGCAGCAAACCCTTCGAAAAGATAATTCATATACTCTTCATAGCTCTGTTGAAGATAATGGGGATAGGTCCTTCCCTCTTCAATCACATAGTTGAATTCTTCAAGACACGCCTCTAGAAGACCTTTAGGAACGTCTTCTTCTTTGTGCGCTGGAAGAATCGTCACTTTTTCTCCAGTTTTTGGCAAAATGACAGACATGCGGTCCGTAATTCTAGGAGTCCGTTCATACTTACGGTCAGCGAATGGAAGGGTCAGCAAGAAGTCGAAGTCGTAGGACATGGTTGTTGATACGGTGAGTCAGATAAGGCGTCTGCAGGATGAAAATATGTTGAGAACTAACTACTAAGATGCTATATGCACACCAGGTATGTTCTCTACCTCATTTATTTTTCACTACAGACTTACCTTTGATCACACCGCGGGATCACCGCGGACCCCTCGGACCTATCGTATCTCGTCGGGATCTCCCTATCTCATATCTGTCCTCGGGACTTCCCATTCTCCTATCTTATCTTGAAGGTCACTTCCGTAACAGTCTCTGGTATATAAGATCACTACTTTTCTCTCTGTGATGGATTCTTCTCTAAGGATCATCCCATCCCTAAATATCAAGTTTAACTATACGTTACTTATCTGAAATGTCAAACCCAACCGTCAACACTGAAGGAACTCGCCCCAGCTCGTCCTCAAGTAACTCTACTGGTTCTGTTCTCGATTCAACAACTAGAGAGACAGGAGTGTATAGAGCAGACATTCTTGCGCTTTCTACTTCACAAAATATTAAGAATGTCACATCAGAGAGCAGGAACGAGAAAATGGAAAATACTATCGTGACCAGTAAGAAAAGGCAACGTGTGTACAAAGCGGATCGAGTAAAGAATAGGGACAAGTTTAATCTTCAAAGGCTAGGGTAAATAGTGTCTGTTAGTGGATCATATGGATCCTCAACAAAGTTATTACGTATATACTCTCCTGGCGTGTACAGTTTTAGAGTCAAGTCTCAGTGAGATTTCTGCATCAAATAACTTCTGATCCTATTCATTTTACCGACACCTAATAATTTGTTGTTTCAAGGACCCTATAGTTCTGTCATTATATGCACACCAAATAGACGTCTTCTCTTTTCGTCCGGTACAGGGCCCACCTCTCCACACATTGACCCTTTCATTTATCTTTTCATCCATCCTTTTACCCATGTCTGAAGGTATGTGAATTCCGGCTCAACTTCGTCACTTTTATTGATATAATTCTAACCGCAGCAAGCAAAAAAGATAAACGGCGCCAGCAGATCGGTGCTCGTCTTAGCAAACTCGAGTCAACTTTCGGCGATGATAGAAGTACTTTTTACCGTTCTATGCTCCACAACCTTCTGACATCTCTAGCGGCCATTCAACAGGGGACGCATGAAGAGTATCTCAGCAAACGGCAGGAACTAGAACTGGCTCGTGACTACGAGCTCACCAGACTCCGTCTATGGGAAGAGTATCAGGTGAAGCGAGTAGAAACAGAGTACAAAGAGGACATCGCTGTCGCCAAGCAAACCTACGATATGATGGTGAAGCTTCTCAAAGAAAAGTTTTACGACAAGCTTCAGAGGCAGGTGAAGCAGCTCAAGGAGGATAAGCTTTTGCTCAATTTGATCAATGCCAGTCTGTGGAGCCCAAACGGGAACGATGCTACCGTGTCTGCACTTTCTGCAGCAGCAGCAGCATCATCTCTCACACTTCATGACCGGCGGTCGCTCCGTAAACGTGATTTGCACTCGCGGTTTGCCTCGGGAGAAGCTGATGATCTTTCCGAAAGTAACATGAGCGGTGGAAGCGGTTTACGGACGGGATCAGGACTGGCTGGCTATATCTCTGCATCTGGGAAAAGAAGGCGTCACTACGCCACAAGATATTCCTCAAATGATGAATCTTCGGGTGTGGGAGGAGCAAACGGAATGAAACTGGCTGGTACTGCAAGTAGCGGTAATGACAGCAATCTTTCTGACAAAGACTACGATGCATTGAACCAGATGATTATGAATAACGACGAAGGTGTGCCGCTGATGTTTGGCGCCCGCCCACGGCCTGCCCGCGGCTCCCACAAACAATTTGTCGGTGTTCAAGGTTTGCGTCCAGACGAGTTAAATTCTGACTTAACTTTGCTTCGCAATGCAGTAAAGCGTGAACGGTGATTGCTCCTTGTTGCTGTAAAGTATTAGAAAGTACTGGATTTTTTCTTTCACGTTGGCATTGTTGCACTTAGAGAATCAGACGGCAGCTTTCATTTCGCCTAGTGCAGGGGTCCAAAAATGGGAGGGTATGCAAAAATCCAAATTTTCATTCAGGGAATTACGAGACATGAAAGCGGCTTATATGTACATTTGTGGCCATTAAAGGTGATGGCTACGTATACATTTGTCAAGATTAGCACCGTTTCAGATGCTTAGAGCAAGCATGTGGGCCTCAGTGCTCATCCCGTATGGCATTTTCGATTCATAATCTAAAATAAAATCTATGGCGAAGCAATTGAACATTGTACTCACTGTTCAACGCACTCTATCTTTTATCTAGATTGAGCTCATAACTCCCTCATTACGGGTGTGCAAAACTACGTGCGAATGTTCCTTTTCTCATCTTAGCTGGAGATGGTGCATAAAAAGCGTCACGGTTCGTAATCTCTTACAAAGTCAATATCTTTTTGTAGGCTAGCACGCCTCGAATTGTAACTGTAACATCTTCATTACAGCACTAGTTGCTAATTCGCATTGTAGATATGGGGATTCTGTGAGCGCAGGAAGCGCACTTTTTATTTCTTACCGATCACCATCCATAATGTTTGGCCCTCTCATGAAACGAGCGTTACAAAAACTCGGCCGAGGGCAGCGAATAAGTTTCCGGTCACTCAGGAAGATAGCGATTTTGCTTCTTCTGGCAGCGCTTCTCGTCACCTTCCTCGTTCTATCCATTAAAAGCCATCTTCGAAAATTGCAAGACAAAATCGAAGGAGATCGTCCCCATGTTCATAGTCACAAGAGCAAACTAAGCAACAAAATAATTTCTCTGGAAGCGGACGCCCCTTTTGTCGTTGGATGCCGCGTACCAGATGTGAATGGACCGCGGGCAAATGCTTCTTTCGTCATGTTGGCCCGAAATTCCGAATTGGACGATGTGGTGAGTTCCATGAAATCCATGGAGCGCCATTTCAACCAATGGTTTAATTATCCGTGGGTGTTTTTGAACGATGTAGAGTTTGACGATACTTTCAAGTCAACGGTAGCGAAACACACCAAGGCCAAGGTTGAATTTGGTGTGGTGCCGCAAGAACAGTGGGAGTTTCCATCTGACATCGATAAGGACGAGTTTGAAGAGGCTATAGAATCTCAGGGTGACCGCACAATCATGTATGGTCAAATGGCATCCTACCACAAAATGTGCAGATTCTATTCGGGCCATTTCTATAGCCACCCACTTGTGACTAGAAATAAATGGTACTGGCGGGTGGAACCAGACGTTAAATTCTTCTGTGACCTTACTTACGACCCCTTTATTGAGATGGAAATGAGAAACAAAAAATATGGTTTCACTGTGACTATTGAAGAGCTCTACTACACCGTCCCATCTCTCTTCCGCCACACAAAAGCTTTCATCAAAAAAAATAATATCAAAGTGGCTAGTGCTTGGGACATATTGGTGACAAAATACTTGAAACCGTCGGGACCAGATGCAGAGCGCTTCCGCTTTATGGAAAAGAAGAGTGATTTAGCGAAAGCTGTGCAGCAAAATAAGGTTTTGCAAAGATTTCTCAGACTGAATGTCGACGACTCGAGATTACAAAAGATCCAGGAATTTAAACATATGCCTGATGTGTTTGAGCAAGCATATCAGAAGCCACCACTATTTGAGGACAGATATGATGACGAAGAATACAATTTGTGTCACTTTTGGACCAACTTTGAAATCGCACAAACTGACATCTTCACTTCTCAAACGTACCAGGACTACTTCCAGTATTTAGAAAAGAGCGGTGGATTCTATAAAGAACGTTGGGGTGATGCACCAGTGCATTCTTTGGCTGTTGCGATGCTTCTTAATAAAGAAGAACTACATTACTTCCGGGATATCGGGTACAAACATACAACGTTGGGCCACTGCCCTAATAATGCTCCCGATAACCAACTTCCATACAAGCCCGCTGGTTATGAGGAGGAAGAGAAACCATGGTATATGACTTTCATGGATGAGCCTGATCGACCAGTGAAGAACGGTGTAGGCTGTCGCTGCCGTTGTCCTTATAAACATAGAGAGCTTGAGGACCATAATAATAAGTGTATGCGTCGTTTTATTCAGGTAATGGCGGATGACTACAAAGATGACCATGAGATTGCACTTCGGCCTCTTGAGGATGCTGCAGAACGAGAAATCGTGAGACACTTACGCAGCGGTGATGACTTAGAGGAATTCTCACCATAAATATATGTTGCAGAAGTAGATGGTGCCATTTCTGGAACTGTCCAATTCAACGAAGTTTCAAGAGTGACGCTTTTTGTTCCAGCATTGGAAAGGAGCATATTTGGTGTATTCATTCTGAGGCCAGTATGAAAAAAGGAATATTCATTTAGCTTCTTCCGTCGATGATATTAATAGAAGATAGCACCCACGTCATTAGAGGGGAAGCCACGATGGTACTTTTTAAACCTGACATGGGCAATACAGTTATTGGAGTAGCTCGATCATTACTACTAAGGCTTCCATGGACACACAATCAAAAGCTTTCATTGAGAAGACTCAGTTCCGTACTGGGCCAATTAAGGGATACGTTAGTTGTTCGTCAGCAACCTGACGCATACGAAATATGGAAGGGCATAAATCAACGTTCGAAGAAACAGAAACCAGTCCGTCATTTTAACTCCACAATTCCATCAAGCTACACTCAATTCGAATCAATATAAATTCTAATATACACCGCAGAATGGAACTAGTAATACATAATGGCAATCAACCACCGAAACCATACAAGGTTCTACCTTGTCTCTTCAAAGCGTAGACGACATCAAGAGATGTAACAGTCTTTCTCTTGGCGTGCTCAGTGTAAGTGACAGCGTCTCTGATAACGTTTTCCAAGAAGGACTTAAGGACACCTCTGACTTCCTCGTAGATCAAAGCAGAGATACGCTTAACACCACCTCTTCTCGCCAATCTTCTGATAGCTGGCTTAGTGATACCTTGAATGTTGTCTCTCAAGATTTTTCTGTGACGCTTAGCGCCACCCTTTCCAAGACCTTTTCCACCTTTTCCTCTGCCGGACATTGTTGTATTGTTTGTATGATGGAGAAAAAAATAGAGGGTGGTGGAATGTGATGCTCTTATATATTTCGCTCCACTTTGCACCCACCTGGGACGGCAGATCCACGCTGGTTACCTGCAGTACGTGAATATCCTCCAACCGCGCATAAAGCCACCAGCCCAGCATTTACGCATTTTTCTGGTCGCGTGCGCGCTTGAAAAGGGTGTCTGACAGGTTTGGTGCGCGAGAAAAGCTGCTGGACTCCGTGCTGCAGATTACGCACCGCACCGTGTAGATTGCAGCACCGAGCCAAGGTCACTTTTCTCACTCGCGAAAGAGCAAAATGCCACTTTGGCCGCGCTTCTGTATTTCTTCGCGCGCTTGTTTTTCCTTCCGCCGCGGAGGAGATTCGGGGCCAACAAAACAAAACATCGTCATCAAAACAGGCGCGCCATATATATAGTGAGACGAAACCTGGTCCCAGTAGGCTTTTTTTTTTTGTATTCTATCACAGAAAATGGCTAGAACCAAACAAACCGCAAGAAAGTCCACTGGTGGCAAGGCCCCAAGAAAGCAATTGGCTTCTCAAGGCCGCTAGAAAGTCTGCTCCATCTACCGGTGGTGTCAAGAAGCCTCACAGATATAAGCCAGGTACCGTTGCCTTGAGAGAAATCAGAAGATTCCAAAAGTCCACTGAGCTTTTGATCAGAAAGTTGCCTTTCCAAAGATTGGTTAGAGAAATCGCCCAGGACTTCAAGACCGACTTGAGATTCCAATCCTCTGCCATTGGTGCTTTGCAGGAATCCGTTGAAGCTTACTTGGTTTCCTTGTTTGAAGACACCAACTTGTGTGCTATCCACGCCAAGAGAGTCACCATTCAAAAGAAGGACATCCAATTGGCCAGAAGATTGAGAGGTGAGAGATCTTAAGGGTTTTTAGTTCGTGTCCCAATATTGGTTTTGTAAATTAGTTAATACACAGTGTGATGAGTAAAGCTTGTAAGAGCGCGCGCCTGAACCAAAAGATGGAGCGAAAGAATAATGGCCCTGTGCCTTGCACCTAAAATCAGTGCGATCCTGCAGAAAGAAATGGTCTTGAGACAATTCTCTTTCCCCAGTCCTGTATCCGCTTGATTATTGCTTTCCCCCATTTCTCTTGGTTTTCTCTTCCATACACCATGTCGAACGAGAAAGACATCTATTCTTACATTCTGCAGGCTTCTCAGTCACCATTGCCAGCCTGGGCAATGTCTGCATCCTTGCTTTACTCCGGGTTGAACACTCACACTGCTGTGGATACCAAATTGGGTTCAGGTGGTTCGTCTCGTTTCAGCAAAGCTTTGGCCCTCTCAAAGCCAACTAAAAAGTCATGCTTCCTTTTCGGTGGTGTCAATGCCTTGGGTGGATACATCATTTATGACGGTGACATATCGAACGGTGCAGGTTTCACTTTCGCCTGGTCCGTCCTCTATTTGCTTGTGAATGGAAAGTCAGCGCTCAAAAGCTTGACGCGCGGCCGTCTTTCGCCAATGGCACTTAGCATTCTTGCCTTGGGCAACACAGGACTTTATGGTCGTGAGTTTTTCTGGTCCTCGGCATAAATAGGTTGTTGGCTGTTCGTTACGTATCAGCCAATGCAAGCAAACACAACAAATATTAGCAACCAGCAAAGTGAAAAGGAACAAGCATCGCTCAGTCCCAATTTAATGGCACGAAGTTGTTGTCCTCCGCATATTTCACTAAATTTGTCTCGTCGTAGAGCTCTATAAACTGTTGGTCCATGGGTCTTTCCTTAGGTGCCGCAAATTTACGGTACTCATCGAATATTATTGTCAACGACCAGCCTTGAAGTCGCCGCAATATCCCCACAAGACAGCCTGTTCTATGCTTTCCACGGTTGCAATGGATGAGAATGGGTTGATTGGCGGGGTTGAGAACAATTTTTGCTGCTTCCGTAATCAAATCACTCGAGATTATAACAAACGGCTCTTTGTTTCCCGACATGCCTAGTTGAAAAAGTTGTATTCCCTCTCGGGCGAAAAAATCCGTATGTGTCTGTGGGTATTCTTCTGGAATAAGACAAAGCACGGATTTGAGGTTCAAAGTCTTGAGAAACGCAAAACTAGGCGGCTGTGGGAAAGATGACCGGTATATATTGTTGATTACGGGTGCAAAGTTCTCTGGCGGTGAAAGAGGATGGGAAGAACCATCTTGGGAAGCGTAGAATTGTGCTTCCAATTTTGCAGCGGCCTCTTTGTCAAACTTATCATCAATATCTTCATCATAGGCAGTTTCGTCCTCTTCTGTGGTAGTACCAGCGCCATCCTCTAGCTTAATGTGGTCTATTCGGGATCGTAGAAGCTTAGACTCATTCACTATTGTATTCTGCTTAGATGTTTGGTGTGGCTCACTGGGGCGCGGGGATACGGTCTTTCCAAGATCAAGTCGCCCTGTATCCAAATCCTGAGGCGTCATTTCGGAAAATGACAACTCCTCGTCCATTTGGAAAGGATTTTCTGTGGAATCCATAACGTTTGGCGTAAGTCTGATGCTTGGATATGGCGGAAGTACAATGCGAGGTAGAGTCACGTGCGTACCCGCCTCAAATTAAAAGAATTCAGACGTGAATAAATGTCTTTAGATCTAATACAATTGAATGAGACTATTGTTTTTATCGTCCCATATATCATAGTGTTGCAGTCTTCCTTATATCAGGAGTACTGCTTGTGCAAATTGATAATGGGGTCGGGGCCGAGTGTGATGATTGAGGGCCTCCAAGTGCGAATTGGCCCAATGGAGTTCGTTGTATACAAACGAACAACTACGATCATTTTCACTGTCCAATCATGTTTTTTTATCTAGACTCCATAAAAATCGATAATTCGACGGTTCGAAAATTGAGCTATTGCGTGGTGTAACGCTTGATGACATTAATAATTGTGTAGAAAAAGGTTAGGTTGATCTAACTGTTTTATCTTACTCACAGGATACTCACTTCTCAGTATTCTAATTCTTTTGTTAAGTCTGAGAACTAAAATTTGTGGAATACCGTGTCTGATAAAATTTTAACCATGATTATGGAAGAGATTACGCAGGGTAAGGAAGCCAAAAAAAAGTCTCACATCCCACGGATTAACTGATGAAAATGTTGGAGGTTTCCAGATTAACTCGGACGTTGCAACGTCTTTCAAGGAAAAGAATAGACTCTTGTTGTATTTCTAAGATTGAGGTTGTATATGTCTAACTTCCCATCAATTGAGTGGCTCACATCTACGAAGTTCGAAGGAAAACATTCAAAATTGAGTCAAATATTCATTCAAGGTAGTCGTTTAAGGTAACTGAATTAATTCTCAATAAGTTATATCTCAAAGGCAATCATGTGCTCAGGTAAGGCGGTGTGTGGTAACACCCTCAACATCCTTCTCTAAAGAGTCTAGGATATGAGAGATGGACACAGAATCTTGGTCACCAAAAGTAGGGCTGTCCGGAGACTTATCAAAACCCTTTTCTGCAATTCCAGCACAGGTAGTCAGCGATGCATCAGTTGCCTGAGATGTTTCTGTCTCGTATCTGCTCAATATGGTGTTCTGCGACGATGTCGGGTACAGGGAATTGTTATTGGAACAAGCCCATAATGAGCAGAGGGGTAAATTACAAACAGCCACTATAATTGAGATGGAGCTGAGAAGTGGCAGACTCGCATACCGATAGTTCGCAATAACCAAAGATGAAGGTATCACAAATGTTTGTGTGGCCATGATGATTAAGATGTGGAAACTGTCAAACTGACGTAAACCCAAATGGCGCCGTGTGCGGACAGCGAAAACGAGCTTCAATGCCAAAAGTAAACAAAGTACATTGAGCGATGCAGAAAACAATATGAGCGGTACATTGTCGACCCAAGGTTCGACGGTTGTTGTATCGCCATGAGAAAGTTCGGCACGTAAAGTTTGAGCATGACGGACTGTGCTATACAAGTAAAGGGACACAATCAAAAGAGCTAGTGTAGACATGGCCAGAACAATTGCCCTCCCAGCAACACGGGCACGACTCAGTTTGAAAACCACATGGATCTGAAACACAAGAGATGATTCGACTGCAGCAACAAGAAGCACATGCAACACATTTATTGTCACGTAGACGTTGTATGGAGCCCAAGACTCCTCCATGAGTCCTGTGAATCGAAATGTGAGAGAGTTAAGTGGGCCCATGATGTGCTTGAGGTACATGGCACTCTTGATAACCATGATGACCAACATCGTCTGATTCATGGCAAAAATGGGCGCACGTTTATTGACGATAATTATCCACGACACAACCATAAGAATGATTCCACAGGCCAAGGCGACTCCGTTGACAATGGCAAATTGTGTGTTGCGGGTTTTCCAAGCCTCAAAATCAGCGAATGTGGAAGAGAAGGCAGTATCACCCAAAGTATACTCAATATTTATATCTGCTGGGTTCATCTTTGATGAGAAAGTAACAATAAAAAAAACTCAGTGTCTTTGTATTTCTTTTATAGCTGACGCCCCTGGACGAAACATGTTGGGTGCAAATAGTATCAAAGAATTTCCAAATCGGGCCGCGACAACGGGTGCGAAAAAAAAAAAAATGATAAGGATCTCGCGGCAGTTTGAGGATCTGTCTCAGTTTCAGGAACAGCGCCTGGTCAAGTTGCACAAAATAAACATCGAATAGAAAAGTATTGGGTGGAATCATTTGTTCCTTGTACAAATAATTTGAAAAATCAGAATCCATATTGTGTATACACGTACACAAGACGGCAAACATGGATTGACCGCAAAACAAAGCTAGTCAAAACAGCATTGTTTCTTCTCTTTTTTTTCATTTTTTATTTTTTCTTCTATTTGATTTTTTTTTGTGTCCGTATTTTCTCCCACGTCTTCCTAATCTTGAAACACAGAGGTTCCTGTCTTATCTTCCATTCTTCTTTTCCGGTAATAGAGATTCAAGCAAGCGACTACAATGAGTCTAAACATGTAAGAGAAAACAGCATAGTTATCCTCTACATTACGAGTTTTCCCCCGTAAGTTCCCATTGGTATTGGGCGATCCAAAAGCTTGATTGATCTTCCATGCTTTCGGGTGTGGATATGACTCATGTCGTAAATTATGGTTAAGTCTATTCGAGCCTGGAAGTAAAAGTATCTCAAATATGTTCTCAAAGAAACATCTAAGCATATTTCTACTTCGCCTTCTCGGTCTGTCTGCTTATTGACTTATACCTCATGGAAGAACGAGTATGGCCTTGATGGACAACGTGTATCAAGTTTGACATGGCTCGTCTAATACTGAACAACATGTTTTTTATTACCTATAAGTAGAACGAGATTAGCCGACTTCCTGGCCATTGCCTACAATAGAGAAAAGTTCCAAGCATAAAAATGGCTCGAGTAGTCTCTGGAGTGACGAATTGACAACTTCATTAGTCAGTAGACCTGGTTTACAGCTTCGCTGCGCCCAATGACTATTTTAATTTCTGCTATTTTTATTCCTTATACTTCTGGATTTCTCCAATGTCGCACCCACCTAGCCAGGACAGTTGATAATGGCACTCAAGTCGTCCCTATAGTGAGATTGAACCCCATTATGAGTCTATATAAGAGTTCACCACTGTTCACTCCTTTGTCACTCGAAACTTTCCATGTTCGATTAGATTTCTCTTTTCCTGTCTATATTCGATTAATTCTTACGCTCTCTCGAGTAAGGCAACGTTGGGCGTTGACAGATCTTTATACAGTACGTTCCCCTCATTTAGCACCCAAAGAACAACATGGATCGTTTCTTACAAACACACACAAACTGGTTCATTTTGCTAACCCGAAACTAATTTTTGCGGTCAACTGAGTTCACCGCTCTATTTATCTTCACCAGATCCGAAATCTAATAGCGAGGCGGGCCGATCACGTGTGCGCGCCATATCTTCCGCCTGGGGTTTCGGCCACCTCAAACAAAAAACCGGTTCTTCCGCAAGTTCTTCCCCACAAAAGTATACTAACACCGCGCTTTTCTTCCGATTTGATCTTCCATCGTGTATTTCCAGTGCTTCTTTGTTATCCATGTCCGACCAAAATGACATTTCTATGGTCGACGTTTCCAACGCGCTCGATAGCATAGAGCTGGAAACGGCGCCGCCAAGAAGAAAGTCAACCCTCATTTTAACTGACGAAGTGGACTCTCTTACAGGATCTAACAGTCAAGTCTCTGAAAGTCTGCAACACCAGGCACAGCCAAGTGTTCAAACAGCATCAAACGCCCAGAATGCTCCTGCTGCTCAGAATACCCACAACTCTCAAAGTGCACAAGACGCTAAAAATACCCAAAATACCCAAAATGAACAGAATATGCCAAATCCACCTCCAGAGGCTGCCATTCCAGTTCCGGTCGACATCAAGTGGGTCCAGGGTGGACAAAAGGTTTATGTCACTGGATCCTTCACTGGCTGGCGGAAGATGATTGGGTTGCAGCAGCAGCCGGATGACAAGTCATTTATGGTAACCTTAGGTTTGCCTGTCGGTACGCATAGATTCCGCTTTGTGGTGGATAACGAGTTGCGGTTTTCTGATTTCTTGCCTACTGCAACTGATCAAATGGGTAACTTTGTGAACTACATTGAAGTAACCCCCGAACACGTGCAAATGCATTTGAAGCACCAGAAAGAATTAGAAGATGAGCAGCACCAGCTTGAGGAGCAAGAGAAACAGCGATCACAAGCACAGTCGCGTACTCGTCTGCCTTCCATAAATAGGGGCCGCCTGGATTCAATTTTTGGTTTCATTAATGACGATGACGATATGGGTAATGGATATCTGAGATATCATGATGGTGACGTGGATACAGTGCCATCGCGGTCGTTAAATTACATCTCGGACATTCCTCCTATTTTCGTCGACCCAAAAGTTATGGAACAATATTATCTTGCTATTGACGAACAGGCAAAGCAGAAAAATGCCCCCCAGCAGGCATGGTTACATCCACCTCAATTGCCACCGCATTTAGAGAACGTGATCTTGAATAACTACAACACCCAAGACAAGGACAACAATTCGGGCGCATTACCAATCCCAAATCATGTTGTGCTCAATCATTTGGCAACAACAAGCATCAAACACAACACTTTGGCTGTCGCTTCCATTGTACGCTACAAACGGAAATACGTAACTCAAGTGTTGTATGCGCCGTTGCAACTGTGATAATGACAGTGAACTTTTGAATAACGGTGCATATGTACTAGCAGAACAAGCTGCAACCATGAACAGATTTAGTGGGCCTAAATTATTGTTGGGTTCTTTTAGAGATACGTACACGTAGCAGAAGACGCATTTTTGCGAGTGAGTCTATTCATATCTAGGTACATTTATCCAGCCACGTACGTACATTTACCAGGTTAGATGTGAAGAGGATGGCAAGAATTCTTGCTTCAAAGAAGAACACACATGATTTAAAATTCTAGGTGTGATTCTGGGCCAAGTGCCCTATTTTGACAATTAATACTGTATAATTCACTACTTCAGATGTAACCATGATCTTTTTTAGTCTCCCACAAAGGAAAAACCGTCACCGATAGATTCGGTTTATCAGTACTTTGCCAAAACATTTATAGCGTGAGCCTACAACATAATATTTTCATGTTTCTTGTTTGTTTATCTGTAGAGGTTCTCGAATTATTTTTTTTTTGTTTCTTTCGAAAGATCGTTCGGTTTGTAGAAATGGTGCATATCTGATGAATGCACGATGCATTCCTCTTCCATTGGAAAATTCCGTCTGTATTGGTTGTAGAATCTTAATAATTTTGTGTTCTTAGATACGTCGAAATGCTTCAACTTTAGGCTGGTAACGCAACACATCAGGACCGCCTCGCATGTTATATTGACGGAAGCAATTTCCCTGTGCATAAAGAGACATCTCATCACATTTATACACTTCCATACTTTTCTAAAAATGGGTTACTAATCTTAGAGAAAAAAGAAAAAGCAAGTAGATTTTTCTAGTAAATTGTAGACAGTTTATGTGATGGAAGTTTGCGGCCACTGTTCTCCGGATAGTACGTGGAAAGGAGTTCAACATTCGAGCCACAACAATCTCAACGCCCGTTTCTCTTCCCATCAGAATGTTATAATGTTTGCATCTGTGGAATACTCTAAACATAATGTGATAGGAACCATTGGGCTAATAATCATTACTTCGTTCCTATCCTATTATATGTTTCGTTTGCACCGGTGTTTTCTCAAAAACAAAATAAAAAAATAGTTGAGATCCTTGATACACGTAAGCAATACTTGAAACCAACTTCCGGGTCTTACGATCTGAATATAGGTTCTGCCCATCCGAAGTATAATACCGGAGAGATATGAGGTGATGACCACTGTATGTAAGCCAAGAACAAATTTAGAAGTGATTTTGAAGGCTTTATGATGCCCCTCACTTTCAACTCCTGCAAAAATTTAACCGAGCATCTTATTATCTCGACACAGAGAAGTAGCTATGGCACAAACAACAGTGTTGTTTGACTTGATTTCCATATTTGCCCAAGTTGTTCAGTATATTGCCGGAGATATTTTCTGAAGGGACTGTATATTGCTTGTGCCCATTCTGGGTCTGTACTTAGTGCAGGATTCTCCGATATAGAGTTTGGAGTACAGTACAGTATTCTCGAAGTGGGGCCTCATATCGTACCTTGAAATTCCCACTCTGCATTGCGTGGAACATTCTTTGTCCAAGCTACATAGACGAAAGAGATTGTAACGATTCTTTTTTTTTTGCAAAGTGTTTCTTCAATGGCATAGTTGGCTTTGTTAAGCCTTGCAACGTAGCATTCGCTCATGCCAGACCCCACATTTTCCTGTACCATTGTGACTTTTACGTTGGAGCACAATAATTCGCTGATTTTGAAACTTTTTATTCACTCCCACTTCACACTTCCCTCGTTGAAGACCCTACATTATGATTAAAGATTTTCTTCTGGATAATTTTATTCCCAGACCACCCACATCGGGAAAGCAAGTGATCCATGTGCTCGAAGAACCGAAGGAAAAAAGTCAGGCCTCCATTATACTGACTTCTTCCTCGGATCTGGAAAGCATCAATTATCTCCATCGACTGTTAAAGGGCCGCCACGTCCAACTTCTCGGAATAGGTGCAACTATCGGCTCTGCGCTTTTCGTGGCTATTGGTAAAGGTCTTCAATATGGGCCGCTCAATTTATTGTTGGGCTTTCTTGTTTGGTCTATTCCTATCTTGTTCATCACAGTCAGTACAGCTGAGTTTGTAACGTACTTGCCTATCACTTCACCTTTTGTTCGCATGGCAGGTCGCTGTTGTGACACAGCCTTGGAGATTATGACGGCATGGAATTTTTGGTTCTTGTGCTGCGCTCAAATTCCCTTTGAAGTTATAACTGTGAATTCCATTCTTCATTTTTGGCGAGATGACTTCTCTCCAGCAATTCCTTTGGCTGTCCAAGTGGTGTTGTATTTCATTATCAACGTTTTTGGTGTTGCCATATACGGCGAGGTCGAGTTTTGGCTTAGTTTGGGAAAAGTGGTTTTGGCTACAGGGCTCATCCTTTTCACATTTATCACCATGGTAGGTGGAAATCCAAAACACGATGCCTTTGGTTTCCGCTACTGGCGTGATCCAGGTCCAATGTATGTTGCATACCACACTGGTGCTTTAGGTCGTTTTCAGGGTTTTTTAGCTTGTCTTATTCGGGCTACGTTTACTTTTGCTGGCCCGGAATATGTATCTCTTGTTGCCAGTGAAACGATCAACCCACGGAAAACATTGCCTTCTGCCTTCAAACAAGTATTTATTCGTTTAACGATTTTCTTTATTGGTGGTGCCCTCTGCGTGGGTATTTTAGTTCCTTACAATGACCCCCTCTTGTTAGAGACTTTAGGTGTTACCAAGCCTGGTGCTGGAGGTTCACCCTACGTTATTGCAATGCAAAATTTGGGCATCAGCGTTTTGCCTGATATCGTGAATATCCTTTTGGTCACCGCTGCTTTTTCAGCTGGCAATTCCTACACTTACTGCTCATCGAGGACATTGTATGGGTTTGCGTTGGATGGCTATGCTCCTAAAATCCTTGCTCACACTACAAAAACCGGCATTCCTCTCTACTGTGTCTTAATTTCACTTTTATGGGCGCTTATTTCATTCTTGCAAATGAGCGAGGGGTCGGCAAAAGTTTTGGACTGGATCATTAATTTGATCACTTCATGCCAGCTAATCAATTTTACACTCTTATGTTTCATCTACGTCTTTTTCTACAGGGCCATGAAAGCACAAGGAATCGACCGCAAAACTTTACCTTTTGTTGGCTGGTTTCAACCTTGGTTGGCCATTATTGGAGGGGCTCTGGCGTTCACGATGACTTTCGTGGGCACATACACTGTTTTTATTCCCGGAGGGTGGGACATCAAATCCTTTTTGTTCTCATACCTAATGATATTTGTGGACATTGCCATCTTTGTTGGGTGCAAAATTTGGATGAAAACGAAGTGGAAAAAGCCAGAGGAAGTTGACTTGGTTACGGGCCTTAAGGAAGTGGAGCTACATGAAGAAGACTACTACAGAAAACTTGAAGCGCTTCACAAGCTAAAAGATGATGGAACAATTCGTCGGTCATGGCACGAGCGTCTTTCGACTTTGCTCTTTGGAAGTGAAATGAGATAATTCACACCTATCGATGTGAGTGAGTATTATCTATCTTTTTTTTTTTTTTTTTTTTTAATTTGGTAACATACATACGCCGTTGTTGAGTATTGATTTTGTGTAGTCGACACTTTATACGCAAAGTGGACTAAAGTGCATATAGGGCGCATATAGGTCATGTAGCGAAGAAAATAATGTGCAGTGCCATATTCTTCACTTCCTTTCTTCTCAATTTGATGACAATGTACAGCGTGATTTTGGGCGTTTTTGCTGTGCCCTTTTTTGCATAATTAATCCGGGGTACTCATTAACATCTATAGACTGTTTACTTGGAATGGTTGTTCTGCTGTTCCCTCAACCCTGTGTGTCATCTTGCCAAGGATACATTCCTGTATCCAAAGCATATGGAACTTTGCTTAGCGAAAGAGCCAATAACAGGGAGACGATAAGGTGAAGGTCACTTAACTTATTTTTTCGTATGAAATGATTGCAATTAAGCATTCATTAACACTAGTAAGTCCTGTCTTGTATGCTCATGACAAAATAAGTCTCTTTTCAACCATGTCGTACGAAATCTCCACCATGCACGCCGCACCAGCATCTTATTACTATAGATGTCAAGTAAAAGAACAGTAAACACCTATGCTTGTTGCATATTCTTATCCAGTGCAAACCACAGCAAAATTGAGGTTAGTCTTATGATAAAAGCACCTCCCTAATCTGTGTTATCGTGCTTAGAAAGTCTTCTCCTGACAGCAGAAAGCACCATCTTCCTGCAGGAAAGGTGGTGATTTTTGACGAAATTCAGTCCGCGTGAAGTAACCAGACGCCATAAATATATTCCCCTTTTAAGCTAATAAAGCAATTTGTGCAACTTCCTTTGTCATCTTCTTCGGCAGTCTTTGTGGCAGCGAAATCTTCTGATTAGCAAAATACCTAACCTCATATCGTCTGTGGTTACTTGAGCTCCAGCTTGCCCATTTCGGTGGTGAACTCAAATATCTCTATTTACTGTCCTGGTGTGTTTCGCCCTCTCTAACAACATCCTTCTGTTTCCACGTCACATCTTGGTATGCCGTGGCTCGAAAGTGCCATGTCCAAGCGAATAGAGCAGCGGGTCTTGAACCAGCTAGCTCGGTTCACATCGCACGAAAACCTCGTCCAGCGAGCTGTGGCGATGGCTTCATCTATCAGCTCGATTGTTCTTTGCGTGGCAGCTATTTACATGTTCCTTGCCATCGATCCCAAAAGACTCGTTTTCCGTCACCAGCTCATTGCATTTCTCATATTCTTTGACTTGTTAAAGGCCATCATCCTTTTGATATTCCCCTCTCACGTGGTGAATCATCCGCTGGCGTACTTTGATAATCGTTTTTGTCAAGTGGTGGGTTTCTTCACTGCCACTGCTATTGAAGGGGCCGACTTTGCCATTCTTGCATTCGCAATCCATACCTTCCTTCTTGTGTTCCGCCCGAGCTTGAATGTTAAAACAGGTCGCTTTGACCGCATTGAAGGTGGCCTTTACATTTACCGCTACTACACATATAGCCTTTGTTTTGTCATTCCGTTGGTGTTAGCCAGCTTACCGTACATTGGCAAAGGCTATTCCTCCTTCGTATGCTGGTGTTATTTGCCTCAAAAACCTGTTTGGTATCGTTTGGTGCTTAGTTGGGTCCCCAGATGGTGCATAGTAATTGTTATTTTTGGCGTCTACGGCGTCATATACTACTATGTGTTGCGGGAGTTCCGTACTTTGGGAGGAGTTTTCAGCACCATGCACCGGCAGAATTCTAAGTGGAGGCCGCCCGCGCTGGCGCGGGACAAGCCCACATTTTTTTCGCTGGTACGCTTTTTTATGTCTAGTATGGCTGGTTATGTTCTTCCTAAGTTTGTGTTGCCCAACGACCGGGACACTTTTGAGCAACATCTGGCGGCATCGCCACACGAACAAATCGACCTGGATGAGGCTCGCGGTCCTCATGATGGAAGTATGGCTCCACCTGGGCAAAACTCGGGTGGGGACATTCAGGCAGCTAATTTGGACGCGTTCCTTCGGCGACAAAAGGCCATTGAAAAGCAAATGAAGTCGATCTTCGTGTACCCATTTGCATACATCTTTGTGTGGCTTTTCCCGTTTATCTTGCAGTGTTCTCAGTTCAACTACGAAGAGCACTCAAGGCCTGTCGTTTGGCTCAATTACATGGGCGCGTTCATGCAACCTTTCAACGGTGTGGTCGACCTGCTTGTCTTTTTCTACCGCGAGCGACCATGGAGGCACAGTATTGCTAGGTCATTCGAGCGGGAGCATGCAGCACGCCTCTCTCACGTGGCGCTCCACAATCTGAGCGGCGACACAGCTTCGTTCGACGGAGAACCAAAAAGCTCCCCTTTTGTTGATACGACCCAATACTCGCGCTGGCGCCGTACGTTAAGCCGCATGCGCTTCCCATTTATGCGGTTGCCTACAGAATCCACTGCTGTTCGAATTGAACAGGCAGCCCTCGAGCAAACGCAACAACCCCAAGCTGATGGCGACTTTGGCGTATTGCAGGGCATGCATGATTTCTCGGGTCTTCTTCTGGGCGCTGTGATCGAAAACGATTTCCGCCAGAAGCTCCATAATTTTTCATTTGGTGCGCGCCGCCTGAGTGTTGCGCCTTCACGCCATTATTCTGCTGGCGATCCAAATGATCATCTTCGTTCCATGAGTGTAGGCGGTTCAAAAAGCATGAGCACAGCCCGAGGCTCGGTGGCTAGGAGCGACGACGACATGGACATTTTGGAGTTTCTTCGCCGAGGACCAAATTAGGATTCTAGTGCAGTCTAGAATATCACGTCTAGTTGTGTATCAGGTCGGTCTGAGACGTTTGAGAGACAGAGGATATAATGTGCCTGTTTGGCACCCAAAATGACAAGCGTTGCTTGTGAAATCCTTCTGGTCGTGACTGCAGTCGCGCAACTCCACTAATAATTACATGCGGACTATTAATATTAATTTAATGCATAATAAGGCTTCTAGTGTACGTTCCAGTCGAAAGCTGTACCATTACCATTACGCTGACTCGAATTGGCTTTACTGAACAATGGTCGATAAAACGCTTCAAATTTGAGCTTCATGGAGCGTCGTTGTAGTAGTTAGATTCCTCCTCTACTGTAGCTATCAGGCGCGAAGTACATTTGCACATTTGAGTGGTACCTCTATCGCAATTTATTGAACTTGGAAGACTGATTACTCGGTTTGGTCTCGAGGTTTGAATTATGAACTGGTCTCGGCTTGCCGACGATGACTCTTCACTAATCTTAACAGATCTCCAATTTCACTTAGTTGCTGGTCTAGAGTCAAATACGTTACGTATGAAAACGACGGTAACTTCTTCTCTTTTGAAATTACGAGCATCTCGTTTTGGCCAATGGCTTGCTTCTGCTCTTTTCTTCACTACACTCTCTGACTAAAGTGACCGCCGTTTTTCTTTTTCCGCCGCACCTTCTCCGCACTCCTGTCATACGCCGCACCGAAATCTCCGTCTAACGGTTCGCACCACACTTTTTGCATTTCCCTTCGCACCGGAAATCTCTTTACACTCGATTCTTTAGTCACACTTTTCAAGCCATTTTGGCACCGGCCCACTGACCAAACGAGCAACTCCGCTTATTTTTCATTTTCGTGCTTCGTTGTTTGTTGCTGACACGGGCAAATCTAGCTAGCAAATTCGGCAGCAATTCAACGTGGCTTCTGATAGTTCATATCCATCTTAAATACTCCACTTCCTGTCATGAAATTCCTTCAGAGTGACGCTGGAGATGGAACGCATGCTAAGGACCATTATGTTCATGGTATGAGACTAGTGCTCATCTTGGTCAGCATAGTCGCTACGCTTTTTATCCTGGCGCTAGATCAGACCATCGTTTCTACATTGCTTGTGGATATTGCCACGCATTTTGATTCCTTCAGCCGTGTTGGATGGCTTACTACAGGCTATATGTTGCCCATGACTTGCTTAGCACCGTCGTACGGAAAGCTTGCCGTGGCGTTTGGCCGTAAGTACACTTTGGCGGCAGCTATTGTCATTTTCGAGATAGGCAGCCTCGTGGCCGCGCTCTCAACCAGTATGGATATGCTCATTGGTGGGCGTGTCGTGCAAGGAATTGGTGGCGGCGCCATCCAGGCCGTCCTGGTGGTGGTTCTACTGGAAACCGTGGCCATAAACCGTCGAGCGCTAGCCATGTCGCTCATAGGTGTCACATTCACCGTGGCTTCTGTGTGCGGCCCTTTTATTGGAGGTGCGTTTGCTACACATGCCACGTGGCGCTGGTGCTTCTACATCAACTTACCGGTTGGTGGTGCTGCGCTTGCACTCTTGTGGACCGTTTTCCGCCCGCCACCTCCGCAAGGGTCCATCCGTGCGCATTTGCGTGAGGTAGACTGGATCGGTACATGTCTCGTTGCTGCTGGGCTTGTCTTAGTCTTGCTTGCGCTTACGTGGGGCGGCATCGAACATCCGTGGGACCTGGCACAAGTTATTGTTTGCTTTGTTATCGGTGGTCTTGTGCTTGTGGTGTGGGCCGCGTGGAACCAGGGCATACGCCCGCCTGCGCTTGCGTCTATTCCTGCGCTTCTCGACCCGCGTGTAGTTTTAGTGCCCCAAATTCTAGCAGCTGCAGCATCGTCATCTTTCGCATTCGCCTTTTTCATGGGCTTGATGAACTACTTGGCCATTTACTTTCAGGTAGTACACAATGCCAGTGCGTGGCAATCGGGCGTGGACATGCTTCCGTTCATCATTACCGTTTCTGTCGCTTCAGCACTTAATGGTGTTTTTATCCGCTTCACCTATTTCATAAAGGTTCCATTTATGGCGCTGGCTATTTTGGGCCCGATCGGTGTTGGACTCTTACTTCTATTGGGTCGTCATGTGCCTCTTGGGAAGCGAATTGGCCTTCTCATTCCCGCAGGTATTTCTGTGGGACTTATGTTTCAGAGCTCCTTAATGAGTGCGCAACTAAAAGCACCAGGGCATGTTCCAGGTTCGATGATCACAGCAACAGTCTTCATCAATTTCGCTAAGACTTTGGGCGGCGTCATTGGTGTGGTCACGTCGCAATTGATGCTTATGGAACGAGGCGAGCGCTACTTGAGTGCGGCGCGTGCCTCGTCGCCGGAACTTGCGTCCTCGCTCAATGCACCTATTTCAGCCGTCCTTCAGTCCCCCTCTCTCATCTGGCACTTACCGCCGACTGCACGCGATATTGTCTTGGACGAGTTTTTACGTGCCTTGCATGATGTCTTTTATTTAAATTTGGCCTTTGCGCTGATGGCGCTTGTGCTCACAATATTTTCCACGAATGAACGCATTCCTCGTGGCGATCAGATCGCATACAACGACGACGAAGAAAAGGCAGACAAGCTGGACGAAAAAGCTAGCGAACATGAGGGAGAGTTGCGCGACCACAGAGAACTGCGTCCTCTCACACAGATCGAGTCGCAACTGAGTGCTTCACCACCCTTGCCCACTCCTACGGCGTCGCCCGAGAAAATTTTACTCTAGAACTCTGGAAGGCGTTCAGGGTCCACTACATATGCTTATGAATTATGAACAAATATAATCTATCCGTAAATCCAGCTATTTATGAGCATCGAATAGGCGCGATACTAGGTAATAATCGTTCTTCAAGTCCGTAGATTTGACCTTTTAATTTTGAAGATGAAGCAACAAGTTATGTTTCATCAGTGTTTTTGAGAGGGGAGTAATTTAATGGGTTGCGTACCAGCCATCGAAAGTATGATTCTTTAATTCAGACAAAGTAAAGTAATGAAATGGATCTAGGATGAGTTTGCACTACTGTATTTTTGGTCGAATTCCTTTAATGAAATTTACAGAAATTATTGCATAACATGAATATAAACCTTACGATCCCATTCGGTAATGACTTGCTTGTGATATCCATCCTCATAAGTAGTTTGCATAAGTAATGATACATCTCACATCTTTAATGGTCATTTTGACCGAGTTAGAGTGAGAAACCCCTATCATACGTAGCCTCGTGACTGCCTCTAAACTGAGTAGAAGACTTAATGCTATCTGTGTTTTCTTATGTTCGTCAGCACTTGTAGAGGGGCTCTTAATAAGAAAGATAATTCTCGAAGAAATTCTCCGTGCTTTCGTTAACGCCTATGCAAATTGTGAAGCCTTCAGCGGTTTGTTTGACTTCTCGAGCAATTATGTAAGAAGAAGAGGCATCTTGGAATGTTTCAGTAGAGTTAGTAGCGAGTGAGTTTCTTCACGATTTTTTTTTTTTTTTCTTATTTTCTAGCTTTTTATTTTTTTTTTCAACTCTGCAAATGTCTTATTAGACCCGTTCAAAATCAATGGTTCAAATTGTCAGACTTATAAAAGGCTATGGCTAAGTTGTTTGTAGGCTCTTGATACAAAACAGTATACATCACGAAACAATCTTCCTCTACCGTATTATTGTATTGTACATATTGTTACATTTCTGCGGCTACCATCAGTCCCATATCAGCCAAATACATGCGAATATGGGCGTTGAGCTTGGCCACAGCGGTTTCCGTTGCCCGCCACTCTGAATCAAACTCGCTTCGGCGAGCGTGTATGAGAGATTCAAGCTCGCTAATTTCTACCTTTGTGCCATCAAGCTTCTCTTCTTTTGCATCACGCTCGTGCACTAGCCGAGTGTACTCAGCCTCAAGGCTTTGGAGCCTTGCCTTGGCATTATTCTCCCGTTCCTTTGCTTGTTGACGTAATTTTGCAATCTTCTCCTCAGACTTAACGAGCTGACGCGCTACACGTTGAAGATGTACTGCCAATTCATCCAGGGTACGTTTTTTGCTTTCCAACTCATCATTTTGGCGCACCAAGTTGTCGCGTGCCTCCTCTAACTTGCGTGCATCGTTGCTCACCTCTTGAACAATCTTGATGAGATTACGAAGTTCATCTTCGACTGCTTCAACAGACTCAACTGTTTTGTTTTTGTTGCGCAAGGCCTGTTCGATTTCCCGAAGCTGCTCCTCGCACTGCTGGAGGTGGCTTTTTAGGTCGCTTATTATGCGACGCAAAAGTGAAGCATCCGCTGATGTATAGCCCTTAAGTTTCTCCACCTCGCGCATTGATTCACCAATAAGATAGTGATGATCTTCAAGTTTCTCGTAGAGTCGGGTCTTCGTTTCCTTATATTGTGCATGTTCGTGTTTAAGCGTCTCTTGTGAGTTCTGTAACTTCTTTAGCTCTTGTTCTAAACGAGCATTATAATTATTAAGTTGTACCAAAGTAGACTTGTTATGCGTCTCTTCACTCGTTTTCTCCTCCTGGAGCCGTCCTTTCAACTTATCAATGTTGTTTGCCAATGCAATGTTCGTTTCCTCTACTTTTCTGGCCTCTTCTATGTTTCCCTCACATACCCGCACCAATGGTTCACACTCGCGCAAGTGCTCCTCTCGAAACCGCGCATAGTTGATCACAGCACTCAATATTCGTCTTATGCGCTGGGGTTCTGGGCGCATTAGATCTGTGAGACGAAAATCATAAACGCCGCATGTTTGTAGCAATGAATTCGTAGCGCGAAAAAGAACAAGATTGTGCATTGTATCAGCAATATCGTCATTATTACCATCATCCTCGATTGCCCCTTGGTTAGATCCATTTTCATCTCCCTTGAGAAGTGACTTCGTTGTGGCAACGCAATATTCGGGAGAAAAGCCCATGAAAGTGTCTAGAAGCTGCTCAAAGAGAGTACGAATATATTGTGGCGATGGTCGAGACACAAGCTCTTCGTTAGCGATGAAATCACATCCTTGGAGACACACCGAAAGCTCTTTGAAATCAAGGATCGGGAATTCATCCCGGTGCAAAAAGTGGTTGCGGGAGCCACTAAAAGTCAGTCCTCCAGAGCGGTTGATTATACTTAGGCGAGACATCTTGTGTTCCCATCGATGTATTTGTATCTCCCTCCGCTATTTGTGAGATAAGATGGAGGTTGATGTTTGTTTACATCTGGTACGGAATGTGCGGTACTTATGTGCAGTCTTGGTTGAGGTCCTAAGAGTGAAGTATCTAACAACTATATATTGCCACAATATCTCCTAACAGTCTTGCTATATCAAATTAATCAAGTAAAAAAGTGAGTACTAAAATTATTGTAGAGACTTCTTTCTCCGGCCATAAAAAGTGTATTCCATACCTCACTTAGGCATAATGAGCCAATGACCATTTTAAACTCTCTCGGCTGTCCAAATGGCACCACGGCATACCAATTTGATGGTCTCTGTGAGAAGCATGTATGGAACCGCTTTTCTGGCATCGTGTTCCACTGCTGTATCTAAGTGCTCAAGCTCATCGTCTCTGAAGGTACTAATCAAGTCTTTCAAATCGCGCAACTCAGGTGATGTCTTGATAGCATCTGTGAGTTGCTCATCACTCAAAGCCTTTCCAGTAGCTTTGTCATATACGGGTATGTTGTATTGGTTCATTAACACGCGCAATTGCTGATTATAGTGGCCTCCAATGACAGTTTCAACAGCGACAGTACATGCCATCGCTGCCTCCTTACTTAGAAGGGCTGTTCCGGCTCCTATAGCTACAGCTCCTGCCTTCCAGAATGGCGTAAATAAGGATGGCCTCACTCTGCGTTGCGTTTGAAGACGATTGAACGTGTCGTGGTGGTGAATCTCTTGTTCCCACATATGCTTCAAGACAGGTTTCAAGTGAGGGTATTTGTTAGCCAAAACAGCGTACTGGCCCATATAAATGTAGTTAGCACCAAGCTCTCCCGCCTGATCAACCCGAATAACCCTATCGAGAAAAGCTTTTTGAGCCTTAGACATTTCTCCGTACTCCACAGTATTAATATCGATTTCCTTTGGGGCCTTCTTGCTAGCATTCTGCAAAGTCCTTAAAGCGGTGGAAAAGCACCGCGATCCGCGTAATGAAGAGGGAAAAGACATTATTTAGAAGGTTTACAGAGTGAGAACGAAGGGAAAGGTGTTTGCTGTTAAAATTGCGTGGTTTGACTGTCCCGAAGTTCGCACTAAGAGCTTTGTTTCTGCAGGTGGAAGCCGCTGAAAATATTAAGCATAGCGACGCCAACTTCATGTGGTAATTCCTGGGTGTCTCTAGAGTTGGTGACCGGTTTGTTCTCATTGGCTGGTACGCGTAATAAGCGAAAGAACTTATTGGGAATGTCTATAACAAAATGCCATTGTACTGGGAAGATTCCTTTCCATCTTGTTGACTCTACCCAAATGTCCGTTTCCTTCGTATAGTCAATTTGCGCTTGCATCTGTGCAACTCCACAAAAGCGAGAAGAACCGTTCACCAGATAGAACAAAAAGATCCCGTCGGAAGTTTCTTCGAAAGCTTTTGCCAATTTTTTGTTTCCAAGCTCTGTCAGGGTCCAGACACAATGCTTTAAAGCTGCCTCCACGTCCAATGGACTGTACGATTTAATGACAAAAAAACGAGCATTTGGTCCCACTTGGAGAATGTTATGGTTCATATCACATAAAGAGAACGTGTCGGACAGTGATTTCGACGTAACATCTTCTCCAAATCCTGAGTCTGGCAGCAGCAAATCTGTTGTAAGAGCCTGCTGCATAGGAGACAGCATGATTGAGTCACACGAATCTTGGGAGTAAATGTATGGTACTAACCCAGGTGTCGGGTCTGAATCAAACTCACAGTACGCATTTGTATTGATAAAGGAATTAGACCAAATGTTTGGGGTGCAAGCAATGTCAATGATATCGGTTTCATAAGAAAAGTAGGTTATCGCGTAAAGTGTTTGAAGAGTACTCTTTGTGCATTTTATGATTGAAGGGTTGTGATCTGGGGCTTTGAAGCCAATCAATTGAGAATCAAATAGGGGCCAAAACATTGATCAGGGAAAAAGAAAAGTATTCTGCTCTGTCGATAGCATTGGGCTTATTTATACTGTATTTGTGATTTTGCAGCCAAAGATGTATGCCATGTCGCGGATGTGTCGCATATTGAATTAAAACAGTGCCTCTGTTCCCTAAATGTCGCACTTTTAGAACATGTTTGATGACGAAGTGAAAGAAAACGCCTCAAGTCGCAGAGCACAAAGTAGAAAAGATGATCGGAAAAAGTCATAGTTCAAAATGTATTTTTTGCCTATCTAGTTTGCGCTTTCTCTCTGATTTTTCACCCGAAGGATTGAGACGGCATGAAAACGCGGGCACAACTGGTTTTCAGTAGCATATACACTCCAATACATCAAACCATGTCCTTTTCACTTCAAGAGGTGGACGATGAGTTCCATTCGAGAAAAGAACCGAAAGCAAAGGGAAAGATTTTGAAGCATAAAGTCAATACATCTCAAGTGAATCTACCTCTTATCAAACTGTGGTTAGAGGAAGAGATGCAGAAACACCTTCCGGATGATGATATCGCAGTGGAATTTATATATGAGATGCTAGAATCCAATGAGGAGCCATCTTCAGCTGAGATACAAGAGCAATTAGTCAACTTCCTTGGTGAAGAAGAAGGTCGTGCTTTTAGCAAACAATTGTGGCAGTTGCTTCTCAGTGGCCAAAAGGACAAAGATGGAATTCCACAAGAGCTATTGGAAAAGCGAAAGCAGCAATTGGCACGAGAAAAGGCAAAGTCTATGATTAATGAGATGCGGCAATCCGACTCCAAAAGTTCGGATTCTGCGTATGGAAAACCTAGAACTAAACGGGCCTTCACAAAAGACAAATGGGGTGGCTCTAGTCGTCGAACTGCTTGGAATCGTACAGACACACAAAAAGAAAAAGGAAATAGACATGGCAGGGCCGAAACCCCCGCTCTGAGGCTCCGAGAAAGATCTCCAGATAATGATCAAAAGAAGACGAATTACAATCGGACAAAGGGGCCTGGAGTAAGAGAGCGAGACTAATCTATATTGTACGTTTTCTCTACTTCCATGATGTGGCATTGTGAGACTATTAAATCTCTGTGAATGATAGAAGACAATAATAGAAACTATGAGGCACCTACGAAAATTATATTTTGATGTCAGGTGTTCCAACCTTCTACGATATTTGGGTTAGGCTGACCTCGCTTTTTGGAACATAATGTTGTATAGAATGGGATAACAAAGAGGTATTGGTATATCACTACGACGTATCTTAATGATGTAAAACTATTTTTGGAATAGTATTTTGAACATTTAAACATCTTGTTGCTTTTGTAAAGCTGTCTTGCTCGAAATTTTATGGTTAAAGGAAAACTATAATGTACAGAAAGAAATTCAACGAATTGTGAGAAGAAATGAACCCTTTGGTTTGCCAAGAGAGAAGTGGTATCAGCAAAGCATTCAGTAGCATTTCCATTAAGCTAAAAGCTACTTACATCGCTCATCTCTATGTTTTCATTTACTTAGATATATAGTGTATGGTAAACCTTATATATACCGCATAGATGACACTTTTTCTTTACATTCTATAATCAATGCATAAAGCAGAAGTCAAAAAAGATACCAAAAATCATGATTTGGATAGAAAAAAGGGGTGAAGATACAAGAATGAGGTGAAAACAGAAAATGTAACAAAATTGTTAAACAGTGATACTGCCCAACCATCATTCTCTTTCCTGAGATCGTAGTGCTTTATAAGGACACCTTAGAGGTGCGCGCAACATTCTCTGCCGTCTCATTATGCACAACCGAACCAAGCAAATGTCCTAGTACTTCAAGAAATACGAAAGGCACAAGAGCATGCTTTGTAGCCCAAGCCTAAAACTTCAAGTTATACAAAATCTCTTTCTTCTGCCCTTTCCATCATTTTTTTCTCAGACATCCTTGGATTGTCTCTCATTGTGTATTCACGGCTTTCCCCACAGTCGTGTGCGCACCAACCCCTCGCCTCAAGAGCACGCATTCTACCATTCTAGAAAGCACCCACCGAATGTCAGAAGGCCAGTCGGAAAATCAGCAGCAACACCTGCATCACCATCATCATCGCCATCACCATGACCAGAATTCTGACCCTGCGCAAAGTCCGGGTGCTAGGATAGGAAAATACCAAGTGATCAAGACTTTGGGCGAGGGCTCTTTTGGTAAAGTCAAGTTGGCTGAACACGTCACCACGGGACAAAAGGTGGCGTTGAAAATCATCAACAAGAAAACCTTGGCAAAGTCAGATATGCAAGGCCGTATAGAACGTGAGATATCGTACTTGCGCTTGTTGCGCCATCCCCACATTATCAAACTTTATGATGTGATCAAGTCCAAAGACGATATTATCATGGTGATCGAATACGCGGGCAAGGAACTTTTTGACTATATTGTGCAACGCGGCAGAATGCCTGAGGATGAAGCCCGGCGCTTTTTCCAGCAGATCATTGCCGCAGTCGAATATTGCCATAGACATAAGATTGTCCACCGGGACTTGAAACCAGAAAACTTGTTATTGGACGACCAGTTGAACGTGAAAATCGCAGACTTTGGTTTATCAAACATCATGACCGATGGAAACTTCTTGAAAACAAGTTGTGGCTCGCCCAACTATGCGGCACCTGAAGTTATCAGTGGTAAATTGTATGCGGGCCCAGAAGTCGATGTGTGGTCAGCAGGCGTGATTTTGTATGTCATGTTATGTGGCCGTTTACCCTTCGATGACGATTTCATTCCAGCGTTATTCAAAAAAATCTCTAATGGTGTTTACACCTTGCCCAATTATCTTTCGCAAGGCGCAAAACACTTATTAACACGCATGTTGGTGGTTAACCCTTTGAACAGAATTACTATCCACGAGATTATGGAGGATGAATGGTTCAAGGTAGATATCTCTGACTACTTGCTTCCTCCAGATTTGTCTAAAACACTCCACAACAAGATCGATATCGACAACGATGTGGTGGACGCCTTAACTATGACCATGGGCTACGATCGTGATGAGATTTTGAATGTTATCAACGCATGCAATAAACAGCAATACCCACAACAACAGTCCAATGAGATTCTTGATGCCTATTTGTTGATGAAGGAAAACCATTCTTTAGTCAAAGATTTGAAGAAGAACAAGACAGAACGAATGGATACCTTCTTGTCCCAGAGCCCACCACCTGCCTGGTCTGGTGCAAGAAACGAGATGGAATCGTCACATCGTGCACCAGGTGTACAGCAGTCTTTGACGTACCAGACATTAGCGACCGTACCTGATTTGTCGACTTTGCCCAATTCCACAATTGCCATTTTGCCATCTTCGTTACCGTCCATCCACAAGGCATCTATGATGCAACATGGATCAGAAAACCAACTCAAGATTACACCTGTGTCTACGAAAAAACTGAAAACCAAATGGCATTTTGGTATCCGTTCTCGTTCATACCCGTTAGATGTGATGGGTGAGATATATCGTGCGTTGAAGAATTTGGGCGCAGAGTGGTCAAAGCCAACAGAGGAAGAATTGTGGACTATTCGTGTGAGGTGGAAGTATGGCCCAAGTATGGTGGACGAAACAATTGCTGAGGGCGAGTGTGTTCCGCCAGACTTGATGAAGATGCAAATTCAATTGTTTCAGTTGGAGCCCAACAATTATCTTGTTGATTTCAAATTCGACGGATGGGAAAGCTCAACGGGAACGCAACCTGCGAGACAGGATGTGGACGAAATGAGTTCATTTTCTGCCTATCCATTTTTGCACTTAGCCACAAGGCTTATCATGGAATTGGCCGTCAATTCCACGCAGGCTTAACGTAGATATCAGCCACATTCCATTACCAAAGAGTAGGCAGCCTCTGGGGACACACGTCATGAGGTTAGTTTGTACTCAAACAAAACTAGTCTAGATATGGGCCGTTAGAATATTTGCGACGTATTTATTTCTTGTGTATGACCACAGTCTTGCTTGCAAGGGGTGTACCTCTGTACAATTAGGTCCAGTTTATTGAGCTGCACCCAGATTTTATATTCTTGCCTACGGATGACATTTTGTCCATCCAATAGCGATATTCAGGATATTTTTTTCTCTGGATATTACAGTTAAAAGTGAAGATTGAACAATATTTTTGACATTAAACAAAAGGTTTTACAAACAAAACAAAGGTTTTACAAACAAAACAAAGGTTTTACAAACAAAACAAAAGTTCCTCAAACAACGTCTAGTTGTCATGGACGGTATTCTTGTGATTGCATCAAGCACTCACAATGTTTGACGCAGAAGTGTATTTTGCCTGGGCAAGAGAAATTGACCCATCGGTGAGATCGTAGTAAACGTAAGCGTTCCTCAAAAACACATCACCCAAGATGTATGTGTCATCATGATAGGTAAAACCCAAAAGGCAGGTGTTTTCGTCTTGCTGCGAAATTGCATCTGCGTAAGAGAATGTGATCTTGTTCTGGCCAAAGTCCAAAGTGAAGAACTTGTCAGTAGGCTGGTCACAACTCACTTGCCTGTATGTGATTGCACCTTCTTGAACCATGGTAGGGTTGAAAATAGAGTCCAAATAGTCTTGCACATCTTGTGGCACGAAGCCTAAAGAAGTACCGGAGTCCAAGAGGAATGGAGCATCAGTAGAAAAATCTTTGCCATCAACAGAGAAAGTTGCAACATTAACAAACAAACCAGGTCCGTTAGATGTATCCACTGGGTACTTAGTCAATTCACCAGAATATTTCTCTGTGTCAATTCCTCCAAAGATCACCGAGCCAGAAGCACCGTCACCAGAGCCCAAGTACAAGGAGTAAGAAGCCTTTGGTGTTTTTCCAGCTTTTTGCAAAGCCCAAGGTAAGTCATCATATTGCTGCTCGCTGGCTTCTGTGTTTTTGTCACCAATTCCCAAAATTCCAGCTGCACCATCAATTGAAGAAGATGTCGAAGCAAGTTGGAAAGAACTCAACAATGGGTTGCCTGTCGAGCTGAAACTAAAAGAATCAGTGTAATATTCTCCATTGGAAGTTGTTCCATCTCCGTACAGAATATCAAAGGCATTACCAGTATCTTGGGAATCGGAAGACGACAGTGGATCGTAAGAACCTGAACCCAGGTCTTGCAGCGAAATCCAGAGGTCAGAGGAACCAGTGTCTAAAACAACAGTGGCTTTTTGCTTATCGGAACCAACATAAATGTCCACGACATAGCTAACATCATCAACGTCTTTGAGCGTCTCCGGATACGAGCCTCTCTTCTTGCTTTGGTGACGAAGAGCGTGGACCTCATTCCAGAAGGACCGAGCTGAGATGTTGCCGACATTTTTTTGCACCCGGAAGTCCAATTTCAAAGGTGCAGGGTCTGATCTGCCGACAAGAGAGGCTTCATTTTTGGGAATGGCCAATCCGTTAACAAGAGTGAGAGCGAGAGAGAAGATAGTAAGAAGTGGAAGCATGAGAGTTGAAGTTGTCAGTAGTTGACATTGCTAGTAGAAGAATAAGGGCCAATTTATACCATTATGATGGGAGGTTCGTTCATTGAACGGCTCCAACAGAACCGGAACATGTTTACTTTTATCTTGGGCATTTGCATCTATTGCAAAGAATGCTGCAGCACGATGCATCTCTATTTAGTGCATTGCGCGCCTCATAACCAGTTTTTGAGCGGAAAACGATGTGGCTCTCGCATAAACTTGACAAGCTGCAGAATACTGTCCCCACGTCATGCTGTGCATTGACAGGTGGAACATAGCTTTGCGCGTCTTATCTGCATTTGGCACTCCCTAGTGCCTAATAGGACGAAGCCGTTTTCCCCCTGATTAGCCCTCGTGCGCTTTTCAGATGGCTCTTGATGCACAATCTCAAGACAATGAAGGCTTCCTCTACCTCCGTGGAAGATTGGTTCCGCTGATTTTGGCACATAGTGCTGTTTATTTTTCTCCTTGTTCTACGGCGTACAATGTTTTAATCTCCAATGGCCGCGTAAACACTCTGGTTGTGTCAACGTAGATTCGATTTTAAAGGCGTCTTTTCACTTCTGAACCATGTCCCACGCCTGAATTGTGGTTTAGCCACAGTTCACAATTCACATGACGCAAAAAAAGTCAACAAAAGGAAAAGAAAGACACTCATGCAGTTGCTGGAGTTGCTTCTGCTTTGGGCTTATCGTAGCATGTGCATCTGGTAAAACATGCTCTTTCTTCAAAGGCGCACCCACATTGAGTGATGCAGGAATGGCTTACTACACTTTGTAATGAATCGAAAGGTGGCAGGCCAGTTTCACTCATTTCACGTGGGTCCAGAGGATGCCACAGTAAGCTACAAATTTTGTGACAAAAATGATTTTGGTCTAAGTGTTTTGTTTTTTTTCTTCCCCTTTTCACAATTCTTAGGCGCACTCAACTGAAAAATACAAAGTGTTAGCATATTCGAAAATCGTGTATAGCGAACTTTGAAATAATTTTCAAAGTTTAAGAATTCATCTTCACTGCCATTAATTTATCTTTTATTGTAGAAGAAAGCAAAGTGGTGTTTTTATTTTGTGTTTTCCTACGTCTTACATTCCTCAGTAAATATCTTTCTTTTTAGGGACAAGAACATGCAATTCCGCTATTGAAAAAAAATCTACTCGTTAGTGAAGAGGCAGATTTGAACTATGTTTCCTACTAAAGGTCAATAAAGCTCTTTCAGAATGTAAAAGAGCGTACCCTAGAGCACGTACAAGGAGAGACAGGAATAATCATTCTATGACAGCAAACTTAAAAAGACAAAAGTACCACTTAAGACAACAAAAAAGAAAAAGATAGAAACTGCGTCATTTTCCTCGCCATTTAATTCAGTTTTAAAGATTATGTTTCAGTGTCTGAGGCCCAGTACAATATTCGTGCACTTGTAAAAGTCGCGATAGACTGCGTTGAAGACTAAATAGATCTAACAATGTCCATAATTTTAGGCAAACGTCAACTGCTTTCATCAAAGTTTCAAGGAAAAAATTTCCTGTAATCCAACATTAATTTGAAAGCGCCAATGCTATGGGCACATTTTTTTGTTTAACAAGGAATCGACTTCCCTTTTACTTACCAGCAACAGGAGGTGTGTACCTGCATGTCACGCACACAATTTAACGAATGCGGTATATTGTAAACATCTCGCATCAACGCTCGTCTCACAAAAGAAAATGGAAAAAATGCCCACAAAATAACTACACTGAGCATTTGCATCTGAATACTATCCGGTATACCCAAACACACTTGTAATATATCAGAGGAAACTGAAACGGCCCCCCACTCTCATTTCGCCGCCAGTCTATTCAATGAAAAGCATATATCTTCCTGACTCGAGCAATGTCTCGGCGGAAGACGCAATCAAACTTCACGAAGTTGCTAAGACCATTTTCAAAGCAAAAAAAACAAGCATACTAACAGGAGCCGGGATTTCATGTAACGCCGGGATTCCTGATTTCCGTTCCGACGAAGGTTTGTACAATATTGTCAAAGCCAAGTATCCTACCAGTTTCATCAAGGGTCAGGATTTGTTTGATATCTCTTTGTTCCGAAATGCCACTACCTTGTCCATTTTCTGCACTTTTATGGAGGGTCTTTACCAACATTCTTTGCGGGCCAAAGCTACAGAAACCCACCGATTCATCAAAACCTTGAAGGAGAAAAACAAACTCCTCAGGTGCTACACACAAAATATTGACAGTTTAGAGAAAACCATAAATCTCAACTGCGGTATAGATGTATCTAAATTCAGTGAAATTGGAAGCACCTCTGGTAGGTCTTTCCGAGAGAACTGGAACAGTTTGGATGTTGTGCAGTTGCATGGAAACTTGCATAAGCTCTGTTGTACCCAGTGCTTCTCCCGCTATGATTGGACGCCGCAGAATCAGAAGATGTTAGAAAACGGCCAATACCCCGAGTGTGAAAATTGTCATCTCAAATACCAAGAAAGGTTGTACTCAGGAAAAAGATTGACAGGCAGCATTGGGATTTTGCGCCCGGACATAGTTCTCTATGGAGAGAACCATCCACAAGCTGAAATTTTGGCCCGTGGATTGAATATTGATATTGGCATGAAGTGTGACTGTCTTCTAATCATGGGTACTTCTTTGAAAGTAGACGGTGTCAAGAAATTGGTGAAGAGTCTTGCGAAAAGTATCCGTGAACGGGGAGGAAAAGTCATATTCGTCAACAAGACTCCTTTATCAAAACAATGGGCCAATCTAGTTGACTTTCAAGTCCTTGGGGATTGTGATGCTTTTGTCAGACGTTTAAAGACAGAGATTCCTGACTTATTCTTGACACAAGAGCAACTTGACTCCAAGAGACTTCTAACAAAGAGCTACCCCGTTGCTGTCAAGCAAGAACTTACCAAAAAATTTGTCGAATCGATCAAGAAGGAGATCAAGCTAGAAGTGAAGTCGGAGCCGGTTCTTACTCCACCCTCAACACCGAGTAAGAATCGCACTGTCCTTTTACCAAAGACACGAAAAAGGCCGTCGCTCAAAAGAACCAATACCAGGAACGCTAATGAGAAGAAGATTACTTTACCCTCTCCTGAGTCTAGCTTTTCTGACAACATCAAGGTTGAAAGTGAAAGTACTGTGACTACGGACTGTGATGAAGATGTTTCTTTGGAAAACTTTGGCGTGGTACATCTGTGTGCCGCACCTTACCACAAACGTATCAAAATCGAATAGGATATAATATAGAATCTATTCTTATTGGACGAGGTAACAATCAAAGATGATGTAGATCCAAGCCCCAAACGGCTTCCGGGATAGTTCGGAAACGAGAGAACAGTATCGTTGATACAGATTGCATGGGCAAACCACCCTGCCAATAAAATTATCTAGAATAGCAAGAACAATATGCGAAAATCATGAAACGTTTTCAAGATCAAGCAGCATAGTATGCTGGTGCTTACAATCTAGATGGATTTTTTTTTTTTTTAGTATGCAACTATTCAGTTGGCTCCAGTATGGGTGGTTTGTATGTTTATATGTATGTTAGGTCACCGATCCGCGCTAAAAGTTAATTCAGTACAAGCCAACTTCACAATTCAACAAAAACACTTACGCTTAACAGAATACATCACTGAAAACGACCTTCTTAGACATTGATTCCTTTTATTTTTCGACCTTGTCTACCCCGGTATCCAGGTTTGCACTTATTTATTTCGTCGTTAGTGATTTGCTGTTTCCCCAGGTATTCCAATGGAGCAGGTTTCTAGCTTTTTGGAAAACATTCTCGTCGTTGAGCCCGATAAGGCAGAGAAAATTGAGCGACTACCTGAAGCTGCAAAGTCTCTGACTAAACCACTGACCAAGTCACTAACTAAGCCACTGACGGCAGAAACAGCTACGGATAATGAGCCGGCAGCAGATCAGGCGGAGCAATTACCTAATCCATCATTATACTCTGGATTTTGGTACTTGGAAGACGATCCGCGTAAAGCGTCAAACCAATTGACAGAAAAGTTGATGGAAAAAGTGTTGAATGTAATCATCAACAGTGAAACGGAGGCCTCGTCTGGTCTTGAAGCAAGAATGGCGGTGCATCGAACAAGACCACCGTTCTCTGTCAACCTCATGTCCACAAACAGCACGCATTTGGCCCAAAAAACTTCGCCTGTTTTTGAAACGATCGACGCCATTATCCTGTTCTTTTGTTGGTACAATCCCGCATATACTATAGGGGTGCTTATGCTTGTTACTCATGTGATATTGAACCCTTATCTTGGAACAGCCTTGCCACCCGCCCTTCTTATCAAGAGGTTCATTGTACCCAGTTATCTACGGCTCTACCCACCTGATACTTCAGTGATAGACGGCGAACTTTGGGCTAGAAATCCAGAACCATACCAGGGTCCACCGCTCAAGAAGTATGAACCACCGAAACCCTGTTCACAGTTCTCGCGTGAATTTCTTATGAACTTTGCTGATTTACAAAATCAGATGGTGTGCTATATCCGTTTGTACGACCAATTAGTAGCCTGGGGCCAACACTATTTTTTGTTCGAAAACTATAAATTGACATGCGTGGTGTTTGCTATATTGGTTTTTGTCATTGTTTTTGAACTTGCAGTGTTACCTAACATCATGCCATATATCTTGCTTTACTTTCCCTGGAAAACGTTTTCTATCATCATGGTGTGGTTGTTTGTCGCTGCATTCCATCCTAAAGTCAAAGATACCTTATTGGATTATTGGCATTCTGAAGACGCACGGCTCGCACGGCTCGACTCGACTGACCGAGTCGAAACTTTCCTAACAAGCTTTGTAGCGGAAGAAATCAAGTCTGATATCTTGCGCCAAGTCGAGATTTTCGAGCTCCATCGTCTTTCCTCGCGTAACATTTGGGAACCTATGGGATTTGCCACAGATTACTATACGCTTAACCACCCACAGAGGATCATGGAACTGCTTGAACGCAAGAAGGATGTGAAGCCAAAGGAGAAGAAGCGACGCTGGTCGTCTGAAAAGAAGGATAAGAAGAAAAAGGATAAAAAAGAAAAGAAAGAAGAAACCAGAGAAGAACGGGGAAAGACAGAAGTGAATGATTTTAGCGACAAGGCCGGTGCTCCTGATAATCAAAGCAGTGCTGTTGATTCAACTAGAGATACCAAGCAGAACGTTTCCACTGGAGACAGCGGTTCTATTAAAGAAGGTGCTTCTATAGGGGATACCTCTTCCGTTGAAGCATCGATTAAAGACGATGTACCACAACTTTCTATCGTGAAAGAAACCAGAAACGCATCTGAAGCTGCCATAGTCCTGCCCGATAAAGAAATGACTCCAGGCATTATATCCGAGAGCGAGCTTGAAGAGGCACAAATTCAAGAACATATAGATTCTGCTAAAGAGTCTACAAAAGAGAATGAGGAAGACACACTTCCGATTCCACTCAGAGCAAGTCTTGGCGAAATCAGGCTGCCCCCACACTGGCAATTTTCGGAAGATTCATGGAGTATCGATCTCGAACCACACATCTGGGTTGACCAAAACTGCATTATGGATTTAGTAAATGTTGACGCAGATGAAAAATGGGTCTATGACTTCGCTGACAATGGCGACACACCAGATGGCCACGTATTTCGCCGAAGAAGATGGGTCAGGGCCTGCAAGAGAGAGAAAATTGTTGCTACCGTGCCTACTCCAGCAACTTCTAGTCGATCTTCCGAGTGGTTGTCTAAAACATTATCCCTCACTTGAGTAGAGACTATTGCATGAACTCGAACAAGCTGAGCGTCTTCGGTGCCGTGGTTTTGCTTGAAGCTAGCATGGATGCAAGTTCTGACCGCTTCTTTTTCTTCTTTCTAGTGGTTTCCAGTTGCATAACAGTTTTTTTCTGGTTTAGTAGAGAACCCATCGTCTGCTCATGGTTACAAAGGCGGCATGTGATGTTAAGCGTGCGATTCCTTTGTCCCGATGCTCTTTTGGTGTACTTGATGCGAGTAATACAAGAAAGGGCTGGGATCATCATGACACCACAGTTCAGACAATGAGTTTTACCTGGATGAACGTTGAGGAGGCTATCGTACGCATACTCATCACTGGTAACAGAGTGAGAGGACAGAATGGGTGATAGTGGACAAAAATGTTCTAGGTTATATAGGTGGACAGCTTTGGCGGGTTCCATTATCGAATAAAAGAGCTTGGGAGAGAAGAGATATATCAGATGAGGAGGCACGGATCTGTACTAATGACGATTTTGTCTAAATATTGGCTGAAATCAGTAAATACAGTAGCACATCGTGTAGGAAGAAACAAGACTAAAAGAGAAAAGCACGTGGGATAAATAGAATAAAAAATAGAACAACAGAGGAAAGTGGAGAATTACGGAGGGTAATACTAGAGGTCTTAACGTACTTTTGATTATCCGTTGAATTGTCGCGTCCTATGAAAATTGACATCGTTGCGCGCTCTTCCGATCGGACATGCTGTGCACCAATTGCGGAAGTCATGTATATTTTTTGGCACATGCGGGAGTATATTAAGGGGAAAAGTAAACAGAATGCTGATGATTGGATACCCTAATTTTTACGAAGGCGGACCCTTTTTGAATACGAATTTGTGATTCTCCCTCTCAATTCATTACTTGTGTCTTGTGCGTCTATAAATGAACCTAATCACCTTGTGCAATTGTTTCTCATGTTGTAATTTTTTTATCACTCTTTCTATATCATTCTTTCTGTATCATTCATTGATTCGATCTTTTTTTTTTCTTTGTTGCACTGTATCAGCTCACGTTGAGCCACATGCAAGTGGTTATTGATCAACCTGTATCATCAGCAAACCGAAGTCCGGTCCAAAACCAGCCAATGAGCGCGAAACCATTATTCATACAGCGTGGCCGATAAGCGGCTTAGAGTTTGCACCCAAAAACGTCACGCTATGTGCAGAAGCCTGCTCACGAGAGTACTTCGCCCAAGCTTTTGAGTTCCATATAAGCCAGGATTGCCTTCTTCGCATTCGTTCATTTTCGTTCCTTTTTGCTTTCCAATTTCCCCGTTCGCCGACCTCTGTTTGGTCGTCCACATTATTTTTATCCTCCACGCAAGCTTTAGTATAGCCCTAAAGACCCTTCTCATTGTACTTGATCCCAAGGCTACCCCAGCATCACATTACCCATAAGCCCACTCTTCCCCATGGTGTTAACTATGCAACGAAGACGCGATCTTGTGGTGCCAAAATCACTAAAAAAAGGCAACCGGGTTCTTAAGCTGTGCACACGCTGTCGAAGCAGCAAGATCCGTTGTGATGCCATGCTCACCCAACCATGGCCTTGCACTTTCTGCTCCAAGCGCAGTTTTGTTTGTATGTTAGATGTTTCGCAGCCTGCCAAAAGAGAATACGATGTGACTGAACGTTTAGTGGCGGACGTGCGTGATCTACATCATCGCCTTGATCGTTTGGTGTTAAAGAAGACTCGTTTAGTTCAGCAGCTTTTACTGCGTCAAGGCGGGGTTAATACCCGCAGAATGCCACAGGCAACACCTCAAACACCGCCAGTCGCTCAAATACAGACTATACTACAATCTCCGCATGAGAAACTGCCCTCAGACACCATTTATATCGACCCAATTCCCACTCTTGCCCTAGAGGGTTCCTTCACGATTCACTCGGACCAAAAAAGCCAGCCCTTGTCTTTAAGCCACGCCAGGGTGAGTGAGCTTTTTGAGAATTTCAACCAGAACTTTAGGCATCATTTGCCTGTTCTTCCCGAATCTTTTTTCCACAAAGACTTGCAGCAGATCCATCGCGAAAGCGACTTATTGTTCTGGGTTATTGTTGCTACTTCATTCTTAAACCAAAAAGAGCTGACGATATACCTTCAACTTGTGCCTCATGTACGTAATTTAGTGGTCGTGAATTGCTGGTTCAACACCCCGCGTTCAGTTTACTCCTTGGTGGCGCTCTTAATACTCACTACTTGGCCATTACCTAATGGCGAGGCACTGAAAATACAAGATGATATTTGTGTCAAGTACGTTTCCCTCATGAAAAGTTTGGCCCTTCAGTTTGGGCTTCACAAGCCTAGTTTTCTCAGCGAGTTCAGCAAGAAAACTTCCATGAGCATGGATGCCACAGAGGATGAGAATAGACAGATACGCGAACGCATTTACAAATATGTCAACATCAATTCAAACTACTGGCTTGTTTATCTCGGGCTATCCAACTCCAACTACAATGGGTTTCAAATGGACTACATTACTGATAAAGCAGCGAATGTGGACATCTTTAATAGGGAAAAATTTTCTCCCGAAGATAACTTCACAAACTCACTATTGAAAGTCTCGTTGTTGCAACTGAAAATGAACGAGAACATGAGCGACCTCCTTCACAGTCCGAGTCATGTTAGCAAGCTTATTCATTTGCATATGTTTGAAAAAATATTGAACGCGTATAAAGCAGAAACCTCTCCTTTCCTTCAAGATGACTTGCTTTGTATGTCTGTGGAGTATTCCAAATTGCATCTATACATCTACTACTTGTCAAATGTTGATATCACGCTATCAGAGTATAAGGATGTTATCTACCAAGCTCTTAATTGTTGCAAGCGCATTTTAACTTTGTTTGAAACAAACTTCTCCACCATTGAAAATTTTTACCAGGTACCAATTCACTACCGTTTTGCCATCGAGTTGTCTTCTCTTCTCTTATTGAGCATACACTCGAGTCCACTTTTAAATTCCATCAATGATTACCTAGAGGTCAAGGCCGATTTCGCAAGAGCTTATACACTCTTAAAAAAGACAAACGAAAAGAACTGGGCACGGGTGAATGGAAAGCTTTTTAAGGTGATTGAAAAGTTCGATGCTTGTGATAAGAGGTCTCTCCTTGCTATCAAAAATCAGCATAAGTCATTCTTTCTTATAAACAAAATGACGAGCTACTTGGTTTCAAGTTTGAGCTACGAAATGATATGGGACATTTACCAAATGGAGAAATCAGAAAAGAGTTCTGATTCTCTCCAAATAGATTGGGAAATCTACGGATTGGATTGTGAAAATATGGAACACAAACAAATAATGGATTACTTGATGACCGCGAAATCAATCATCCCACTATTATGAATTATATAGGTATTAATGCATAGTGATATTTGTTTTTTTTTTTTTGTATAAGCCACACTATTGCCTTCAATCCAACCATTTTGCATTTAACTTTTTAGAATCAACCAAAGGTTTCGTAAGAACAAATACCACAAACAATACAGCAATAGTAAGAGAGAGTTTGAGCTTGTCAAATGAACTGTTCAAGAGATCGTATGACAAAGAGGGCTGAACAGTGGTGCAAAATTCATTGAATTTGTTCAAGAAACAAAGCACAGCAGTCGATTCTAACTCAGTAGGCTTGATCAAAATATACTGATTCTTGTCCTCCACTCCTTGAAGTTTGATCTTGTGGTTCAAAACTTGAAAGTTATTGTTCATGATGACTGGTTCATAAGGCATCATTTTGAAGTCATCTTCATACTCCTCGGAAGACATTATGTGGTCATCAATCCTTCTGCTGTTGAGAATAAATTTAGGAATTTCAACCAATTGTCCAGTTTCTGTAAAAGCAATAACAGATCTAACGGTCAAACCGAATTTGGTTTGCGTGGAGGCTAATTGAAGTATTCTTTCAGGGTAAATGAAAGATTTCGCCGACACTTGGGCAATTGTAACATTGAACTCACCATTTAAAGAAGATTTCAGCTCACCAATAATATTTTCAGCCGTCGAAAACAAATCTAATACAACAATTCGCTGTTCAACCTTTGGATGCTTGACGAAATAGTAGTAAACAACCCAATTATCGTTCTGAACCACATTAATTGATTTGGGGTCAATAATTTGATCGCTATGACGTTCAATATGGAGAACATTTCCGGTTATTCCGTCCAAAAGAGTTACTTTGAGCGACTGGCCTTCTTGTGTAACAACTGAGACCAAATTAGGGTTCAAATATTTGTATAAGACAGAGCGATCTGATCTAGCTATTCCGGCTGCAGATGTTAAGCTACCCTCTTGGTCAGATACAGCTAATATCTTTTCGCCCCTAGTTCCAAATTTCCAAGTTTGTATCAATTTGCTTCCTGCGATTTTATATGCCTCTAGAGTGAAATCATCTGTTTGGGAAAGAATAAACTGAGAGTCAGCAAGTGTAGTCTCCGAATAAAGGAATTCCAAGGAATTTCCAAACCTTAATGCAAGTGCCAAAGGGTCAGCACCTTCTTCTATCTTTTCGTTGCTGATTTCAGTCTCAACAAGAATTGCTTTCTCGATTGTGGTCGTAAACAGTTTTTCAGAGATAATTTCTCCAGTCCTCAACAGCAAAGTGTAAACAGAATGCGAGAAAACGACATATACCTCATCATTTATCGAATGCAAGTCGACAAGGTTGTCCTTCTGTTGCAATTTCTGGGTCCACAAGGTCGACCCATCCTTAGATTTCTTGGCAACAATGGATCTATTGTCACTGTCATAGTAAATGTAAATTTTTTCAAATCCATACTTGTCTTCCTCAAACTTTTCCTCGTATTCACCAGCTTGCACGAATACTCCAAGAACCAGACCTAAAGGATTGCCCAGTTTTTTGAGATTTCTCGTGAAGCGTGCCAAATGAGACTGAGGAGAGCCTGAAGCGTTCTCAACAACAAACCGGCCGAGTTGAGCCAAGTGTGTTTTTGTTCTCTTCAACCATCTCAAGACATCTGTACCAGTTTGAGAGTCTTCGACCAAGTGGTGCACTTTCTCGATCAGAGAAAGTGACCGGGGCTGGTCTACTATTATGGCCTTTCCACTAACGTGCACCTGATGAGGAGGAACAGAGAAGGTTTTCTTAGATTTCGAGTAAAGATCCACAGTGAAGATGTCAAACGTGATAGGCTTATCATCGCTAATCGACAAGACAGTCAAGCTCTCATCCATAAGAATGTCAAGAAAAGTTCCATTAAATACCAAGTCATGTCTGAAAATCGTCTCCCTTTTGTGCGTTCTCAAATAAGCGCTAATGTCATAAGCGTGCACGCAATTGGCAGTGACGACAATAAGGTACTTAGAAGACGAGATTGTAAATATTTTCACCTGCAAAACTGAGTCGAATGACTCCGTCCAAATCACTTCAGTTTTATCACCAACTTGCAGCTTGATTGAAACATCCTTTCCTTCTGTTGAGACACCATGATGTCCATCGATGATCAAAGAGGACTTCAAAGCTATTTCTTGGCCAATTTTGGCATTTGCATCGAGAGCATTCACTTCCAAACCATCAGCCTCATACAGCAATTGCAAAAGTTGACCATCTGCAAAAACATAGTCATACCCATTTTCAGTGAAGACTTTGAAAGAAGCATAAGTGCCAAGTGCACCTAAGTCACCATTGTTCCAAACAGACAAGACATTGTGAGAATCCAATATAGCAAAAGAATCATTGGACAAAGATGTCACTGATTTGATCACCGAAGTCAACTTCACGCGGTTTACCCATACGCCTGTGTCTTTCTTGAAAACATGAAGCTCTGTACTTCCTTCTATATACGTCACGAAGCTTGTATCGAGGAGATTCACATGTATATCATGACCGGAAATTTCCTCAGTGTAACCCCATTCCGAAAGGTCAATCAGGAAAGTAATTGCTTGGTTTTCGCCCGTCAAGCGAACTAAACGGTTGGATTCTGACAATGCCAAAAGGGAATCTGAAGTCACTAGCCAAGGCCGGATGAGATTAACATAATTATGCAAAGCCCAATCCTTGACGAATGCGTCTTCCAAAGAGACTGCAAATACACAAGAAACAAGCAACAGCACAGCTGCTACAAGGAAACTTCTCATGGTGTGGAGTGGTAGAGTTTGGTCTTGATGTTAATGCAGGAAAGTCAGGTTGGACGAAAAGGTGGTGAGGAATTGGTGTGTTCTATTATGAACACATTACAATGTGGCCAGAAGGTTGTCCTTCAAGCATCCAATCCAGTAGACCATCTCTCATTTGAAATAACTTAATTCTTGTTGACGATATTCTTTTCTCAGAAGGACATTTCTGTGATTGGTATGAGTATGAGGCTACGAGGGCATTGAGAGTAGATTTTCAGAATAAACATCACCTCCAAGATCAATAAGAAGCTTTTGCGAATATTTTATGCCACCTTCTTGTGTTATTATCATCTGTCTTCTCTTTCAGAGCAACTAAGGAGTTGCAGATTGCTCGCGAGATATGTAAACGTGACCGTAACACAGATGCGCGATAAGTATATAAGGATAATGATGCACCAGAAATATTTCAAGTTACGCAAACAGAAAAAACAAAATGCATTCTAGAGATTGGTTCTTGGTTCTCCTCGCTATTTTTGTTCCTCCAATTCCGGTGGCTGTTAAGAGAGGTCTTTCGATGGACTTACTCATCAATATTCTTCTTTGTCTTCTTGGATTTCTCCCTGGCTTGATACATGCCTGCTATATCATTTCACTTTACCCTTACAAAGAAGCATATGCGGCAATTGGTGGCGATGGCCACGATAACAGAGGAAATTATGGTGCTGTATCTACCTGAGGTTATGTTTTAGTTTTGTATAGATAGGTTTTAAGATTGAGAGCACTTTGTTCCCCTTTGTTCTAACGTAGGTAGTTAGTCTGCTTGTATGAGTCTCGCACGACCACTTCTCATAAAACATGAAAATTCTCATCGTTTGAACCGTAATACACACTATTCTTTATACGGTGTAGCTACCGCATAACTTAAGTTGTCCGATCCGAGGAAACTCACCTCCCTGGAGGAACATCGGTTCAATGTGTCTCTGTGCGAAGAAAAACTGCGCCTTCTCCTGTTTATGGCTCGAACCTAATTGAAATAGTGGGGTTAAGAGAACTCTGGTCTTGGATATCGTTTTGATTTTTCAAGGCTTAGCCAGTGGAATCTTTTCCTGTTTTGCTGTTTCTCCCTTTGGCTCCCTTCTTGGATTTTCTTGTGCTTTTCGACCAGCTTACTTTCGTTCTGAGAGGATGCCATTCGACATCGTACCGTTCAAGCTATAGTCAAGGGTTGTTCTACTAAGCCATTTTACAGAGCCAAACAATCTTTTCCGTTTGTCTCTCGGAAGGAAAGGTGACATAAGTGCTGTTTTAGCTTTTTTTTTTTTTCTTTTCTTTTATGATTTTTCAAGTTTAGGCCCTCTTTCTTATTTTGTTTCTTTATTAATTTCCGTGTCGTCTATGTATTCATACCTTGAAGCTGTTCAGCAATTATGTCTTGTTCGCTCTTTTCCTCCTCCGGGCGCCCGCCCCCTTGTTTCCAAAGCCACAAAGCCTCTATAGCGTAGTTTCTCACAGATAGGTTTCTTGTTTTCTTCTCATCTGCTGCTTCCGTTAATGATTCTATTACACGAAGCTCGTCGATCAAGTCCCACATCATACTCTCAAATTGGCGCATGGCCAGTTTCATTTCGTCGTTCAAAAGTTGATTATCCTCTTCATGAACAATGGGCATAATCTCATACTTGTGTAGGCCCAAACGGTGCAAAATTCTGCCCAACATTTGGATGCCCAAGCATCTTTGTGTGGGAACAACAGACCGTGAAAGGTGGACAAGTTCTGCAATAGTATAACCTGCCAATTGAGGATTCTCTGAATGATGATGGAGACCCATATGGGTAGGTATTTCTGCACTCTGTTCGTCTAATCTCACCAACTCGCCTTTGAAATCAAATCTCATATCACTGATAGCTTCATAAGTAGTGGGGCGTGTTTGTGGTAAAGGGTCTGTCATCCACGCTAACTTACTGGTCTCACGAGGTAAGTCAGCAAAATACTTTTCATGAAGTTTGTCGAAAAAACTTGGGTCATTGAGATCCAAATCGGGGTCCTCTTTCGGTGCTTTAGGCTTAGGAAAATGCATCTCAGGTTGGTCTTCTTCCTGGGGAAGAATCTGGTATCCCTCTGGAGCTATTTCATCATCTTCATCATCTCCTTTCAAGATAGGAACATTGTTTTCTCCCTCCTCAACTTCAATGACTGCTTTGGATGAGCTTTCTCTATCTTCAAAGTCTGTAACGGGAAGTGGCGCAACCTCATCAGCAAATCTCACGTTCTTTATTCCTAAAGCTTTGTTTACATCTTCGGTACTCAAACTAGGTAAAGAAACTCCTTTTTTTCCACCTCCAATCCAGCCATCATGTCCTTCTGAATGCAGATGCAGTCTATCTTCTGCTCTTTTAAGTAAGCTCAGGATCAACTTTGGATCCAAGCCTTCGAGTAACTCGCGCCTTTCCTGTTCAATTTCGCCTTCTGACATCTTCGAAAGTTTCTCTAGGTTTTCTCTATTAATCTTCTCTGCCTCTGAAAGCTCGGCTTCCTTTTCCTCGTTTTTTTTCTTCTCTAGCTGATCTTTAACAGGATCCGTTTGCTTCTTGAAGCGCGATGTTCGTTTGCCACCAAACTTCTTTAATGTTGGGAACCCACTACTAGAAGAAATTGAAGGCTCGGGTGGGGATGCAACAGCCACATCATGTTCCACGATTTCACCGATCAAGTCCATTGGATTTTCAGGATGTATGATAACTTGAAAATATTGTAAGTAACGTATGCGACTTTACGTGTGATGGGCGTGCACATAAGGCGGGTGCAAAAAGACCCAGAAAGCACACGGGCATGTCCAATCTTGGTATAGCTTCATTGAAGTTGACTTCTCTTTGTCAAGAAAAGTAAGTGGATAAGGTTTTCCTTGAACTCTTCCTTTACAACTTCTAATATTTTTGTTCAAGTTACCTCCATATACCGAGTCTTAATATTCCGTCTAACATTATCGCGAGTTTGTGAACTTCTTCTTTTCCCAATATGACAGCAGAGGATTACCACGTAGAACGTTTCATAGGAAGAGGTTCATTTGGAGAGGTTTATAGAGGTACAAACCTCAAGACTGGGAAGGTTTTTGCACTCAAAATGATCGATCTAAACGAAGCTAACGATGTTCGAGAGCTTATTAAGGAAATTCATATCCTTACTCGTATCCGTTCCACCTATTTGACTCGACATTATGAAACATTTTTGAGAGGTACAAACATGTGGATTGTGTTAGAGTACTGTGGTGGGGGTTCCTGCTCTGATCTTTTGAAATGTTTCGGATCTCTCTCCGAGCATGTTACTGCTTATATTATCAGAGATGTCCTTCATGGATTAGAGTATCTTCATGGGCAAAATAAAGTTCATCGTGATATAAAGTCAGCAAATATTTTACTCACGGACAATGGAGATGTCAAGGTGGCAGATTTCGGTGTCAGTGGAGAAATATCCTTCACAAGAACAAAGAGAAACACCGTTGTAGGAACTCCATATTGGATGGCTCCAGAAATCATTTCTCGTTCTGCTAGAGGATACGATACTAAAGCAGACATTTGGTCTACAGGCATCACTACTTACGAATTTGTAGAAGGGAAACCTCCACTTTCGTCTGTAGAGCCAATGAAGGCACTTTTTGAGATTCCCAAAAAGAGGCCACCGGAATTGGAGGGAAATCATTACAGTGATAACATTAAAGACTTTGTGAGATACTGCCTTATTAAATCTCCTCGACAAAGGCCCAATGCTTCTACGCTTTTGCACCACCAGTTCATTACAACATGCCCATCAGACGTTAGAATAACAGATCTCATAATGGCCAAGAAGCAGCGGGAGGAAACTATGCCGAAAAAAAATAGACACAAACCAAGAAAAATTGACAAGGGACTTACTATCCACTGGCAGTTTACGTCTACATTCAGAGAGAAGGACAACTCCCTGATTCTGGCTCTGTCGAAGTATGGGGGGATCGTTTATGATGCGCTTTCGAATGTGCTTCTGAGAGCAAAAACGGATCTCGCTAAATCATCTGTTGAAAAGCTTCGTCAAGAGATATCTGAAGCAGAAATACACAACAACGGCCTTTGCCACGCATTTGTTGAAGAACTTTTTGTTTTGGTCGATGCCATGCGCCAAAATTGATTATGGAGCTATGGCTTGCGGCAAGTTTATACTAGGAGTGAAACTAAATTTTGAGAATTAGACAGATAGTATAGTGTAGACTGGCGTGTTTCTTCGCAATCAATATTAACTATGGGAGCGACATCTTGGTTATATGTTGCTTCTTTTTATACGTTGCTTCTTTTTATGTTCGGAAGTAACCGGGAGAGCCGAGAACGTCTGAAAAATTGCTGTATCATTGAATTTCCTTTCGGACAAGGGTGCCACTAAAGTTTATGGATTATTGTAATTATACGAAAGAACTTTCAGGGTGCAACACAATTGCTAATCAAGTAAGTGTAAGCTTGTGGTTGTCGTTGGTTATGCGTACTCATTTACTCAGAATGTACTTCTGTCTTCATTTAAAATTAATCAGTTGATGCAAGACGGAGCGCTGCAATTGTTCTTATTTCATTAACAGCCTACATACATTATATTTTAGCTATATTGTTCTTTCTGTATTCATCTTCTTTGTTTTATTGCTTCACGAACTTGTTAGGCTGATCTTTATTGTGCGCGGCAACAGTTTCTCAGTAAATTAAATCAGCCCATACAACCCGAACTAAGTACGACAAGAAGAATCTTTCTTTCTCTATACCATATGTCACTTCGTAGCCATCGAAAACACGGTCTCAAGCCACGCTTTCCCCTCTTTCCCCGGTGCTTTTTCTTTTCTTTTCCTTTTCTCTTTTCTTTTTTTTTTTTCTCTTGCTATGAACCTTCTTGGCCCTGTTTATGCACCTGCTAATGCGCGACCGCGATCAAGTCAAATTCGCGTCTGTTTACACAGGTTTTGAGCTCAAACTACTGTCTACATCACCATCTTCTCTTCTCTTCTCTTCTTTACTTCGCTTGATCTTTTCGCATCTTTCTAGCGCAAGCTTTTGCTACTGTTGCTTTCTTCATCTTTTCTTCTTCATTGCTTGCTTCTTTATTTGGGCTGGGCCACTTTCACTTTCCTTCATCACATACCTCACATCACCATGCCTCCAGAAACACCTCGATCCAACGCCAAAACTGGGTATTCTTTAACCCCGTCGTTCACATTCAATTTGGGTCTTCTGCCTTCTTTCCGATTTGGCTCCCCTCAAAACCTTTCTCTTTTAACCTCGCTATCGCCGCATCGGATCCTAAATCGCTTTTCCCGCTCCAAAGATGTGAATGGACCAACTTCGAATACGACAGAGCTGCAATCAGAAGCAGCTCCTCCTGTGAAAGAGGTGGTTCCTTCCATCGAATTACCGAAGCAAACAAAACTCATGGACAGCTTTCCTGAGCCATATATGGAGCTGAATGCATCAGATCTGGTTTGCACCGCCGAGTCTGTTGATTTGTGGTCGCTCGCTAACGATACTCGCAACTCTGCAAATATCACATCCATCCATGAAGATTCTACTAAAGAAGACTTTTACTTTTCTCCTGCGGAATTTTTTGTCGATAGCGCTATAAATCTCAATTCCTCACCGTCTATTGAAGAAAAATCGACCGAGACTCCAACACGAAAGCGCGCCTCATCTTGTGTTGATCGATCTCCTTGCCAATTGCTTGCCTCTCAGATCGATAATTCGGGTTCTCCTATAACCCCTAGCGCCAAAAAAACCGATTCCTCAAAAGTGTGGACTCCTGGGTTGGACGACGTATTACTCCAATGTCACGACAAGTACAAAAGGTTTCGTGCTAATAACTCTCCTGATGCTCTAGTCTTTCGCCACACGTCGCAAAACAAGATTCTTTCTAGGATGTTGTTTAATCGGACTGGAGCAAAACGTACGGCAAAGCAGATTTCTTCGCGTTTGTTTCGATTAAATAAGAGTCAGCCGTCTAAAACGTCGTCTAGTCCTTCAGTGTCGGTGTCTTCCCAACCCCCAATGGAAAAACCAAGTATCATGGTATCATCTCCTGTTACTCAGACAATTGAAGGCAGTAGCCCGACAACCAACCTTTGTGTTAAAGACTTTGTGTTGGCATTCAATTACAAGCAACGTCTTGAGAAAACTCATATCTTCACCAAGTTGCATGACTCTTTGAAGTTACAAGATTCGTCCACTTTTGATAGCATAGCCAAGGAAGCTGGTGTTGATACTGCTCTTTTCCATAAAGATTTTGATTTCGTCGTTGAAAAATTGTCCTCCCAACATGTACCGATTTACAACATTACGGCAATGATGAATATGAAACCTTCAGAGAATGTCACTTCGACGCCAACATCGCCGCTCACAAATCCATGCCTGTTCTCTCTTGAAAATGGGAACTTCCTGACCTTCATGAAAATTTCTGTTTGTGGAAAGAACATCGCAGATCTGTTTCTCTCATGGAAGTCATCCATCACTATTTATCGAGGTGACCAAGCACGTCTTTTGAAATCAACGGAATGTGTCAATGGCTACAAGAACAATGAAGGGAATTTTGATTTGGAAGTTCCCTTTCTTAACAATTTTTGGTCTGGCTACCTAACATATTTGAGCAACGGATCACAAGCTTATGATGATCTCAAGACCTTGCGCATTGTTCAAGTTATCTACGATGGTGATAATGAATCTACCTCCAGCATTCATGGATTTTTTACTTACTCCTTCGAGGTATCCAATGATGGCTCAGGTATCGCATCTGTCACGAAATCGACTTTGAAGCGGTCGGAGGAAAGCCATTCTGAAATGGATGATAACGCTACTGTATTAGCCTCTTCGTCGCCAGTGAAAACATCCCCATCAAGATTCAACCTCTCCATCGATACAAACTTAGCTAACAGAAGCATATCTCCTGGGCCGTTGAGTGTTCCCACTTACGATGCAAATGTCTTGCATAAGCATAACCCAAACTACGCTCAAGCGCAAACGAGGCCCATACTCTCACGGTTTAAGTCTATGCCAGATCATGGGTATATGAAATCACCATTTGAAACATACACTGATGCGTGTTCTAATTATTCTACAATGGGGCCTATGAGCAATCCACCTGCGGGTCAGGCTGGTTTAACTCAACCTCCAAATACGGCTCCAAATGTAGAGGTGCTTCATACTCCACAAAGTATGCAGTTTTCCCGTGCTTCTGCTGCATCTGAAATGGGACAATATCATGTGGCGCCGGCCCCTCTCCAGTATACAGCTTCGCCTGCACCCGTGGGGCCTCCTGGCGTCGGATTTCCGCCCAATCCCAACATGGTTCCTCCTACCTGGCAAGCTGTTCAACAACAGATGATCCCGATGCTTCCAGTCCAAGCTGCTTCCGCCCCCGCATCACAAGTCCATTTCCCTTTTGCACCCGAGGAGCCTAATAATACCAAGGACGCTGGCAGGACGACCATCACATTCGGTCCTATACTTGAATATGACCCTTCGAAGGACCAAAGGAGCCAGGTGAAACGAACAAAGGGTAACCCAAGCATGCACAAGTTCCAGCTGAATCGCCAGATTATGTATAAACCAAAGAAATAAATAGACTGTCGTTTATATCCCGTACTTTTCTTTTTCCCTTTTTTTTTTTTTTTATTTTGCTACGCTTTCAGTTTATACGGATCATTACGCTAGGATATTCAACGAGTTGTCAGGTTCGAGTATTCGTTATGGACATTTCTGAAGAAAAAGCTTCGCATCTCCGGCTCTTTCCGACACAAACTGTGTAAACACAGGCGCGACGCGAATTCATCGCTCAACACGTCTTTCCTGCTGCTCCTATTTAGCGTTTTGTTTCGAAGTACTTCGTCCACTCTTTTCCTTTATTTTTTTCCCTCGTTGAGATGGGCGTCACTGGGCTTCTTCAGCAGCTCAAGGAAATCCAGGAACCCACGACTTTGGACAGGTACCGTGGACAAACATTGGCTGTGGACACTTATGGTTGGCTTCATCGCGGACTTATTCTGTGCGCGCAGGAACTATGCAAAGATGCTCCAACAGCAAGTTACGTGACTCTGGTAATGAAGAAAGTGGATATGCTACGCCATTTTGGCGTGGAGCCGTATCTAGTTTTCGATGGTGCAGCATTGCCAACAAAAGAGGGCACATTAATAGAGCGGCGCGAAAAAAGAGAGCGCGCGCGCGAGGCAGCGGCTGCGCTCGAGAAAAAGGGCGACCGCCGCGGCGCATGGAAGGAATACATGAAAGCAGCGGCAGTGACTCCGGAAATGGCCAAATCAGTTATGGTGGAATTGGACCGGCGGCGAGTGAAGTACGTGGTGGCACCATACGAAGCGGACCCGCAAATGGTTTATTTGGAGCAGATTGGTGCTGTTGATGCCATCCTACTGGAAGACTCTGATCTCTTGGTGTTTGGGTGCCGGCGCCTTGTGACCAAGCTTTCGGACTCGGGTGGGTGCGTAGAAATCAACCGCGCGAGGTTTTCGCAGGTTCGCGCAGTCCCTCGCCTCGCGGACTATACTCCAGCCCAATGGCGTGCCGTGGCGATCTTATCTGGTTGCGATTACACAAAAGGCGTGCCAGGGGTTGGGCTTAAAACGGCTTTTGCAGCCGTGCTGCGTACTCCCTCGTTGCACAAGATTGTATTATCTTATATTGAAAAGGGTACTGTGCCCCCATCATTTCTCCAGGAAGCTGTGCGTGCAGACTTGGCATTTCAGTTCCAAAAAGTGTTCGACCCGCGCGCGCGCGCCTTGCGCACTTTGAATGAGTATCCGCCCGACTTTGAAGTGGAAACAGAAATTCTCGAAGCTGTTTGCGGTCGTACGTTGGAGGAGAAAATCCACGTGGGTATATGCACAGGGCGTATCCATCCCTTTACGCATACAGTTTTAGTTTCGCGTGAACAAAACTTGGTGCTTATGAAGAGTCGTTCAGTGGTGGATGGGCAGATGGGCCATATGGCGCGAAAGGTGCTGGGTCTGGGCACACTCGCGCAAAAAACCCAGTCATGTGGCGCTCTAGCGCCCAAAACAATAGAGAGTTACTTCCGCGTGCTTCAGCCCACTACGCGCGACAACAAAACGGCCGGCCCAAAAGAGGTGCAAAAGAAGGAAACATCCAAAAGAAAAGTGGCAGTAGGCGGTGCAAATGAGAAACTATCACCTACAAGCAAGAAGTTGAAGCGTATCAGCACTGCCCCAAGTGGTGGCTCGAGCCGTTTTTTCTCTCAACCACATGCTCCTGTCCCAAATCTAAAGCAGACACCATCGCTGCCATTCCTCACTGGCGACTCCGAAGTACCAGAGACTCTGTCGCCTATCAAAAAGGATGAACAGTACCTCACAGACGAGGATCTCGACTTGGACGAATTGGCTGACCACAATGTTGGCTACACTAATACACTTGAGGACTCGCCAGTAAAATTGGCTCGCATCGGCCGCTCGTGGCGTGAACGATTTCTGGCTACGAGCACAACAGAAGGGGCTAATGCTACTCGAATTCTGACGTTGGATATCTCTTCTACGAGAGTTTCCACAGGCAGAATTTCAGTTCAAAGAAGTTCCAATTCCACTAAAGATAAGGTATCAGAATACGACACAGCAAGCAGCCTGGGCCCTCCAACACCACGTGCCGAACCTGTGTCGAGTCAGTTCAAATCGCTGCAACGTGATGAAATCAGCGAGAGCGACGATGAGCCCCGTGGCAGCCTCAAATTGCTGCGCTTTGCATTTTCCGGACTATAAACATACTCTAGCATCATGAATTCCTATCTTTATCTTGTAAGCATCATCTACGCAAAAACGCATTCAGTATGAGAACCTCGTAATGCGTCAACTATATCTGCTCCTTTAGAATCGCTACTTTGGATACTGTTATCGTCGAGGAAGTACAAGAAATGCAACGTGACATTGATGCAAACTAAGTCTTTTCGTATTCCTGTTGATCATGTATTCGCTGTCAATGTTACATCCCACGCAAAAGAGCGCCGGCAATCGCTGCCTGTGAATATGTTTCCGGCGTATTTTCAGGCGAATCGGCGAGTTTGAAGAGCTTGCGGAAACGAGCAAGATCGGCGCCTGCAAACAATTTTTCGTCAGTCATTTCAACTGGCAGGGAACCCAAAAGCTGCTGGAGCTTCTCATCCACCTGCTTTATCATTTCTTCGTTGTCTTCCTGCTGTGTAGCTTCTGTGTTCTTCTCTTTAGTGAGAATCTTCACCACAACAAGATCGCTCCGTGAAGTGTCAATGCCAAAACGCTTGAAGGCCTCATTTAAGTTGTTCACAGGTGACAAGCCAAAAAGTGCTTCTGTGTTGACTGTGTTGGCCCGCATTGTTCCCCTAACCATGTTCTGCACTGCCTTGTAGAGACTGCTTCGGAGCTGGTCTTGCGAAACAATACATGCGGGACTGAGAAAGCAGAAATCATATTCTGGGTTCTTAGCAAGGACTTGGCTTTTGATTTCGTTAAGCTTTTCGGACTCCAAGCCCTGGTAATATGCCACTAGTATAGTAACAGAAGGGTACAGCGGGAACACGATGGACTGGGACATTGGATGGGGTAAGATGTGCAGGGCCAGAACAGTTAAGTGCGAATCGATGTAGCATCACAAATCGCTCGCGCACACTAGAAAGCATCTAAGCCGACCTAGTCTGGCCATTAGAACCAGTGGACAATTTTCTCTCTTTAATTTATAATTTGTTGCTCGGATTAAGGAAGTCCAAGTCACAGTGTCAACCCACTCATAGATTGGCGAGGATCACTTCGAGTTGGACCGGATATCATTACGCTCCCTTGTGTCTATCTACTAGGTTCAATCTTGTTTATTCAACAAAACATTCCGTTTATCAGATTTGCCCCAGGGCAACTGCCTTAGCTGAAGTTGGATTTGTGCTACAAACTGTTCTCAAATAAAGACGTCGTTCTGTCTTACCCAAGGCTTCACCAACTTTCTGCTTTTCCAATATTCCGACACTGATGGATGATATTGAGCACCTCGCAAAGCAGGTCTTTGGCGAAGAAAAAGTGCTGAGCCGTGACTCTTCCGAACGAACATATCCTGAGCATATCCTCCATGAGTCTACACATGCCACACGATATTACAATGCATTTCAGCAACATACCCGGCAATTTGTCCCATCGGGAAGCCACGTTGTGCGTTTTTCGCATTCGGCTCTAGAACGGCTTCTGCAAGAAAAAGTTGCCGCTTGGGATACGGAAACCGGCATTACTTCGCGGCCCGGCACGTCAGCTGCGCTTTTTCTGTGGTCTTCCTCCGACAAGTCTGTCGCAGCTCGGAGGCGCGAGCTCGAAGGGAAAACGCGCGCGCCCCAAAATTCGCTCGAAAGCAAACGCCTCTTGCATGAAAATTCGCATTCTTCCCAAAACACCGCCAGTGCAACGCACAACTTGGCGCACTCGCCCAAAAACTCGCACCGTCTGACTTTTGCCCAGCGCCTTGCGCTCCAGGCCGAGCGCGAGAGCAACCGGTTTGTCCAGCAACGAATACAAGTCATTAAGGAACACCACTTGCGAGCCGCGTCCAAAAAAGTCGACGAGCGAAAGCGACGAGATCACGAGCTGCATGTACAACGCATTCGCCAAAAGGAAGAAGCCTACGAGCGTGCATTGAAAGCAGCAATTGAAGAACAGTCGTCGCGCCGCTCACTGGGTCTTTTCGCGCTGCTTTTCGGTAGCCCGCGCAGTGCGAGCTTTACTTTTGAGCCGAAAAGTATGGCCAAAGCGCTGTACAGTGCAGAGAACCACCCACTGAAACCTTTGGAAGCCGAATCTTCATCGCTGTCTTTGGCGCAACCTCAAACGCCTTCTCGGACTGCATCGCCTTCTGGCACTCAATCTCCTATTCAGTCGCCTGGCGCATTTGACAATCTCGAGGTGCTCGACCGACCAGAACCGCAAACTTCGCATAATTTTCTTCCTTTAAGCGCTCAAGCGGCACCTCAGTTGACAGACAAGCCGCAAGAAGATTTGCTCACGTTGTAAAAACGTTACTTGAAGAATCGATTGTATAATAGACCTAATTGTGGCTGCTGTTAACTGCTTATAGATATTGTAATGTGCTGAATGGAAGCTCCTGCGCGAAGATTTTTCAATTCAATGAGAATGATAGATCGAAACCACCATTTGGTCAAACACCAAGTTGATAATGCGACGTGCAAGATCCTTATATGAGCTTGCATACCATGTAATAATCTGAAAGCCAGAAAAACGTATCGAAACATTTGAATAATACTCTAGTGCTGGCTCACAAACATTTCAAAATCGACTGATTGGTTTTTGTTTCAATGCAGCCCATCCTACTTATTTATTTGAATTATTTTCTCATTACATTAAAAACGCAGACCAAAGCCTCCGCTATAAATCACAATGTGTCTTTTACCTAGTGTAGCAATAGGCATCTTGGCCATTATTATCCAAGTCTTCAACCCACGTCTATCTCCTTTCATGAATCCCATGTATTCTATGTGAATGCACCACCAAAATCGCTATAGTCACCAAAAAGAAAAAAAAAAATTAGAAATTTCGTGCCTAACCTGTCTTGACAGAGGTCACAAAATTAAGCTGCTTTTTCCTCTGAAATGAAACATCGAAGCCCCATGAATGCTTCGTCTAAAGCACGCTCAAAAACGCTTTCTAGTCTCCAACCACCGCCCAAAAATTCTTTGTTTTGTGCCAATTTGTGAACATATGGGTCATAATACGCATCCGCGATGTCTGTGCCCAAATCGTAAAGCCGATGAAGGTCTCTGTCCCCACAAAAAGGTGTAAATGGTGTCCGCGGTACAGCTTTCTCTGGTGTATGACTCGCTGAGAGAAACTGTTTGTCCAATTGGTTCAGAATTTGTTGTAATTGACGCTTTCTTAACAGCGACCGTTTCAATTGCTTGCTCTTTTGCTGCTGCATTATTTCCTCTGCGTTCGCATCTGATGCCGAAAGTTTTTCCATCAACTCCGCCTTTTGCTGCTGCTGGAACTCGAGATCTTCGACTTCCATTTGCCGCTGGATCTTTAATTTTTCCTGGCGTAACCTCTCAGTAGCCTCTTGGTATTTGGCTGAGTCCGCGTCTTTTTGCAGTTCACGCATGGCAATTTCTAAAATTTCTATCTTGTGGTCTGCTTCGTATTGCGCTACCTTCTTCTCCGTCTCTTCAGCATCGATATTTTCCGTTAAATTGAAAATGATGTTCTCCACCTCCTCGAGATATTGATTATACTCCTGTAGGGATGGAAAGTCTTCCTGTGTCTTGTTGTAAATGCTCTGTATCCGTTTACGGATATCAATTTCTCGCTCGATCTTAATGTCCTCAAACACTTGCTTTTTAAAACGGTTTTTTCGAAGGGTCTTATTGCATTTTGGATATGGACAAGGCGCCGGGCCAAGAGAAAAGATCCGGTCCACGCAAGACTCGCATATCTTATGGTAGCATTCTGGATTGATTAGAAATGTCATATTCGGAGACAAATACCGATCTGTTTTACAGATGGGACACATGTCCCGAGCTCGCTCATCGTCCATAACAATCAGTGTCATACTAGTTAATGTCGCGTAGTTGGTTTTATTAGGCGAAATGAAAGACTGGAAGTTTTAAAGGAATAAGGCTCGGATTGTGGAGAAGACTTTTGAGATCGGCTCTCAAAAGTAATTTTGTTCCTGTATGTGGGACACATTAATGAGAATGAGGTCTGCTTTCGGTTGTATCTCTTGTGCAAAAAGGCAAACTTCTCCAATCACTTATCCATCTTCCAATCGTTCTTTTTTTTACGTTATCGTAATATAAGAAAAGAAGAGTTTTCTGCCGCAATGGATCGCATTTTCCCCTCGGCTTTTCCGTATGTGGAATCCGCGAACCTGGACACGCAGTTGGCTAAGCTTATAATCACAGATGCTACAGATATAAAGAGATATGTTATAAATCTCTCTGAGGGTTTGTGCACCAATATCCAACTTGTGGAAACAAAAACGGGTTCTCCATGTCAGGATCTTTTACGCTTCGCTGCGAATCCACACAATCTGTCTCCATTGCTTTTATCAATTTCTCCAGCCTTTTGCCGCTTGAAATTGCATCTTTCTGTTTCCGCCAATACTGCTCGTTTAGCCAATTCTTTAGTTATACTTAAGTCCTGGGGCTCTGATACAAACGCGGACGAACTTCAGCTGTTTTTGGAACTGCGAGACTACGGTCGTTCGCCCTCTCGCAATGTTTCGAAGATTTCATTTTCTAAACTCGTCCTGGATGATCAACAAGTTATTGTGAATGATAGTTATGGGCTATCAGACTCTCCAGGTTCTGTGATGAATGTTTTCGTCTGCGAGGAATCTCTGGTTGGGGTTCTGCATTTATTCTCTTTTCTGTTGTTCGTGGAAAATACGTCTGGTTCATTTTCCTCTGAAGCGAAGCCAACCGCCCCAACCGCACGCCAAAACTCATTCTCAAAGCAACCAGAAACACAACCACCAAAACTGCCTCGCCGACCAAGAGAATCTCATACTGAAACATCCAAGCTTACACTACCGAAATTACAAAAAGCCTTCACTTTTGATGTCGAAGATGGACCTGAATTCCGCCAAACACTTCAAAGATATGAACATACTATTCCGCGATTAAACAGGACAATTTGCCTGCTTAGTGATGAAGCAAAGCATATGGAATCAACGCTAAAAAAATTATTGGCATCACGCTCAAAAATCTCGGAATTCATACGCCAACTTGAGGAAAATCTGTTCAACTCCTTACTTAAGGATTTAGGCTTATCTGAAAAAGTATCTAAGCGCTTGTCCTCTGTTTTTGAGTCAACTAAAACTAATATGGCTTTTCTCACTCAAGAAATATTGAATGTTTCCTCATTAGCGAAAATGCACTCATACTGTCTTCCAGTCACACCTCATGAAGGTAGTGAACTGTCTTTGAAACGGCGTGCTTTTGAAAAATCTTCAAAAGAATACTACGACTGGCTCAATAAATACCTATCGAATGAAAAAGAGAGACCTGAACTGAAGTTGTTACTTAAGCGAAAGACGTTCGAACTTGCAAAATTCGATTACTTGAATACCCTCAACCTCTCATCCAATAATCAATACTTCAATGAATTCATTGAACACTTGCTCAAGTTTTCCAATTTATCATGGCATCAGCACCATCTTGATTTGGCACTATATCATGATAACAAAGAAAGTCAAACTCTCTTGAATAATGACATGAGGCTATACTTCTTTGGGATATCCCGTTTCAACAGTGAAAAGCAGCAATTCCGACAGATGATCGAAGCATGTGAGACCAACGAAGAGCTTGCTGAATTAATCAAGACAAATCCGCTCAATTCCAAAAGAATTAACAGTGTCTCGGAAAGTACTGATGCGCCTATCTTAGATAATGTTTTTCCGAAGTCGATGGCTCTGACCCCATTCTTATCCAATGATGGCCTCAATACAAATTCTCATGATCAAAATGGAGAGATTTCCGGAATACTATATGCTCTTGGTGGCCAGGGAAAACCAGGTTGGCATAAAGAATGGGTTGTTCTCAAGGAAGGGCAACTCAATTCATATTCTGATTGGAGAAAGGGCAGACATCCGATAACCAGACCCATTGATGTTGCTTTGGCTAGTGTCAAGCCGATGAATTATGACAAAAGGCGTTATTGTTTTGAAATTATAACCTCAAGAGGTCAAAAGCACGTTTTCCAAGCTATGAGCAACATCGAGAGGAATCAGTGGATGAAAGCATTGTATAATGCCGGACAGATAACCCTGCAGCTCATAAAGCCGAATGTACGTGTGAAGACGGACTTACCGGCTCCCCCTCAAATAATTTCCCCGGAGGACAAAGAACGTCAGGGCTCTCCTGTGTCTGTTGTTTCTAGTAACCTCTTGAATTTAGAAGTGAATTATTTGGATATTGTGCGTTCCAGTGAAGGCAGTGAAAATGACAAATGCGCAGATTGTGGTGCAACGGATTGTGTTGAATGGGTATCACTCAATCTAATGGTTGTTGTTTGTTTGAAATGTTCGTCGTGCCATCGTAATATGGGATCGCACGTTTCCAAAGTCCGGTCATTGAAACTTGACAATTTCCTGAAAGAAAGTCTTGTACTTCTCAGCTATATTAACAATTTGAGAGTAAACTCTTTTCTCGAATATGCTGCAAAGGGAAATAAAGTATCAAATGATAGTTCTGATGACGAACGTTTGGCTTACATCAAAGCCAAGTATGTCCACCGGGCATTCATGAAGCCGGTTGCGAATGTAAACCTGCAGCTCGCCTCTGCAGTGAGAAAAATTGATATTAATGGAGTGATTGAAGCGTTGGATTGTGGGGCAGATCCAAATATTCGTTTACAATTAGGGACGGTGTCAAGTGAACAAGACCCTGTCGTTGTTCTGCTTTTCGAGTATTCTTTGCGTAAACTCGTCGAGATCAAAGAGCATGAGCAAACCATGAAATTCTTCGTCATTTCGGAACTTCTTTTGCTTCATGGTTGCAACATTGAACAAATTGATCGTTTGCACGAGGAACTTAATCTTCCTAAAGAAGCTTGGAAGTATTGGGAGGAAAAGAAAGCACGGTTGGAGGGAAAATAGGTTAACCTAGGGATATTATGCGTATAAATAAGTGAATGGAATTAATGAATATGAGTGCTTAATGAACGAGCTAAGCATACCTTATGTTGATTAATTTCAACGCAAAAAAATGCGATTTCTGTGGATCGAACACAGGACCTTCAGATCTTCAGTCTGACGCTCTCCCAACTGAGCTAAAACCGCGTAGAACCCATGCCGGGACTCGAACCCGGAATCTTTTGATTAGAAGTCAAATGCGCTAACCATTACGCCACACAGGCTTGTTATGAGGGTAATATTTGCCAAGTATATAGTAGATAATCTTCTCTTTTATATTGTTCCATCTACTCATTGTTATGAATTCCAGATATACTCCTATATGGCTGGTCAATTTACTATAATTACTGATCGTCATGAAGCTTCCCTCTTTTTCGATAAGGGTGATGACACGAGCCGCACGAAAAAACCCATACATCATCTTGAACCCACATCTCACTTTTGATGAACGTCTTGGGAAAGGTCAGATCAAAATCTTTGTTCACGAAACCTTCTCGTCTCGTCTTTTCTAACAACTATTCTCAGCCGAAAATGGTGAAGCGATTGGTGAAAAATACTGTTGAGCTTAATGAGACCGAAAAGAAAATTAAGAACCTTTTGGTGTCATTCTGTGATGAGTACAACCAACAAGTAAAGCCAGAAGACCGTTTGGAATTGCGGATTACAGGAGGTTGGGTCAGAGATAAGTTGTTGGGAAAAGAGAGCAATGATCTTGATATCGCTATCAATTTGCTTAGCGGGCAGGATTTTGCCAGCAAGTTGCTAGAGTACTCTCAGCAAAAGGGCATGGATTTGGGCAAAAATGCTACCAGTTTACACACCATCAAGAAGAACCCTGAAAAATCGAAGCATTTGGAGACATGCACCACGAAACTATTCGGTTTGGACATTGACTTCGTCAATCTCAGAAATGAGCAGTATACCGAAGATAGTCGAGTGCCGGTGATCGAATGTGGGACAGCAGAAGAGGATGCATTGCGAAGAGACGCTACACTAAACGCTCTTTTCTATAACTTGAACAAAAGCGAAATCGAGGATTTCACAGGGAAAGGGCTCGCGGATTTAGAAAATGGTATTTTAAGAACTCCTCTTCAACCGTTACTGACATTTGTGGATGATCCATTGCGAGTTTTGCGGTTGATACGGTTTGCGTGTCGCTTCAACTTCCAAATCGAATCATCGACGCTAGAATCCATGAAAGATGAGAAGATTAAAACAGCGCTTATCCACAAGATCAGTCGAGAGAGGGTGGGTGTGGAAATGGACAAAATCCTCACGAGTGACAATGTTCCATATGGTCTTCGATTGCTCAATCACCTTGGTTTGACCGACACCGTTTTCAGAGTAGGTGATCTCGCCGAAGTTATTAATGATATCAATGATTCGGCAACAATTGAAAGATTGGAAGAGGCAAAAGAAGCATTAAAACTTAAAGTGGACCAAGCTACTCAATCCTGGGACTCCTTTATTGAAGTTATGGCTTCCCATCCTGACTTGGAACTCAGCAAAGTTATGAAACGGCTTTTTTCTTCCAAGCATGGCCAAAAGCTTTTCTGGTTGTGTGCTATATTACATCCTTTTGGTGGCATACAGGTGAAAACAAACCCAAAGAAGGCGTCGTACTCTTCTTACGTTGAATTGATCATCAAGGAAGGACTAAGATTTGGAAAAGCCGACTACGACTCGACCTCTTTGGTATTGGACAAGATGTATACCAATGATACGTTGAGTCAATTCTTCGCAAGCCCTGCAAATTTATCCCGGGCTGATCTTGGAATGTATATTCGCCTTTTCGGCGACTACTTCGACTTGAATATTGTCGCTAACTCATTCCATGATATCTTGAGTCTGTGCTCCCTTCCAGATTGTACAGAAGAAGTGCCAACACATGAGACAAGAAATGGAGAAATAAACCCACAGATCCTTGAGAGCACGTTTAATAGATACCAAACATTGGTAATGGCCATAAACAAGTACGGTTTGGAAAACGTGAAAACATTGAAACCAATAGTGGACGGAAAAGTCATCTCTAAGGCGCTACAAAGAAAGCCCGGGCCCTGGATGAGTAAAATCACTCTGGAGGTTATGAAGTGGCAGTTGAACCATCCAGAGGGTACGCAAGACGAATGTATTCTACACATTAGGGAATTTTTGAGAGACGAATCTCCATAATTTAGTGGTTCCAAGAGACTCCAAGTCTACTTGTTTTGCAATCACTTTTTCATCACAATTATTGTTGGTCCCTGTGAATGAGTGTCAGACTAATCGGATAAAATTGATTTTCTATTACGAAAATTGCTCTTCGAGAGTTCTACTGCGTCTAGTCACCTTAGCATAGCATTCTTCATTCTTTAATAAAATGAGTGCGATTCTTATACATGTACTTGTGTTTTTAAATTTGCAGTCGGAAATTCAAAAATAAGATACTGGCTGTATTCGACATGTTCACAGAGTGGTAAGACTATGAGAATAACGAAGGAGAAGTTAAATCCTATATGTGTATGTCCTCAAAAGAAAGCTACGCGCATATCGCGGTTCCGGCCGCCTGCATGTTGTCAAAGAATCAGTCATAGTTATAGTTTTTCTGAATCCAAGTAATTTCAACCAAAACCTTTCCACCCATGTCCCAAGTGGAAAAAGTGTCCATTCTTGGATCCGACTCCATTCATGTGGGTTACGGGATCCAGGACCACATTGTGGAAGAGACACTTACGAACCTCAAGTCCTCTACGTATGTGATTATCACCGATTCCAATATGGAAGCCACTGCTCCATACCAGACTTTGAGTTCCAAGTTTGAAGCCGGATTGAAAGAATTCAGACCAGAATCCCGGTTGTTCTACTATGCTGTTTCGCCTGGCGAAAACAACAAGTCTCGCGAAACAAAGGCCCAGGTTGAGGATTTCCTCTTGCAAAAAGGTTGTACGAGAGATACTGTGATCATTGCTGTTGGTGGTGGTGTTGTAGGTGACATGATTGGATTTGTCGCTGCTACGTTCATGAGAGGCGTTCGTGTGGTTCAAGTACCAACCACATTGCTTGCGATGGTTGATTCTTCTATTGGAGGAAAAACCGCTGTGGACACACCTTTGGGAAAGAACTTTGTTGGAGCATTCCACCAACCAAAGTACGTCTTTGTTGATGTTTCCTTTTTGACCACTTTACCTACGAGACAATTCATCAACGGTATGGCCGAGGTGGTGAAAACAGCCGCAATCTGGAACGAGGAAGAGTTTACTCGCCTTGAAAACTTCGCTAAGACATTCATCGCTGTGGTTACCAGCGACAACATCGACCTTGCCACTATTAAAGATGATTTGGTCAAGACAGTTTTGGAGTCCATTCGCGTCAAGGCGGACGTTGTTTCTGCAGACGAAAAGGAGTCCAGCTTGAGAAACTTGCTTAACTTCGGTCACACAATAGGCCATGCAATTGAAGCCATCGTGACCCCACAAGCTTTGCACGGTGAGTGTGTTGCAGTCGGAATGGTAAAAGAAGCCGAGTTGGCAAGATACTGGGGGGTTTTAAGCCCCGTTGCCGTGGCTCGTTTGGTTAACTGTATTGCTGCCTACAACTTGCCCACATCTGTCGGAGACAAGATTTTCGTGCAGCGGATTGGTCATAAACGTCATTTTATCCAGATCAACACGTTGTTGGAGAAAATGGCCATTGATAAAAAGAACGACGGTTCGAAAATCAGAACCGTGATTTTGGAAGCTATAGGTAAATGTTACCAATTGAAAGCGCACGAGGTCTCAAAACAAGACTTGAGTTTTGTCTTAACAGACGAAACTTTGGTGCATCCTTTCCAGGAGGAGACCACTCCCAAGGAAAATGTTGTGATTCCACCTGGATCTAAGTCCATCTCCAATAGAGCGTTGATTTTGGCTGCTTTAGGAAAGGGAACTGTACGTATCAAGAACTTGTTACACTCCGACGACACAAAACATATGCTTGCTGCTGTCGCTGCTTTGAAAGGTGCGGAGATTTCCACCGAAGATAATGGCGATACTATAGTTGTCAAGGGTAATGGCGGAAACTTCATTACTTGTGACGAACAACTTTACTTGGGTAATGCCGGAACAGCGTCAAGGTTTTTGACCACCGTGGCCTCTTTGGTCAATGTGAACGAACAGTCTAACGATTACACCGTGTTGACCGGAAATGCCAGGATGCAAGAGAGACCCGTCGGTCCTTTGGTCAATGCCTTGAGAGCAAATGGATCTGAAATCGAATACTTGAACAACGAAGGTTCTTTGCCTTTGAAAATCAAGGCTGGAAAGGGCTTGAAAGGTGGCCGTGTTGAGTTGGCCGCCACGATTTCCTCGCAGTACGTGTCGTCCATTTTGATGTGTGCCCCATACGCCGAAAAAGAAGTCACATTGGCTTTGGTGGGCGGGAAGCCAATTTCGCAATTGTACATTGATATGACTATTGCCATGATGAAGGACTTTGGCATATCTGTCACCAGAGACCCACATGAAGAACACACTTACCATATCCCTAAGGGTGTCTACAGTAATCCTGGTGTGTATGAGGTGGAATCTGATGCTTCTTCTGCCACATATCCATTGGCATTTGCCGCAATGACTGGTACCTCGTGCACCGTTCCGAATATTGGATCTTCTTCTTTGCAAGGAGATGCGAGATTTGCTGTGGATGTGTTGAAACCAATGGGTTGTACTGTTGAACAAACGTCCACGTCCACCACGGTAAGAGGTCCCTCTAAGGGCAGCTTGAAGCCATTAACCCATGTTGATATGGAGCCTATGACTGACGCATTCTTGACTGCTTCCGTTGTTGCAGCAATTGCTAATAGCTCAGTGCCCACCCAGATCACTGGTATTGCCAACCAAAGAGTTAAGGAATGTAACCGTATTTTGGCAATGGTAGATGAATTGGCTAAGTTTGGCGTAAGAGCTGAGGAACTCCCCGATGGAATCGAAATCTACGGTATCGATTACAAAAACTTAAAGGTTCCTAGCTTGGAAAACAGAGGTGTTTGCACTTACGATGACCACCGTGTCGCCATGTCCTTCTCTTTGTTGGCCGGAATGTGTCCTGAGCCTGTGTTGATTACTGAAAGATCGTGCACTGGAAAGACTTGGCCTGGTTGGTGGGACGTTTTGCACACCAAGTTTGGTGTGGAACTTGAGGGATACGAAGAACCCAAAGACTTGAATGACCCTGCTTTGTTGGTCAACAAAGAAGTCAACGGGGATAAATCGATTGTCGTCATCGGTATGAGAGCTGCTGGAAAGTCTACTTTGAGCAGGTGGATCGCAGACTTCATGGGTTTTGAGCTCATAGACTTAGACACTGTTTTTGAGCAAACCCATGGCGACATCCGTGAGTACATCAAAGCTAACGGTTGGGGACGATTCCGGGAACTTGAAGCTGGAATAATGAAGGAATATCTTACCAAGTGTTCTAGCCGTCATGTTATTTCAACAGGTGGGGGTATTGTTGAAAGTGAGGAATCGAGGGATATTTTGAAATCTTACACCAAGACTGGTGGTATCGTGCTCCACTTGCACAGAGACTTGGATGAAACCATTGTGTTTTTGAGTTCTGATACAACAAGACCTGCCTACGTCAGCGAAATCAAAGACGTTTGGGCTCGTAGAGAGAAATGGTATCACGAATGCTCCAACTACCATTTTTACTCGTCGCACTGTGGCACTGAAGAAGAGTTCAAAAAATTGAGACACTCTTTCGTCAGCTACTTGAAAACCATTACTGGTGCTGGACTCAGCCCAGTTCCAAAGGGCCGATCATTTGTTCTCAGTTTAGCATGCTCTGACTTGAATGACATTGCTGAAAACCTAGAAGACATTGTCGCCGGATGTGAGGCTATTGAGTTGCGCGTTGATCTTTTGAAAGATTACAGTCCATCCTTTGTTGCTGATCAAACGGCTGTTTTGAGAAAGTTTGTCAACTTGCCTATAATTTACACCATCCGTACAAAGGGGCAAGGTGGAAACTTCCCCGATGAAGACGTACAAGCTCTCGAACAGTTGAGTTACTTGGGTATCAAACTTGGAGTGGATTACTTGGATGTTCAATTATCGAACTCGGAGAAATTTGTGAAGAGTATCATCGAGAAGAAAGCGTTTACTAAAATCATCGCTACACACATTGATCTCGCTGGCTTGCCATGGACCAGGGCTGAATGGGATAACAAGTACAACCAAGGGATTAGTTTGAATGCAGACGTTATCCAATTGGTCGGATTTGCCCATGCATTCCAAGACAATATTGACCTTGAACAATTCCGTGCAAACCACACTATCACTCCGTTGATTGCATTCAATGCTGGTGAGCATGGAAAGTTGTCGCGGGTGTTAAACAGAACACTCACTCCCGTCACTAGTGAGTTGCTCTCAAATGTTTCTGGGAATGGACAGCTTACTGTGGGAGAAATTAATAGATGTTTTTCTGAAATAGGTGGATTGAGCAGAAGAAACTTTTACATTGTTGGAAACCCTATCTCTCATTCCCGCTCACCCCAGTTGCACACCGCAGGATATGAGAAGTTGAACTTGCCGCATAGATTCTCAAAGTTTGAGACTGATTATGCGCAAAAAGTATATGAGGAGGTGATGACAAAGCCAGGCTTTGGAGGTTTGGCCGTCACCATCCCGTTGAAGTTGGACATCATGAAGTACGTGAGTGAATTGTCTGAATCTGCTAAAATCATTGGTGCTGTTAATACCGTCACGCCTTTGGATGGACAGCCAGGAAAGTTTTATGGTGACAACACAGATTGGTACGGTATCACGCAATCTTTTGTAAGGCACGGTGTACCTTCTTTTGGTAATTCTTCCGTGAATGGTATGGTTGTTGGTGGTGGAGGCACATCCAGAGCTGCGGCTTTTGCCTTGCACCAGATGGGATGCAAGAAGATTTACATGGTCAACAGAACGACGTCCAAGTTACACGAGATCAAATCTTCTTTACCTCTGGACTTCAATATTGAAGTTTTAGAGACCGTGGACCAAGTGGAAGCTGCCGATCCAGTTTCCTTAGTTGTGTCGTGTGTCCCTGCTGATAAGCCTCTTGATTCTGAACTTTTGAACAAGGTGGAGCGGATTTTGTACCATGGCAAAAACCAAGAGAAGCGCAGCTTTGTTCCTACATTGCTTGATGCGGCCTACAAGCCTCGTGTTACGCCCATTATGAAGATCGCCGAGGAAAAGTTTGGTTGGGCTGTGGTTCCAGGAGTGGAGATGTTGGTTAATCAGGGAGTTTTGCAATTTAAAGTGCACACCGTCTTTACTCCTCCATACAAAAATGTGTATGAGGCTGTTGTGGATGACAATGTATAAAATTTTCTGTTATAGACATGCTCAATAACACTGTTAAGATATATTTTTGCTCGTATGTGTGTTGCGGAAGAGAATGCAGATAGACACAAAGGCTATGTGCTTAAGTGCGAGGGAAGGAAGTCATCGCTACTATATACACTCACGTCTTCGGAGTTTCTCACCAAAATTGATACATCTTTGTTTCTTCCGCCACCAAAGCTATTAAGATGAGTCTAAGCCATTCGCATATAGCTCAAAAGTGTGTCTCTCGCATCTTATCTCGCAAAGTCCTTTCTTCCTCTGCTAAATCTCTTGCCCTGGGTCAGAGGTACTTTGTGACATCATTAGTCAGAAGATCCAGCACGGATGAACATTCCTCGACAAGTTTTTTCGGAAATGTCAGATCCATGTGGGGCTCTGGGGCAGAACGGAAGAAGAAGATTGAAGATAGAGATATTCGAGAAAACGCCTCGAATCCTTACATTCGGTATCCTTTGATCACAGAGGAGCAAATGAAGACCATTTCCAATGATAAGTACAAACTTGATTTTTCGTACGCCTCATACGCTCACCATAGTCTCGATACCGATCCAACAATCAACTCTCTCAGTGACTTAACCGATCCAACTCTGCTCAATAGTCTTCTTCCTAGGAGAAGACCTCATCAATCTCCTGTTGATACGCTTTCTATTAAAGCAGGAGACGACGCCATGTTAGTATGCTCCACAACTATGGCTATTGCTGACGGTGTTTCTGGCTGGGAATCTAAGGGAGAGCAAAGTTCGTCGGGCATCTGGGCTAGATCAATGTTGGAAACACTCAGCCGGCTCATGACTGAGTACAAGATATCACACGTGCCCCACCATTTGAATAACAGGGACATTGAACAGATATTGGACGACACTTACTTGCATACATCGCATCTTATGGACCTTCAAGGTTTGAAAGGGTCATCTACGCTTGTCTTGGGAATGCTCAGTGGAGACATGCTAAAAATGATTAGCATTGGTGATTCCAAGATTTACATCATAAGGGATGGAGAGATTGTAAAAACTAATGAAGAGCAGATGGTTTCCGATTTGTGCCCAAAGCAAATTGGAACTCAAACCCTTAATGTTTTGCCATCGCAAATGTGCTGGGTGGACGACATGGAGTTACAAGAAGGTGACCTTATTGTCATGTGTTCCGATGGCATCTCTGATAATCTTTACGAATGGGAAATTCTTGAAATGCTCAACAAGAACATGAAGAAAGACAACATGAGGAAAGTAGCTAACAGAATTTTGGCCAAGGCCAAGCAAGTGGCATTTGATGATCATGCTTACACACCTTACAACGAAAAGGTGAACAAAATTAATCCAGACGGATGCAGCATAGGAGGTAAGCTCGATGATATGTCCTTGGCTATCGCTAAAGTGGTTCCTAATTTGGAAAAGCGCAAGATTAAACAGAATTGAACAAAACATAGATCCCGAAGCAAAGGTGCATTCGGGTTTACTAAATTGGATAGGGAAGAGTATAAGGCACAAGTGCAAGATTTAGCACACTGATGGGAACTTAATAAACATTTTATCAATATTATTGTACCATGCATAAGGGGAAGTAAAAATAGTGAAGTAATGGAGTTTAACCGGCCGATTTCAAATTGCTTTTCTACGGAAAGGGGTCTTTTTATTCTTGATAATATTGTTTCATTATTATTCAATACTTCACATATTAGCCACTTCGGAGAAATATTGTCTCAAAATCAATGAAAGCATTTCTGGAAGTTCGTTGATGTTTCTCACCACAACATAAAATTCAAACGGAAAAGTGTCCAAGTAGTTTTCAACCTTCAATGTCATTGCTCCAGTCACAGGATCTGGTGAATAGCTTACCTGAGACATTTCCATGATAGATTCATTTGATGTGATTCCATCAATGACAACAAAAACTAGCATGACTTTTTCTTCTCTAGCTTTTCTCACTAACCTTTGAACTGTGTTATGGTCCTCGCAAACCACCATCTGAAATGATGATTTGCAATTGCCACAAGTCAGCACTGGTACTCAGACGGGCATTTTCAAAGATTTTCAATGACTTGGCTACATAACAGTTTGATGTCTGTCCGCTCTTGTTTAAAGTCAAACCACACTGAAGACCATTTTGCACCCGTTTCTTTGGTGAAGAGTATATTCAAATGGATGAACCAACTTAACATCTTCGCCGAATCTTACAACAGACAAACCACCGCTCTCTAGTTTGTGTGAGAGCTTTAGAAACAAGGGCAATGCTGTGAAACGCCAATTCAGTCGATTTGCTTTCACTCATAGACTTGGAATCATCCACGGCAATCATTATTTGGTATTGACGTTTAGATGGTTTGGTTCTTCTGAGCCAGATCTTATCCTTCCGGAAGTCAGATGCAATATATGGAATAATTCTCTTCATGTTGAGTCTTTTACCAGTCTTGTAGTCACCTCTCAATTTCGTGGCCAATGTTGGCTCAAGAATTAATCTCAACTGCTCACATAACCCGGCAGCAAGCTCTTGAGTGGCGATCTCACTATGTTTCCATAAGGCTCTTGCCTCGTTCATAGTCATAGCAGGAATATCTTCTCTGCCTAACACATATTCCTCTTCCTTGTACAGCTGTAATTCCTTCTCAGCTTCTGTATCTTCAAACTCTGCGTTTGCAAGAAGGGTTTCATCCTGTTCTTCCTTCAAAGCTCTTCTCTCACCAACAACTGCTCCATTTGTCTTTGCGTCGAAGTCTTCAGCTTCATTTTCCGCCTTCTCGGCTTCTAGTGCGTCTTCGTCAATTTCCATGTTATCCTCTTCCTCTATTTTAACATTCTCCTCTTCCTGTTTTGGCTCTTCTTCCTCTTCATCATCGATAGCCATGTCTTCATCGATGCTTTGGACTTGGTCTTTTTGATCTGCGGCACCTAAAGCCTGGGTGTCATGCTTAGAGTTGTCCCCATCGACATGTTGGAACTCATCTGGTCTGACGTCAGCTTTATTCTCAGTTTCTTCTTCCATTTCGTTCGACGCTTCCTTGATTTCTTGTCTGCGGCGGTGGAATTCCTTCAAAGAATCACCCAACTGCTTCAATGATTCCTTCATTTCATCACGAGCGCCGTCATCATTGGAACCCTCTTCTTTTTTGTCTTCCTCCTGTTTCAAATCGGAAGATGCTCCGCCAGAAGCGCCCATGTCATCCTGTTCTTCCATTACTTGGTTATCAGCACCGTCTCCTTTTTCACCTGCTTCTGTTTTTGTTGCTGCATCCGCGTCAACATCCTCCTCTTGGTTGTTTTCAGCTCCATCGACTCCCTCAGCAGCTTCGTCGCCTTGGTCTGCTGCATCTTCATCCTTCTGCTCTTCATTTTCTTCTTCCTGATTTTCAGCTTGCGCAACATCTTCTTCTTCAGACTCCATACCAGGATCCTCGTTAGTTTCAGCGTCACCTTCAGCAGGAACTTCATTGTCTTCTTCTTCGTCGCCATCATCTTCAGCTGACTCGTTTGCATCATCGTCATTTTCAATGTCTGCTTCCTGGTCTTCCGGCTCTGCATTCTCGTCGTCTTTATCTTGTTTTTGATCTTGTTCATCATCATCGACGTCCATCTTATCATCAAACTCTTCATTTTCTTCCTCCTCACTGCCATTATTCTCGACATCATCTTCATCATCATCTAAGTTCATATCTTCTGGCAAGTCCAAAGTTTCTGTTTCAGGAACATGGTCGTCAAGTTGTTCATTCTCA